TTCTTTTGATATCTATTGATTTCTTTCAAAAACTTCATTTCCCAATGTTGGTTGCCCAAACTTAGGGTGCCGCTCATCTTCGATTGCAGCTTATGGTAAAATTTCCACACAACCCCATACTATTGTAAAACAAATCTGTTTTCCCAATGGCAATGTATTGTTTTTGTTATTGCTTTCTCTATCCAAGAACTGAATGAATAATGTAGTACAGGACTGTGCGGAAATTTTACCATTGCGTTAAATCAATTGTGAAGCTACCTCTTTTTCAGTAACTTGAGACATAAATTTGAAGATGAGACTGAACTTAGCACAATGCTTTACTGGTTTGTAAGATGTGTTAATTTGAGGCTGTAGCAAGGTAAAAAAGAGTACAGCCTTTCATTTGGATTATCAGGTGAGGGGACATTGTGTGACGCCAAACCTAAAGGATCCACTGAAGGATCTACCGAGTGAGTTTCTGCCCCATACAAAAAACCTACGCTAAAATTCACGAAGCCAGTAATATTAAGTATCACACGGGTGAAATAAATTTAAAAAACTGTAGTTTCTTAAAGTTTTCTTTACCTACCTCTTGCTGACAAGTTAACATCTGGCATGCATTTAGGAAACATGGTCTTCATCTCTCTGTTTTGCGGCCCCTCTTCCTTCCACCCTATATTTAAATATCACTAAGCCAAGGAAAGTTGCCGAGAAGCTGAGGGGCTTTTTACTTCCGGACCTTGTGCCAAAGCAAGATGTCATTTCCCTGCAATTCTCACACTGCCACTATGTTCTGCCATGTTGAAATGAACCAGACTTTGTCCCAGCTCTCCTCCATAACGAGGAAACGCGCACGTTTCACGAACAACAATGCGCGAAAACGCGGGAATTGCAGATACTGCGCGGAAACACGTAAGGTTTTCAGACTCGACATGTAGGAAGAATTTTCATCATTTTCCTTACATATTTTTAACATATGGATGCTTACTCAGGACAGGCAAGGAATAAGGTTCAATGCTTACTAAGTTTCCAAGTCAAGAATTTATCTTTCAGACTTCAAAAGTGAAAAAGCATTTATTTTTTTACATCAATTCTGATTTTTTCATATTACATCCATTTTTAAATCATGGTGGTCCTTGTAATCTGATTGGCTCTCATGGGTGCAATCAATTCACAAATAACACTATTTTTTGCTCTAAATGGCACCTTTTCCCAGCCAATAAGGAGACTTTACTAAAGTACAACCAATTGTTTGCTTAAAGAAACCAATCAATTTGCAAGAAAAACAACTTTTGCAACTTTCTACAAATCAGCTCAAAACTAGATCTAAAAAACATTTGTACAGACTAAAACTCCTGTATCTGAGTGATTTCAAAATGGTTGTAATAAAGTAGTAATTGAACTCCATGTCGTGCAATTTTGGTCTGAAATCATACTTGATTTCAAATCAATTTCATACTGTGCACTGATTTGATTTTGAAATCAAGATTTGATTTTGAAATCAAACATTTGATTTCAGACCAAATTGCGCTCCACCCAGTTCAATTACCATTATACATCTTGATTGTAACAGGATGATCCTAAGCAGACAGTCAAAGAAAAATTTCTACATAATTGTGGGTTGATATCACTAACAACTCTTCCAGGAATGTTGTCTCCAAAGAAGCAGTTGTTCATCTTCAAAGAAATTGTTAAAGAAAAAATTGATTTAAAAATTGAAGAGATAATTGAACTTGATAATTCATGACAATGTTTTACTAAATTGTTGTTATTGTCATGGGGCACAGAAATGTGAAGGCAACAACAAATTGTAAAAAGGCTGATGTTTGGAGTGTTAGCCCTTCGCTCTGACAAAGGGCTAACACTCAAAACGTCAGCTTTTTTACCCTTTATGGTGGCTAATTTACATTTTCAACTCAGTTGTTAACACTAAATTACCTGCTATACTCTCTGACCGACGCAGCACCACAGTTTCTTTAGAAACTTACTCCTTTTTACAATTTGTTGTTGCCTTCACATTTCTGTGTCCCATGACAATATTAATTAGTTCAATTATCTCTCCAATTTTTAAATCAATTTTTTTTTTTAACAATTTCTTTAAAGATGAACAACTGCTTCTTTGGAGACAACATTCCTGGAAGAATTGTTAGTGATATCAACCCATAATCATATAGAAATGTTTCTTTGACTGTCTGCTTAGGATCATCCTGACTTAAGGTGTGTATAACATCACTACACATGAGTAAGGCAAGAAGTTAAACATGAGCTTTATGCATATGTGAACAAATCAAGCCATTATTCTCTCCTGCTCACTTTAATTAACTTTGATCATGAAGATCCCTTGCTTTTGCTTTCTTTCCAAGGCTAATATGTTTCCTTAGTCTAATTCTAGACTTTGTCTTTTATGGTGACAGCTGTAAAGAGATACAAAGAGTCAAAAAGGCTTTTCCCAACAAAAGACTTGACAACATTTTAATGACAGGGTATTAATTTGATACACATGCATAAGGACAAGAATTTATACTGTGTATCAACCCACACTTTTTTTTCTTTATTGGGGGTTGACCTTTTCCCTTGGTATCTTACTTGAAGAGTAAGTAGCTAACTAAACTTCAAAATTACAGATATAATATAAAACTTTGAATCTAGGTCATACATATGTTTCCCACCAAAACTTTAACTTCATGCATATCCACGCCTCTCAAGTGAGCCTTAACCACAAACTATTACATACAAACTTTTCCCCCCTTAAAACTTTCAATCTCACACACATTTTCATTGAACTGCACCACATAGTTACACTTATCAGAATAAAAAGCATTCTTGTCTTCTTTGACCTTCTTCAAACTTAAAACCTTTGTGGAACCTCGACGGTGTCTGAATGACAAAATGAATAAAAAGATAAACTTTCAGACCTCTACAATTTTACATGAACATGTAACTCTCTGAAATGAGGCTGAGTCAGGAATAAAGCATTAAAATAAGCTCAAACAATTTGAAATTGGCCTGTTTTATCCGCGTTTTTAGATCAACATGTATACGCGAGCGGTACTGTACTGTACGAATTGTAGCTATTCATACACATCACTTTATCCTGAGAACGTAGTACTCGAGGTAACAACACAAATTTTAACGTACTTTTCGGCCAATAGCTGAGCAAGACTCCGGTTGGGATCTTAAAATATTTCAATCCTTCGGGGCAAGTTCACAGTTTTCCTCTAAATGTCTCAACTCTCAATCTTCGAATGCAGGGAAACAATTTCCTACCATCTCCTCTTCCAGGCTTGTTGATTTTCTTGTCTCCTTCAGTTTTAGCCATTATAAGCACTTATAAAAAGTAATCATAAAAAAAGCATTCGTAAAGGGAAGTAAGGCAAATTATTTACATGCTGCCCTCTCAAATCGAGCCAAATATACCCAGTTCAATCCACCATCTTGGATATGATATAAACATTAACTCAGCGTACAACCTCAACTCACTTTCCCCTTTATATATGCTCCCTTCTCGTGTCTCTTTCTAAGTCAAGCCGGAAGTTTCTCAACGTAGTCTAATGTGTCACTAAATGAGGACTCGATTGCAAAAGGTCTGCAAAGCAAACTCGGTTTAAAGTGCTCGGGGTCTGTATAATGACTGACCTCAGAGGAAAATATCGCAAGTTCCCTGGTAGTGCGCTATCACGCAACGTAAACGTGAGGGACATCAATGATATGGGAAAGGTAAGAGGCTGCACAATAAACTAACTAAGAGCTGTTATCGAACATCGTAAACGAGTGCAACGGTCTTGAAACTTTACGAAATTTACCACACCGGTGGAGTTAGTTAATTAGTGGGAGAGGGGACGGGCCTCGGATTTTGTAGATCTTTGCAGACTATCATTTATTATCTAAACTGACGTAAAACAGTTCTATCACTTGATCAGGCGGATGAACTAAAACTAGACTGAACTTATGAAATTATGAGCACATGTTCAAAGGCACATAAATTATGGCCATTTGTTATTTCTTCAAAAATCTAACTCACACTAAAATAAATTCCAGGCGTCATAAAAGTAGAGAAAATGAAGAAATGAATGGGTTACAAACTCCTCTAGGGGCGCTTTTGTAGCCTAAAAATTACATGCAATGCTTTTGCATTCACCGGTAAGATGGTTATCATCAAATAACCTTTATGTCCATTCTCTCTGAAAGAATAATCATGAAGCCTTGATAGGATAGTTGTTTCGGCCATCGGTAGAAATTTGCCCATGATGTTCGTGCATGCATACGGTTCATCGCGTCGATTCTTTCGTTTTAGAATTTGGGGAAAGTGTCATTGTTTTTGTTTAATTGTAATTGTCCTTTATGAGCGGCAAAAGTAGTTTAATTTTACACCTCCGCTTCTGCGCTTCCTCCTTTCCCGGAGGTATTATTCCAAGCGACGCAGCATTAATCTGTGACGGAACAAATTTCGACGCATCTGGCAACAGGATCGACGGCACTAACACCCCCACTACGAAGAACATGAATCATGGGTTAATCTCTTGCAATCGTTTGGATGTCTTAAAGATCATGTCACCATCGTGTACTTTCTATTTTTAGATTTTTCTGTATGATCATACCTTAACCTCGTGAGAAATGACTGTTTCACGCATCATAGCCCTAGAAATTTCCTCATACGGAAGTGAACATCAAAATCAACCGTTGACTTTTGGATACTGCACTCTTATAGGGATGACGTAATTAAAGGGGAAATCCCATTAAATAGCCTGTATATTGTGAGTGCCACGTAAACCCAAGTGCAGAAGTGACTGGTGGCTGAAAAGGTAAGTCGTTTGTATAGAAAGGGAAACAGGTCACGAAACCAATTTTATAAACATATCCACCATGTCCAAATTTCAGTCAAAAATTTAATAAGAAACTTGTTATTCTCGGTACCAAATGGTTTTGGCTGCCGATTATTTTAGACAAGGAGTTGGGCTCGCCGATTTTGAATTTCTGTCGTTAATGTCATAGTTAGATTATAGAAGGGTCTGAGCTATCGACGAAAATTTGATTCTCTACCTAGAACTGGACTTTGAAATTTTTCGGTAATCTTCACAGTTTAAGTCTCTGACTCTTTTGGCGAATGTTTTCAAAATGTATTTTGGTGACGAGTGCTTTGCTGCAAGATTTGTGTCTATCAGAAAATTCGCTTCGTCATCGATATTTCTAGCAAAGATTTCGCCGATTTCAGTTTTCGATCTAAATCCTTAAACTTCAGCAGTCTCTATTTTCCAGTGGCCTCTTCTTGTCTTTTGATTTCGTTTTCAGGAACCTTAGTGAAGAACTAACATCAGAAAGTCCCGAAGCTGACGATCAAGGTAACTTCACGCTCTTCAAAGTTTGTATCTGGTAAATTTGTAATAGTTCAACTGATTTCACATTTATTCCATAGAAGCTAGTGTTCTTTAATCATAGAAAACTCTGGGAAAGGTAAGTGCTATGACACCTAAGCCTTTTATTTTTTCTTGCCTTAAAAACTTTTAGTCGTGAACTTAGGCATCGGAACCTTCCCAGACAGAGTGCAATATTTTTTTGTTCTGGAAAAATGTGATTATTAAGCAAATTTTCAAATGGGGGAATCCACCGAGTAAAACAAAGTCAAATTTACTTTCAGTATCGATATGCAAATTTGTCGTTACAAACAAATCCTCGAGTGGCGGAAACAAAAGAAAAAAGAACCCCTTTAAGACAAAACAGAAATACACATCATAAGAAAACTATAGCATGTTGTTCACGAAGAGTTCTGGAATTTTCTCATTAAAAAGAATTCTGATGCGATCCTTGAGAGGCTTTCCGAATAGGACTTCCCATTAGCCACATTGCTTTCAAGGGGGAGGGGGTAGGGAGTTGGAAAAACTTTTGCAATTCAAATTATATCAGTGGTATTTATTTTTGGCAGAGTATTTAATAAACTGCAGACAGTAAAGGCTTTCTGAAACCAAAGCTTTTTAAGGGTTGAGTTATTCGCAACGCGATCAGCACTAGTCCACAATTAACTCTTATAGCAATGCAGAGTTTTTGAACGAAATTAGCACAGGATTAGCGCTAATCAGTTAAAAGAAAAACCGAAAAAAGGAATTGATGAGATGATCTTGGGATTTCACCGCCAGTTTTTGTTTTTCATCAGGAATTATTTTTGAGAAAGTGATATACATCTCCTGACTTCCTTCTAGATTCTCAAAGGAACATTCTTAGATTCCATTGTTTCTTCTTTTTTTTTTAATATAATCTCGTTCTTTACCCACTTTTTTTTTTAGAAAATAATAATGCTGATTGAAGATCTTTCCCACGATAAAATCAAGCTACTGTATGCCTTCTTAAATGATGGAATCGGCACGGACTACAAAGCTCTAATGACGAAGCGCTTTTCGGACCTTTATTCTCTCGCGGAGGTCACTGAGATTGAAAAGAGTAAGAGTCCAGCTAAAAAATTACTCTGCGACCTAATCAATCGGCAAATAACAGTGGAAAGGCTCCTAGAAGAAGTGGCAGCAATTGGAAACATAAAGGCCGTAAAAATTATAATGGAGGGTAAGAGTGATTTGTTATGCTTCGTTTAAACAGAGTAATAAACGTTTTCTTCCATATGCGAAGAATTTAGCCACATGTGAATTTGAAGCGTTTTCTCGAAATACGTATTTTTTCCAACCTTGATCCAGCAAATATTGAATTTGAGAATATTTACACAGATGTCACGAAAAGAGGGATAATTCTTAACTTGCCGGGAGATTATCAATTTTCTCCACGCCACTCCACTGGACAGCCACAGGAGGTACGCGTATTGTCTAAATGTGTTTTATCTACACAATAACCGCTAAAACGTTCTCAACACTTGTGTCATAACAAAGCTGGTAAAGTTTATTTTTGTATCTTGGCTGACAAATAACAAAGGATTTGGTAAATGATGATACGGAAAAACAAGGCTCTACACTTTAACATAACTAAAACATAGCCATTTTAAAGAAGTATTTGCATTTAAGCTTAATGTTAGTGACACATACAAGAATATATAAGCAAAGTGTAATAAAAAGTCTAAAGAAGATGCCACCATGTGATCACCTGTGTTTATGTTTTGGCTTGTTCCCAATTTTTTGAGAGTAAGCCAATTCATAAACATCGGCCGGTCAATGCTCATATAGATCCAGCAGTATCTTTAATATTTCTTTGAAAATTCAAAATTACGTAAGATTCAAGCAATAGAACTCTTTTTTCCCTGTTTACATAGCTCCATCTAAAGACGAGAGAAGTTTACATACTCTCATTTTAACACACCTATCGATCAGTAAGGATACGGATAATATCTCAGTTATATAAAGACATGTCTATTGATCAGAAAGGTTACAAGCCCTTTACATAAGCAGTACAACTTAATCAAGTGTAAATTCAGTGGTAATCTCGGCATTGTGTAAATAAAAGTAAATTTAGATAACCGATAACAAAAAATACGCACTTGAAAATTTTTCAAAGACTACAAATTGCACTTGTCTTATGGGCTCGTGCAATTTTGTTGTCTTTGAAAAATTTACTCGTGCTTATCTACACCAAATTTCACTCGAAATCATGTTATTTCCTACACAAGTTTTCTGTTGTAACGAAGTAATATTAATTCCAATGGAACTGATTAGTTACTTCCTTTCGTAAACTGATTCAATAGCAATAATTTATCAAATTAATTTCAAACAGAATATTTTTACTTCACTCATTCATTAAGGTATTTAGTTGAGTTCTTTCAACGTTTTATTTTCTCCTCATTTAATTCTAATCGATAAACACTTTTAAGTGAATTCCTCGCTTAAATACGATGTGTTTACAGTTGTGGCTGTTAATTAGAATCGAATCGATTTGTGATCTTTGCACTAATTTGATCTTCCCAGCACACAGATGCAGTATTGATGCAGTACCCTATTTGGGAACAAGACAAAACATACTACAAAGCTCCTGTTCCGGAAACAGTATTCAATCCTTCACATTAGAGAAATGAAGATTCCGTCATCACGAAATGATGATTCATTCTTACAAGGGATCATGTATATCTAGTGTAAAACGTATCACAATGATACAACTTAAGTGCTGGTAGTAGAATTTGTTAGAGGCAAAGCTTTAGGATAGTCTTAACAGAGTAGACGATCGGCTTTTGAAAAGTCTTTCGGGTTAAGGGGTCTTTTTAATAAGTGTAATGGCTATAATCGCTTCATTTATTTTCCCAATTGTTTTTGTCTAAATTTCAGGTGTCTTAAAAGGCAGTATTTCATACCATAAGCTTTATCAGGTTTATTCGCAAACTAACTTTCTTTCCAACATTTTCATTTATGCACATAGACACTTGGAAATGTCCACTCAAGCTTTTGATTTACATTCAGTCTACGACTTTAAAAAGGGCTCTTTAATTAGTGATACATTTTTTTAATAAGATTAAATACATTATTATGCTTTAATCACCGAATTATTAAAAATTTTTCATCACTGAGTATGTTATTGTTGTTAGATTCAAATTTATTGATTATGCTATTTCGGAAATACAGCTTAATATGGAGATTTTAATAAGTTCGTCTCTGCCATAACTTGTTTTAAGTTTTCTTTCAAGATGATTTAGGAAACGGGGGCTAAATATTTCATTATGAATAAAACGTGAAGCATCTGAGAGAATTACGCTGTCGGTGGGTTCGTGTACTAAAACTAGCTGCAAGTGGAGAAAAAAATCGTTTCAGATTGTTTAATTTGCTTCTAGAATTGAGTAATTTCGCTGCATTGTCGATAGTATTCCGGCGTTTTTGCTCCGGAGTTAATAGTAGCACACAGAGCTAACAGAGAGATCTTTCTAAAAAATATCTCAATTTTTCCGATGAAATCCGTACACCTAACTTTGTGAGAATCTATGTTGAGAAAAATTTTGTCGGTAACGATAATTCTCCATAAGATAGTGAGTATTCTAAACAATAAATAACTACAACGTGAAGACGAGAAAAGTTTGCACAATTAAGTACTTAAGTATGTCTATTAGGGTAGTCACCTGTTTTAATACATCGTGACGTTTTTACTGTACATTGCTTAACCTTTATTTGGCGATGAGTTTCGACAGGTCACGTGTCACTCACTAAACGCGATATTCTGCTGTGTTGGGTTGGTTCCCAACAGCTGTTTTCAATACAGCACAAAAGTACATTTAAATGAACGAAGACAGAATACTGAGACAGTGTTTAAATGTTAATGTTCTATAAATTTTCTTCAAAATCCTATCTCGCTGACTTGAATGAAATAGATTCCTGGTTATTTCCCGACCTGCGCCGATGATTTGAATAAAAATTAAGTCCTAACAACTATTGATGCTACCTGTCGGCGTTAAACTTTGGTAAAGAGAATTCTAATCCACAACTAGCTTCAGTAAAGTCCAGCGCTTCTTTTACCGCTGATACCATATCATAGTTTTTTAATTCTTCATTTTCCATGTGTTTTATTCTTTTTAAGTTGATTCCTTTCCTGTTCAGTGCACTCTCTTTTAAATCAGGATTAAGTTTCATATCGGATGGGTCATATTTTGTCCAGAAATCGTTGGGTGACCTACGGAAAGACACCGAATGAACTCATTATTTTAAAAGGCTACGTTACAATTTAACATACACAATGTATCTAGTAACTGAGCGTCACCACAGTTACAGAGATTATGAACACGGGTAGACATACACGCCAAAAACGAAGTTACTTTTTATTAGATGTCTACGTGAAACATACTGTGAAAACCTTCAATCCTGAAATATGCAGAGATCGTGAACTTCAGATACTAGCCGACGGATACTATTGATCAAATTTGAGAACCCTCCCTGTACTGGAATTAACTGGTTGAATTTTTTCACTGTCAAGTATTCAAGGTTTTCAAAAGTCTGGTCCACACAAAAACTCTTCTTTCTGACGCGTTTTCCTACCCATAAAGATGGCGTCGAAACCAATAGAAGATCCTTACCCCTCTAAGGTCTAATAATTGGTGCAAAAGACTCTATATCGAGAAGACCTGGTCCGCATGGTCATCAAGACTACATTGCGTTTTTCAGACCCAGAATGCACACAATTTTCTGTAAACGGACAGCTGCTGGCTTACGAAACCGGAGTTAACAGCAAGAGTATAAAAAAGCTGGATTAGTAGATAAAGGAATATCATACCTAAGGAGAGGAGATGTAAAATGCAGTTACCTGTTTTGCTACCTTATTAATTCATTAAATGAGGGATGGTGTGTGGGTTGTGAACGGAAACTGACATACTGCTCAAGTATAACGTACCGGCCTTTCGTAAAGCTGTTGCTTTTCAGGGCTATATGCTTTTTCCAGCAATCGAGCACCATTCTCAAAGCAGCAGTTACTATAACATTCGCTCACTCATCAGTAAAACATGTCCACTTTGCAGGAGGCCATCTCTTGTGGAATTTTAAACTAAACTTTCGGAAAAGAATTAAAAAATACATAAATATATATTACTCACATCCTCATCATTGAAGAGCCGGAGACTTTACTTGGCGCTCCTTCCGCAACATGATGGGCCACCGAGCGAACAGCTGGATGGAAGTGCCCAGTTCCCAACAAAGCCAATTCCCAAACGGTCGTGCTGTCTGCATTGCTGAGCTCTGGGTCATTTACGTCAGGTCTAAACACACCAGTGCCCATGCTTTCACTGTCAAGTAGGGCTTGCGCTTTTGTGTGGGACTGGAAACAATACCAGTAGAAAAATTCAAAATCGTTGAGAGGGCCGCATATTAAAAAAAAAAAAAACTAGCTATGTGGGTAATAACTTTTCCACGTTTCCTAGTTGTTTTTTAACAGAGTAATGGTGGTAGACACATCAATGAAATATAAAACAAAGAATATTCACTTTCATAACAAAACAATGTTCTTCAGGGAACAGAAAACAGCTCTCTTTCGAGGGCGTCTACATGAAGCACATGGCCACAGCCTGAACTTTGATAGTCATGATCGTAACGATCCTAGCATAAGGAACAGACACCTCACGTCCGTGAAGAAATTTTATTCTTCTAGATCATAAAAGGATTACATATTACTCTATAACGACAATGACGAAATATAAATCAAAAGCGACGGTATTTGTGTGTTACCTGAAGAAATGACTTAACGTAGGCGAGAAAAGCCATTGAACTGTTGGCTTCAGACTGTAAGCTTACTGTACAGAGGCGCTTCACAAATCCAGCCACCCGCTGAGTAGGAACCTGTAAAGCCGCAAAAAAAGGAAAAAATTAAAAAGTTACCCTGAGTTATCTACCCAAATTGCTGTGGTAATTAGAAAACGTCAATTGATCAATCAATCAAACAGTCAACCAATCGGTCAAATTTTGATATGTCAATAAAAAAATTGTTTCTAAGCCATTACAAGCAACGGATTGCTTAATTAGCCTTACTGCGCAAACAGACTATCCCAGAAACATTTATATGTAACGTTTTGATAAATACAACTAATTACCTGCTTGCGTCGCTTCTTTAGCATTTCCTCCAGACACTGCAGTGCTACTGGTACATCTTGACTGCTACCGCCTTGCATGGAAAAAACCAAGAATATACACATATATAAAAAAGAAATACGAAAAAAATAAGCCAAAATTGAAAACAGTAAGAAAGCATTCCAGCTTCTGTTCTTTCCGAAAAAGACCCCGTCGAGTTATTCCTTTGGTGTGATTATTTGAGTGGGTAATATAGTCCAACAACATTTTGAAAAAACGCACGAAAAGCGGTGGTAGCTGTATCCCCCTCCCTTCATTCTCTTTGCCCTCAATTACGCCAAACGACAATAAATGCCCCCTCCCCCCCTTCCTCTGGTAACAAAGTGTAAGGCTAATCTCACGTCACAGCTACCGGTAATTGGTAGGTTTTGTTGTGAAAAGTGATCGTGATTCGTAAGTTCCTCGCGGGTTACAAAGCTTCAGGCTCAACAACAGCATTATTAGATTGTAGTTATAAACACACATGAACTATCACTCTACACCAATGAAGCCAATTAGAGAGCGATGTACTGCTCCAGCAAAATGAGAAGTAACTCAATTCCCTAAGCTCTTACCTGCATGAATTTGCAGAAGTGACGAGTACAACATTCTGTAGAACTCTCGAGGATCAATGTTCAGAGCTTCCCCTGAAGTGAGGAAAAAAAGTTCATAAGGAGTAGTGTCAAAACAGAACGAGAAATAACTTCAAAATGGTGCTAACAAAAGCCACTGAGTAAAAACAAAAAAAGAGAAAAACTAAAAGCGATCTACTTGCCTTGGCCTGATAGAATTTTAAAAGCAGTGAGTACACAGTTGAGAGTTTCCCTCAGAGTGAGTTCCTGAAGTGGAAGAATCAAAGATTTCGGGAGCTGTTATCACAACTACAACTGCAAAAATTTTGGCATATTATCTGCACGATTCTGAAAATGCATTTTTTTTTAAGCTGAATTATCAGATACCCCATCAAATTCTATTCAATTCTTGATTCTTAAATATCAGTTTACATTTCCTTCGTTATTCAGCAAGTCGAACAGGCAGAAATCGGGTTACAATTTAATTTTTTTTTCCGGAAACTTTCGGGAAAGCCTGACCAGGCAGAAAAATTCTTCCAAATTGCTCGGAAGGTTTCATCTGGCTCACATATTGGTTTTAATTGGAGCAAGCCTCACGCATTGTTCAAATTAGAAACACCATCTGCCTTTAAAATGGATACAATGGTAGTTTTAAGCTTCTAAATCAAACTTCTCTCGTTATTTTGAGGTCATAAAGGTCGCCTTCATAGGAATGTTAAAGATGGACAAGCACCAAATATGTAAAGAGCTATTAAGGATGGAGAAGACAAACACTGACTGAAAATAACAAACTCTATCATTTGAACTAATTTTTGAGTAAAATCGACTCTCAAAATCGCGAGAGAAAATGTGCGAGAAAGATTATGCAAACAGCTTGTTTACCCTGACAAGTAAAGTAAAGTACCTTGTTGTTTAGAAGTGTATGAAGAGCTCCCATAAGATCATTAAAAAAGTCCACATTGATAAGGTGCGCAAACTTGGCGAGTCCCTCGAGTACAGGGGATAAGACTGGCGAGTGTCCAACTGTCTTTAATACTCGGAAATACGTCACAAACACGAACTTGAGGATCTCTGTTTGCTGTTAAAGGAGAAAAGAGGTATAAAAATTTTATACCTTAATGATCTTGTTCAACTTCGCATTACTAGGACTTTGAAGTATGCAAAAGAAAAAAGAGCGGGAAACAAATATGGAAAGGTTATCGTTAAAAACAACTGATGTGGCTGGACATCACAATAGAACAAGTATTTATAGCGAGACCGAGGCGGAAAAATCAAAGAAACTCGAAATCTAGTATCTACTGAGACTTTTGTGTATTGTCACCGGGAAGATTTCGATTTCATGGCTTCAACAGATAGAACTCTGCAATGACTACAACAAGGGGCTCATGCTTGAAAAATCCGTTTTTTTTTTCACAATGTCATTACTTTACATGGATAACCAACTTTGCGATATGTTCCCCACGATTGTTAGGTCAAGGAAGACAAAGCAAACTTCACACTTACCAACTTGGCTCGTTTCTGTTGACTTTCAACAGCTTCAGTTTCTTGCATTTCTTTCTCTAACTTTTTCATCTCTCTCTTTCTCTACACGTAAAGAACGTGTTGTAAACATTTGTTATATCATAGCAAAAATACATGGCATCTGTGCTGAATTGTTCTCAGATTACATCCCAATGATCCCATATGGTGTTCGTTAATGATCCTGACGCATGTATGAGACACAAGACGCAAAGATGACGTCATATAGGGTCCTTTTTTTTTTTTTTTTTCTTATCAAACATATAGCATCCATTTCGCCCTGAGTCATTTCAGATATGCATCACAATGATTGTTGAAAAAAAAGGGGCACAAAGGCACAGGCAGACAAGCGTGTCACCAATACTCTTGCCACCTTTAACATCTTCTGTGGGCTACTACTGAACAAATACATGTCAAAGTGAAGTGTTTTTTCTCTAAGTCACTACAACAAACACATCACTTGGGGAAAAAAAAAATTGAATTGCACGCACCTTTTTCTCTTTCTTTGAAATCTTTCCTTTTAACTTCTTCTCCATTCTATTCTTGTTTTTCTCAATTTTCAGTTCGACTGCTGATTTCTTCTCATTGTGCTGTTTAAGCGACTGGATATCTACCTGACTAATTCTCAAATGAAGTAGTGTTTCTAAAACCTGCATTGGAAAGGAAAAGTCTTCACATTAATTAATGGAGGAACACACTTTCCCTTTCAAGACCAATCTTAACACAATTATAACATAGTCCAATTAAGCTCACTATCTTTCTTCTTTTAGCTTAAATAATGAAACACCCAAAAATGTGTTAAATAATGATTCTACACTTAACATTGAAATGAATATTTTTCAGTGTCTTTTTCTTTTTTTTCAAGTAAGTGGGGTTTCATAATGATGATACATCCGTTGTTAATGCACTTAAGACAGCAGAAGGTAGCTAAGGTATTAATCAAAATGCGGTTCAGAGGTGTAGTTATGGAGTAAGGGGTTCCAAGGTTGTAGCTAGGGAGGGGAAGGTTGAAAAGGTGCAACTGTAACTAAGGATTGGAGAGGTTCAAAGTGTACAACCAGATGGTGGCTGAAATTGAGGGGTAAAAGTGATATGAGGGAGAGAAGTTTATGTGTGTAGGGAAAGGGGTGAAAGGGGTCCAAGGGTGTCGCTACAATGGAAAGGGGGTCCAAGGGTGCAGCTATAGGGTCTAGGGAGTCTGTGGGTGTTGCTACCCTAGAAAGGAGGTCCAAGGATGTCGCTACAATGGAAAGGGGGTCCAAGGATGTAGCTGTGGGGGAAAGGGGCCCCAAGAGTTTAGTTATGGGAAGAAGGAAATCCAAGGGTATACCTATAGGAGGAAGGGTTCAAAAGGTGTTGCTACAGGGGGAAAGGGGGTCCAAGGGTGTAGCCACAGGAGAAAGGGACTAAAGGGGTGTAGCTGTGAGGGAAGGAAACCGGCTGATAATTGTTATATAAATGTAGCTACAAATTTAAGTTCAATTACTTGTACTTACACCAGGTTGAACTCTAAATCCTTTACTTTTTACAAATTTACTGATCACGCGGACAGCCTAGCAAAATTTAGTTAACACAAAGTTAGACAAAGTTCTATAACAATGTACATTGTAATGTACAAACAAGTATATTTGTATATTTATTCCAAAGAATTCTTGCACAAGAATTTAAAGAGCCTTGTATGTGTGTAATTGTTCATGGGACTTTCCATTGAGACAGCATTGCTGGGGGTTTTACAGTAACACTGTCTAATAGCTTCAATTTGCCCATTGAAATTATTTAAGATTTTTTACTGAATTGTTGATATTTCCAGAAGGTACAGATAATACCTTCTGTTCAAAGCATTTACAACAAATCCAAACAAATACTCTGCTCTGCCCTCCCACCCTGCCCTCCCACCTTACTCTTCCACCCTACCCTCCCAACCTACCCTTCTACCCTTCCCTCCCACCCTTCCCTTCCACCTTCCCTTCAACCCTACCCTCCCACCCTACTCTTCCACCCTACCCTTCAACCCTACCCTCCTACCCCACTCTCCCACCCTACCTATACCCTGGTGTCTTATCTAATTAAACAAGGTAAAGTTTCGCAGCATTTTATTCAGTGGGATATATTCCTGCAGGAACTTTAATTTTAGCATGAGGGACAACCCACAAAATTGGCCCAAATCAAATCCCATACCACGTACATGTTTACACCTCATGATAATCATGCAAGAATACCTCAAGTGAAACAGTTCCTACTGAATCTTGTTTAAACAATGAAATAAAAGCATTGCAGCATAACTTTGAAATCTGAGAAAGGAATACACATGTAAATCATTATTGATTTGATCAATTTTACTAAAGAAATCTGTTTATTGTAGCTGATTTTGAGGAGGACTGCATACATTTTTATCTTTAGGTCACTGCATTTTAGGGAAATTTTATTCACCTGTTTATCAGCTTTTACAATATGTAGTTTACAGACAAAACATGTGGCACATACACAACAAGGATTTGTTTCCAAGCAGTAATAATAATATCCCATTTAGCACAATTCCAGATTGCCCAACTACAGTACATTCCATCAATATCCTTCAGTTTTGCCCGTCCACAACCTTTCTTGACTTTTCATGGTGTTTTAGCTAATTATAAAACTGATTGTTAGAAACCTCATGCGTAGAAATGCTTAAACTTGTCTCTGACACAACTAGATTAATTCATATTGATACGAAAAAAAACTATTATCACAATGTTCATAATAAATAATTTATGTTGCCTAACCTTGCCATCAAGAGATTTTTCATTCATTCTAGGTACAAGTACTGCAATAAGGTTCGTGTGGAAATTGAAGTGGGGCACAGATGTTAGGAGATCACACATACACTGGACTGTTACAAGCATCAAACTCTGAAAAAAAGAAAGAATTGGATTTAGGTGACAAATTTATCTGTGCACATTGACTTCAATTAAAGTCACTGCACCAAAGGAAAAAAAATCTACAGCCTTCAGTCGAATCAAATCTTCACTTTCATACAGCAACACATCACAGTCGAACGCAAATACAATTTTTAACATCAAGAGGAAACACGTATAACATCATATCCCAAGAAAACAGGTAATGTTATGTTTGACAAATATATATTTATAACACATTGAATATACACATGTATCAGTAATAACATTAAAACACATTTCAAAGGAAATACATGCAAAGATCAGCAGAACCTAAACTCATCTCACAGCAATACCATCTCAACAGGGTATCAGGAAGTGGTGAATGAAACTGACTATTCTACGTGTACATGTAGTTCATAGTTGTATAGTATTTTAGCGCTGTCATTCTATTCTTTAGAACAAGTTACCCATCAACAGTGGAAAAACAATGACCTAGCTCACACAGATGCATACATAATTGTATGCACATGTGCATATGTGAAATTTATTAGCTCATAAATTTATGTGTGCACGACCTATAATTTTCGCTATACACATCTTCCCTATATTTATACGTGCAATACACTACACGTACATTCATATTCACATATGCCTCCATTAACACAGTTACTACGTACCTTTTATTTCTTAACCATTTAACTCTCATGCATTATCCAGCAAACAAGTAATGAAAATATTAGAACTTATCAGGTAGAAGTTGTTATCTTGATCAAACACTAAATTATTTTAACATATTAACAAGGAGATGTGTTGCAGCTAGAGAGGAGAATTAACAATAAGAACTTGTGAGTAACAGGGTTAAAGTATTTCTGAGAAATACTGTATATGTACAAGCAAAAATAAAAACAAGTTCTGTTAGAAGCACTGGCAAAGTAAAAAACACATTGATGAAAAGTAGAACCACATGTTAAGTTGCAAATGGTAAATGTATGTGAGAAAAAACATTGTTCTCACTTAGCCATACCTCAGATGAAGTTTTTTTGTCCACCAATCCATTTTTAGAACTTATTTTCTGAGTTTTAACACACTCTGAAGAATTCAAAAGAACAAAGCAAAAAAGAAGGCAAAGTTAGGAGTACTGAGTATGGCAAATTTCACAAAAACGCTCATGTGTAGTTATGTAAACAATACAGTTTGTCATAGGTCAATATAATTCTACCTTGTACAGTTTCTTCCAAAATCTGTAGGTATTTTTGATAGTTTTTTAACAGCCCTTCCTCATAACCTCTCAGTTTTTTCACCTCTTTGGATAGCTGAAAAATAAAAATGTAAATATCATCAGAGAAAGAAATGAAAAAGAAAAAATGGCTTTAACTGATAACCATCTCAATGCAACAACAGTATTGTATGTCACATAACAAACATGTTATATAATAAACTTAATTATACATGCAGTTTGATTGGTGCTTACTAATGATCTGCAGCACAGAAGTGTATTCACTATTTAAATATCTGTAAACAATAAATGAAATCTTCATGTTTATGTGAGATTATAGAGGCTTCTTTCAGAAATAATATGCTGACTTTTTGATTTTTGCAGATATATCTGCAAGATTAAAACTTTTGATAAAATTTGAATTAGATTCAGTTCATCGCTTTTCAAGTGGACACGTTAACCAACCTTCACATCTTGCTCTTTCTGTGAAGCTGTCCGAATTGGATATCTGAATTAAAATCACAAACCATAAATTAACAAAACACTCCTTGCACAGTACATGTCAAAGCTCAGTGTCTTTTAGAAATTGTTAAGTGGCCAGCCATTTGAAAAAAAGTAGGCAGCAAAAGTTGAAATCTTTCTGAGATCAAGACATGTACTTAACTGTTTTGTCTAGTTTAAGTAACTAGCATTTAAGAAATAGGTAGCCAGGCAAAGTGCAAGCCAGTGGGGCTTCAAGAGAACACTGCAAAGTTATCAAACTTAAATATACCTGTAACTTAAGAATTAATTAACAATCACATTTTGATAAATGTAATTAAAATCCACTGGGGAATTAAGTTTTTCGTTGTCCCACATTAACACATCTTCTTTACTATAAAACTGTTATCTACATGTACAATGTGAACTCACCCAGGTATGATATCTTTGAACACTGTTAATAAAGAAACCATTGCCAGCTTTTTGGTTGTTATTCTGATGTCTGCCTCTTTTTCATTACACATGGAACAGAGTTCCTGAAGCTCTGATACCTTACATAAAAATTGAGAATAAACATTTCACTGTTGAGTTTTAAGATTGGTGCAAGTAATTGTCATGATATTAAGTGCTTTCCTAGGATTCTTTGTCATTTCTGTCACCCATGATTTTAATGTTAAACCTGGCAGCATAATGACCTTGCCTTTGCCATTCTTTTGCTAGCTGCTAAACCCAACAACTCAAGATACAGTCTTGAGTCAAGTGATTAACTTAAAATACCTTTCACTTTATGAATTTTAGGCCCAAGCTGTAACATAATGCTCAGGTTTTTCAAAGAGAAACAGAAGGATCTGAATTTCAAAATAGAAACCAAGAAAAAAAGATTTGCAAGAAACATGTATCTCCCTCCATGTCTGACAGGTTTTGGACACTGTTCCTACATGTAGTTACAGGGAAAGGCAATAAATGGCTGATGCATGTCAAAAACAATATGGGTCAGTTTTATTCATATTTTTTTTTTTTTGCAGTTTAAGGAAAGAAAAGATTTAAAACTTTCATTTTCCTTTTAATGAAAATTTGAACCATTATTGATAAACAATTATGAAAGAATTTGGCCAAAAATTAGCTCTGAATTGAAATCGCCTTTAAAACTAGAGCACTGATGAAAACCTGTAACTTAATATACAATTTACTTCATCCATCATTCTGCATTCCAGACCCTAAGATTCTTTTGAATGACAGTGCTAATTATTAAGGATTTCTATTTATTATAACTGTAATAATTCCTTAGTGAAAGCAACTGCTAAATTCACACCATCAATTCAACAGAAACATTTGTGGGTCTTGGTGTCTTGGTGTAAAATCTCTCACAACCAGAGGAGTACTTACACTGCTTTCAGGGTTTTCCAGAATGGTGTTTGACAACTCAGCAATCCTAAGTTTTCTTTGGATAAGCTTCTGTCGTCTTTGATTAAAGAGTTCAACCATACTTAAAACAGGTGGAGGAGCTGAAGGGACTGGTGACACTTCTGAAGCTTGTTCTTCTGAATCTACATCCCCATTTTGAAGAGAATGATCTGCAATACAATTTCACAGGCCAAGATAAATTTTGAAAAGTAAAACTTTACTTTTTTACCTACAGGTAGAGGCAAGTACAAGTACTGTACACAAGTTTTGGCTCAATATGATGCATGGTTCAAATTTAATTTTTGTCGATTTTTGAATAAGAAAAAACATAATTAGTGAGAAAAAAGGGATTAACAATTAGAACTATGGATAGAGTTATAAGTACCCCCAAAAATGCCAAAGGTAGGTCTACTAAGGTAGTAAAGATCATTAGGGTAAGGGCTACTGTAGATAGGAAGAAGAGACAGTTATCATTCAAGTTGATTTGGTTTTCCTGTCCCCAGGGTAAAATTTGTGTTCAAATGCCCCATGCGTATTTTTCAAAAAAGGCAAGATCAGCAAGCATGACCTTCTACACATTGACCAAGTTTTAAAACTAATATCTTTAAGACCTCTTCTTCTGAACCATTTGCTTGTGAAAATAAACTATTTAACTTAAACACCTTAAAATTTAAAGATACAAAACTTGTATTCTGCTGTAAAGACTTGATACTACCAATTCAAATTTCCTACCCCAACCAGACAAAGTTCCAATTCCCCACCTGTTGGGCATGCACAAGGATCAAAAGTCCATGAGCTGCTGGGGGGGAGGAGTCAAAGCTTTAAACTGATAAGAACATAAAGAGTTTCTAAAGCTGATGTTTTGAGCTTTGAAGTAGACTGACTCAATGGCAAACTGCGTGGACAAAGTTGAATAATCATGATCCATACAATTGATAGCCTGACTATAAATCGTAAGACAACAATCAATCATTAATTTATGAGTTCCCTGACTCTTCCCTAACCTTTAGAAACCATGTCACTGTTTGTGACAATTGAACCTGTCAGATAATCAGAGTTGTCATATGTAAGCCATGAATACTGTACCTTACTGATCTGTTCAAATAATATGCATGCACAAGCACCTGTTTTGAGAATCTTCTCTTTTCTTTGTATAATGCTATCTTTATTTTTGATTGGTAATAGAGCTCTTTCCATGTGATCCTGCTCCAGTGTTGCTGTCCTAGGCTTCTTCTCATAATCAGCCTCTCTTTCCTCATTAGCAGTTTGCTTTCTTTTCCTTTTCTTTCCACTACTCGGAACTCTAAACCAGGACAGAATAACCCATCAGCTTCATGTTGTCTTGAGCACAATGTATACCCAGAGCTAAGTAACACTGGTGAATCAAAAAACCGGCACAAAATGTGTACAACCCTATACTGTGTACACCCTAACATCAGTATGCATATTCTTGATATTGTCCTCCTCACATTTCCTAAGGTGCTGACGAGGAGAATTTGTTTAACAATCAAGAACTCATGATTTTAGATATAAGAAATTCATATACTTGCACTACGGTGAAGAAACGAATATAAGAGATCCTCACAGCTAAGAACACTACTGAACTAGTAGTAGAAATAAGACCTGAAAAAAATTTTCAGGCCTGTACAGGATTTGAACCTATGACCTCTGCGATACCATGATCTCTGCACCGGTATCACAGAGGTCATGGGTTCAAATCCCATACAAGCCTGAAAATTTTTTTCAGGTCTTATTCCACTGCTAGTTCAGACGTGTTCTCAGCTGCGAGGATCTCTTATATTCAAATCAAGAACTCCTCTAATTGGTGATCACCTCCTTTGTTCTTGTGACCTTATCGTGTGGTTGAGGGGTGATACTGAAGGGAAAATAACATGCTAGTCACTTCAAGGGGACAAATGGCTAAAATTACCTACTATATCACTCCAGCTGATAGGGTCTCTTGGAGATTCATCCATTAACGGACTTTACCGTTTCTCCTTGATCACTGACGCGCACACATCGAACGAATCTATCACACTATAAAACTTACTCTGCTTCCAGTTGTTGCAAAAAAGAAAAACTCCTGTCGGAATCTTGAAAATACTCCAAGTCTTCAGGGTCAAGTTCGTCGTCTTCTTCAACTATCTCATCGTCTACAAGCACGTTTCTCGTGGGAACATTTTTACTAGTAGTTTTCCCTGTCTTTTTGCTTTTCTTACCTCCTTTCCTTTTTCTCATTATTATCTGATACTTCTATTAGAGGAAGGTATTAGAATAAGTGAATGCAATGATAACAGGGAAGTAAAAAAACTATCCTAACTAGCTGAGTTCTTTAATTCCGATCCAACCGCCATATTGGATAAGAGCCGTATAATCAACACGTGCTAGCAGCGTATAGCCGCACAGTGACTTTCTCATCCATGTATGCCTCCTCTGTGTGTCTCTTTCTTAGAGATACCGGAAGTTGGTCCAAATAAAATTTTAGAATCATTTTTTGCAACACTTGAGACAAATGTTAAGATTTGAACCTCCTTTAAGTAAAGATTCATACTTAAAGGCATCAAAAAAAATTATTTGATCGCCTAAAATCGTAAAGACGAAGGAGACATCGATGAATGGAGATCCTTTCGACATGTCACGTTAAAGGGCATGTAAACCCATAAAAAGTTCATTTTCTTTTCAAATAGATGTTTAGTAAATATATCAAGTACACCAAAGGTACCATTTTTTTTTCTCAAAAGTCCATTTTCAGTTTGTAAAAGCTCTTCCAAATTCGAAACATTCGCCATCTTGAATGGCGCTATCTTTCCTGTGACGTCACGGGTGGACCCTCCAAAGTTTCGTTTTATAATCGCGTGAGACACGAAGGAGTCTTTTTCACAGCCGTTGTTTGCCGGTCTCGTCATGATTCTTTTACTTACAATTTGCTTCGATATATTCAATTTTTTCACGATGGTAAAGTGTTGTGTTGTCCAGTTTTGTGCTGATTCAAATAAAACCGGGCATACAATGCAAATATTTCCGAATGACGGAAATTTGAAGGGACAATTTGTGAAATTTGTTTAAGTGAAAATAGCCGATTTCGTCGAGCCGTTCGAACATTCCGTTGTTTGTAGCAGTCATTTTTCTTCCTGGTACTGTACTGACGATTCAGGCCCTGTCAGAAGCAAATTATTCGGAAGTATAAAAACGACCCATACAGTCAATAGACGACGAGGATTCGGAAGGGCCAACCGAACTGAGAAAGAAGTTGAGCTCTTCAAAAGTTAGATGTTAACAGAGAAAGTACAAAATCGATTTACGTGGAAGCCTTTCGCTAATTAAACAACAACAGCTTTATTGTTTCTCTAAAAACATCTTTTTTCTCATCTAAGGAAAGATTATGGGGAAGCCAGTTGTTCGGGAGCCAGCGCTGAGCCCATAAAAGACACTGCGTGATCTGTCTTAACCTTTGCCTGAATTCGAAACACGTATCAAAGAAAGAGAATTCGTTGATGTCGGTCTGTAATAGCATGACCTGGAATTTTGTTGATTCGATATAAAAAATTCTATACAGGATCCCATAATCAACCGGCTTTATGTTCTATAAGGGAATCCATGCCAGCTCCACTTGCTTCCTTTGAGAAACCTTGTAGAGAAACAGCAGAAGAATTTGTGTCACGGTTTTCACAGCTGTGAAAGTATATTCAAAGGTCAGTAGGACAATATTTATCATTTTGAGTAGAACTTAAAAGATTCCGATTTCAGCTTGCAAAACTATCTTTTCAGTATTTCAAATCGAAGCAAACACAAACAAGGTTGGTTAATTATGAAGGCCACACAAGGAAATATACACGTTACAACTTGTTTATCGATGAAAATGCTTCGGAGATGAAGGAAAGCAAAACACTAATATGTCATAAAGAACGGGCACAACCGCCAGCGCTGTAAGACATGAATACTGAACTAAGATCTGCATGAACATGTACCTTTGTTTCACTCAAAGGTTTGGCGGTTTTAATCCAATGTAAGACGATCCAAATCCGATGGTTGCGGATATTGTTTACCGCAGAAGATGTCACAGCGACTCTGAAATGTTTGCCGAGATAATCCCAACACCAACGAATAAGCTATCTGTATGCAATTTAGCGAAATTTCCTGCCAGGAAAGAAGCGAAAAACAACTTGCTGTAGTACTGTATTATTAAATCAATGACAGAAACAACTCAAGTAAATCGATCTCAAAATGTAAAACAAAACAGATGAAACAGAAAACATTTAGCTTACTCGCCGGTGTGATTATCTGTGCCTTACTGCTGCCTGTACGCGTAATAGGCCGTCTCCAGCACCCAGACATCGAGGCAAATTGACTGAAAACGTGGATGCTCAGTGATACAACTTATCTGGGTTTCAGGCCCTTGCTCCTTTACTTTTTGCCACAATTGCCCGATTTCCATACAGCAAACACTTTCATGAGTTGTCGGCATTGGCTGACAAGTTCCATACTCGCACCTTTGATAATATTATCTAAAACACCCTCTGAAGCTCAGGTTTAAAAAATTTCTGTTGCATTCTTTTAGATTGTACCCTTGCTTTATTGGATTTTCATGTCAAATACAAATAAATCACACAGTAAATTAAATACCAGTCTAAGTTTTCGAGAAGGTCGCATCGCTGTCAACATGTTTTGTACTGTCTTCATGCGGTTCGCTTCGGTGAACCATACGCGGCTCATATTGTTAAGGACGTGGCCCAGACTCTCCTAAAGATTCTGGATTATCCCCTTCGCTGTCATATACTAAGCTTAGGGCATTCGAGTCGCTATCCTCTGGAAAAACATCTTCCGAACTACTGCCACTTACACGAGCTCCCACACTGGTTCTACTGTAAAATATGTGTTACGCCATATTTTAGTTCCACCGCTTACGTCACGACTTCTCGCTATTGTTTTTACCGGAAATGGAATTTCAGTTGAAAATGCCGATTTTCTCCTTAAATAAGTCGAATTGGACAAAACGAATTTCAAATTCGTTTTCTAGGCAACTTTTTACATAGTATAAGAAAAACATATATTTTTGTGTTTACATGCCCTTTAAGGACCGTTACGCTTATGAGAGAGCGTTACGTGAAGGAATATCGAGGGTACCCAGTAGTCATCAGAACATGATCAGAGGTTACGCAGAATTGAGCACGTGAAATACGCGTGGTGATCTCAGCTTTACAAAAACTTATTCTTTGCGAGGAAATTCTATGTTTTATCGGGATAATCCACTCATGATATTATTAGCTTAGGACAGGGGTGGCTCCTGCTCAGGGTTGGCTTATCGCTCTGATTTTCCTAATCTATCATAATCCTCTATTTCTAATGTCTTAAATTACTCTCGTTTTTTTCTCTGAACAGCTTAGCTAAGTTACAAACAGGTAATTTAGTGTTAACAACTGAGTTGAAAACGTAAATTGGCCATCGTAAAGGGTAAAAAAGCTGACGTTTCGAGCGTTAGCCCTTCGCCATCGCTCTGACGAAGGGCTAACGCTCGAAACGTCAGCTTTTTTACCCTTTACGGTGGTCAATATACGTTTTCAACTCAGTTATTAACACTAAATTACCTGCTATACTCTTCCATCGACGCAGCACCACAGTTTCTTTAGAAGCTTACCCTCTAAGTTACAAACACTTCATTTGATTTGATTTACTCTAACAGTGGGTTGTAAGTAGGAGAGCAGTCAAACTGGGATCTGTCTTTCCCATTCACTGCCTCCAGATAATTACAACATGCTAAGACTTCCAAAGAGCATTCACGTGCTACAGATTAAAGTTCATCGTTGACAAAATTCCCTACTCTTAATTTACAAAGGTTACGTAGGGCCGCTGTCATCGCCCAAAAATGGCTACACTGGTCTTTCTTCAAATAACCAATCAAATCAGTAAAATCATATTACCCTTGACATAAACGTGGCACTGTGAAAGATATTTAGTTAATTAGGAAAAAATCCCTTCGACACCCTATGAATAAAATCATTAAATACAATCCGTTCTTCCTTTCCTTAACCAATCAAATAAAACCATGTTAAACTTGCCGTTCTGTGATAGGTTGTTTAGTTAGTTAGGGGAAAACCCTCAGGATACCCTTTAAATACAAACATCTCTCTCTCAGCTCACGCATCTGCAGAGCTGTTACCGGCGGGTAAGTTGTTAAGGTTTATTTCTGGGATTCAATCATACGGGGACAATTTCAGTTGACTACAGTTAAAGATTCATGTTCATTGTACTTGAATTTTGATCGTAGATCTAAGACGACCAGGCCCAACAAAATTCTCATACGAAGTTGATATTGTGGACTCTCTCTCAGCCGCCGACTCGCTAAGGTAATCAGTTTTCTTATTACTGTGGTAATCGTCGTAGTTAGATTCTTGCGCTCTTTTAACCTCTGAAAAGATTTCAAGCTATTTGCGAAGCGAATTTCGTTGTTGTGTATATTTAGGAGCCTGAAATATCTCGTCATAAAACTTGACCTGACCAGTGTTATTCTGCGACAGACAAAGATTTGCACTCATGTGTTGTACCAAAACAACGACTTCTTTCGCTTCTACAATATTTGATTCTATAAATTCCCTCGAGGTCGCATCACCGTAATTTTAAAAAATTCTGTAAAGGGCATCTGTTGTTACTTAGTATAGATCAATCTCTAAGTTAGAATTTTCACCTGCGTCAGCGCGAACTTTCTAGAAAGTTGTACGGTCACGAAATTTGTTCATGTTGCATAACGTACTGGTGAAGATCGCATGAACCGCACTGTTAACTAACTCTGAAAAGCATTTGTTGATATGTTTGTTAACTTTTTCACCTACGCTATCTCTGAAACCCCCTAGAATATAACAATTCTATGCATTTTGAGGCGTTTCGTGCCCTGAATAGACAAGTAAGTTATTTGTCTTAGTAAAATGTGCTGAGGAAGCAAATTTTGGAAAAGGGTAATCCCCGCGGACAAGTAAGTTGTTTGTCTTAGTAAAATGTGCTGAGGAAGCAAATTTTGGAAAAGGGTAATCCCCGCGGAAAGAAAAATAATTTGCGTGAGTCAGTGCTTTGCGACCTTCGAAATCATAACACACTGAACTAAATTTTATGCAATGGAAGCGAATTTTACATGTGATAAAGTCAGTCACGTGGATCCACATTCAAAGTGAAACAATATTTATTTGAATGCATAAATAATAGTGGTGAGCTGTTTGGAGACAAGAGATTATATAGTCTTGTTGTATGTCACTTATACATAGGTATATTTTCCGCGAAAACTAATTCTTCTGGAAATCTATATACCCGGTGAACATATGCAGATTCGATACTAGAGGTTGCGTTTACCGTGGAATTGGAATTACTAATGGCACTAAGTGAATGTCCGTAACGAATCTCTGTATCCTGTTTACATGGTTACAAATTTACGGGCTTCATTCCGTTCGGAATTTCTTGTTAGACTTAAATTTTTCTTCTACATTGCTTTCGTTTCACAGGATTCAGCCCATCGAAGTACAATCCACATTTAAGGACTAAAAGCAGTTTAAGAGATTTTAGAGGCTTCGGAATTTCCGTTACCATAGAGGTCTAAAATTGAAGGTTTGAGTCATGTTAAGATTTACGCAGGTTTGTGTTCACTGTCACCAAGTTTCCGCGCTTCCGTTCGGGCGATCGCCTTTTTCAATATTTATTATCGGATTTACTTTTTACACAGCGTTCGTTCTCTTCCACTGCCGCGAGTTCGCTAAAACATTTCAGTTATAAGGGACTGGTCTCTTTTGATGAAAAGCCCAAAGCTGTTTTGTCTAGCCCAGTAAAAAAATTATGATGAAGCAAATTTTGTTAGCGGGAAATTCTCCATTAAACTGAGGAGTCGAATCACGCTGGGATAGAATTCCAGTTAACGAAATTGTAATGTACGCGAAGGCACACACGTAAAAAATCAGTGCATTATATCAATAATTTGGCAGCCTACTAACGGATATGAGGAAAATCCTAGAGGAAACAACAAATATCTGATCATCGAGAGAAAACTCTGAAAGAAATCACGTGATTTTATGTTTTACCCGGAGACAAGCTATCTTGATTCTGAGGGTGCAAGGAAAACGACCAGTTGTCAGTGAGAACCCTACATTCGGTTCGTATCATTTCGTGACGTGGTACTAGGTGACATACCATGCAGTGTGTGACACACGAGAGTTGATTGGCTGACGATTTCGTGATATGCGTCTGAGTGGGAACACAGTGACATAACTATGGCTGGAGGTATTCACGAAAGAGAAGTTCAGTGGGGCTGGGAGGGGAGTTTTCTTTGAAACCTCTGTGACCTATGAGATTCCTATTTATGGTCCCTCTACTTTTCAGTTCCTTGCCAGGCTGCCTTTGCAACTTACATGCCTCTATGTTTTTCTAGGATATGAGGATTGATAGGCTACCCCAGGAATGCATTGAACGCCTTTCTCGTTTGCTAGAGAATGGTACATCAGTTGACTGGAAAGTACTCGCCACTGAAGGATTTCCATCCATTTATTCTGACCCCAAAAAGTTGGCTAGAATAGAGAGCAGTCCCCGCCCCGCGTCAGGATTACTTCATGATCTTTGTTTTCGAGGTGAAAGCGTTGAAACTCTTTTAAGAGCCCTGAAAAAGATTGGAAATGCACGAGCCGTTTCTGTTATCATTGAAGGTGAGCTTTTTTCTTACTCCTGCTTTTTCTTGTTTCCTTTACCCTTTCCTAAACATCTACCAGAAAATATTTAGAGGAAATCTTATAAAAAAAATCAGACGGTAAGGGTGAGTTACAACGTTTGAACCTTTCATTCACTGAGAGGGAGCTCTATCTGGTTTGCTCTCCTCGTCATCTCAATGCTTGTTATCCTTATCCATCTCTGAAGGCAACTTCAAATTTCAGTTTCTAATGACTATGACTTCCTAACTATTTTGTACCACACAAAAGCGCATTTCCGTTACGTGTCGTAAAGTCAAAAGTGGAGGAATCACTCAGAAATAAGGAAATGATCACGATGAGCTAATTAAAAGACAAACAGGCAAACGACTCAAGCCACGGATAATGCAAACGATCAAGTCACCATTACTTTTCGGTTTTGTTTTTGATGGGTTGAGGATGGCGTGAGTCCTTTGACCAATCAAAAGGCGTGCTATAGCAAAAACGGAACAATGCAAACCCCGATTACTTTCTGCGTTCAGATGAAAACAAGTTACTCTTTCCTGTTGTTAGCTGTAGGATCATGAAAATACGCAATCTAAGATCTTTTTCAAATGAATTCCATTGCATCATTTTGTTTCTGTCCTTTGATTCCGTTTCCAGAAGTTCCAGAGTTGGGGAAAAACCGTGTGGATCGTGAGATATCACCTCCCCCAGGAATCCGCTCTATGCAACCTGAAGAGGTACAAATTACTTGTTTTATTTCTAGTCCTATAAGAAGGAAGGGACGAAGTATCTGTAAGTTAGCTAAAAGGTTTTCGAGTTTCTTAGGAATATTTACGTTGACTCTTTTACTCATTTTAAATTATAATTAGATAAAGAATAGCTAGTCTCATATACATATGCAAAAAAAGCAAGCAGGAAATGCGTCAAGAGGAGAGTAGGCCATGCGGGTCCAATGTTTCGGCTTGTTCCCGTTTTCGGGAACAAGGCTAAACATTGTACCTGCAATCGGCCAATAACCTGCAGTATCTAGAGGTCCCTATTAAGAACATGTTTTGGCTAATTCTGTTTTTCAGTCCGCGAGGAATCAAAGCATGACATTCTTTCGTCATGTAAAGGTAGAATATTAATGAAAATCCCGTAGTGCATCAGTCTAGTACCCTAGAAATTTTACCAGGGACACAAACAGTTATTTGTGCTGAAAAGCAATCGTTCCCAGTTTCCACCTTTCGATTCAGCGAAGAACTTATCCTTAATAAGAAGATAATAAACTGTCTTAAAACCCAACGAAGTATTTTAATTCATATGAACACTCACTTCGATAACTTTACTTCTTAATCCTAATTTTTCTTTTTTTGCCCAATTGCTGTTAACTTGTGTTATCCATTTACATGTACTCTGAAATGTAAAATGTTTAACACATCCCTTTTTAATTTGTTCGGCTTAGAACCACGATATCACGGAACAATCCGAAACATTACGACGTCCCATCCAAGAAGCAGGGATCGGGAATCGAACGCCCTCCAGCCACCCAGTGAGTAATACCTCATTAATGGATTTGATAAGCGCCATGTTTTCGTGCTTTGGATATTTTAATAATTTTTATTGAGATTACTTATTCATTTGACATGTACAATCTTAAACTGAAAAAGGCTTGTCCAAATTGAAATCTGTATGTTTTACTTTGTTTCTTTTATACAGCTAAAATGTTAATTAGTCGGATATGGCATTGAAAGTACTGTTGAAAAAACTAATCTATTTCTGTATTTTATAATTCTTAAAACAGCTTGTCCGCGAGCCTACTAGGGGTAATAGTGTTTTAGACTTAGTGATATCAAACCTAGCTTCTTATTATAACAAGCCTGTTGTAAGCGCGAACATGCCGGTGTCCCTCAGGGCACCAAATTGGCTCCAATCCTTTTTCTGATAATGATCAACGACCTGGCTACTCACTCCCCCCTCCGCTCGAGCCACTGGAAGCACGTCGATGACGTAACAATATCCGAGGTCTCCAGTTTGGGGGAGGTGTCATCTCTGCAGAACGACATCGACTGCATTTCGCAATGGGCCCAGCAGAACATCATGAATCTCAACCCAAAAAAATGTAAGATCATGACCGCCTTGAAGCGCGCTGGGGTCCCTCCGGCGGACCTTGTCACCATCTATAGCGCCTTGGTTCGTTCTGTCCTAGAATACTCTTCCGTTGTCTAGGCTACCTGCCTTCCTCGCTTCCTCATTGACCAGCTAGACCAGCTAGAGGCTATCCAGAAGAGGGCTCTGCGAATCGTATATCCTGACCTCCACTATCAACAGGCTCTTGCGCAAGCCAACATTACCAGTTAAGAGTATAGACGCGCCCACCTGTGTCTCAAAGTCTGGCACAATATCAAAAATAACCCGGCCTGCCAACTGCACCGACTCCTCCCTACCGTGCGATCCGAATGCCACTCTCACCATATTAGTAGCCGTTTTCAGTATAGAACAAAATGCTTTGGTTTTAGTTTTTTCCCAGCAATGGCGAAAATCAACTAATCAACAGGAGTCTGGTTATTTTTATTATAGTATTTTATCCATATCCGAATTATTTCTTGTATCATGTAGGCACACTGTAATTCATAGTTTTTATCCCACCGTGTGTATTTTAATAAACCATTATTTATTTATTTATTACTTATTTACAAATCCAAATGCATCTCTCTCTTACTCGCAATTAATTTCACCAACACAATAATTCATCTGCTTAGCCTCTGAGACGTTTATAATCTGAAATGTAAAATGTTTAACACATCTTTTCTTTAATTTGCTCTGCCTAGAACTACGATACCGAGGAACAATCCGAAACATTACGACGTCCCGTCCAAGAAGCAGGGATCGAGAATCGAACGCCCTCCAGCCACCCAGTGAGCAATACTTCATTCATAGATTTGGTAAGCGCCATGTTTCCGTGCTTTGGACATTTTAATCATGTCATTGAGATTACTTATTTAATAAATATGTAGAGTCTTAAATTGAAAAAGGCTTGTCGAAATTGAAATCTGTATGTTTTATTTTGTTTCTTTTATACGGCTAAAATGTTAATTAATCTGATTTGGTATTGAAAGTACTGTTGGAAAACTAATCTATTTCTGTATAAATCCAAACGCATCTCTCTCTTACTCGTAATTAATTTCACCAACACAATAATTCATCTGCATAGCCTCTGAGATGTTTATAATCTGAAATGTAAAATGTTTAACACATCCTTTCTTTAATTTGTTCTGCTTAGAGCTACGATACCAAGGAACAATCCGAAACATTACGACGTCCCGTCCAAGAAACAAAGATCGGGAATCGAACGCCCTCCAGCCACCCAGTGAGGAATACTTTATTGATGGATTTGATAAGCGCCATGTTTCCGTGCTTTGGACATTTTCATCGTTTTTATTAAGATTACATATTTTACAAACATGTACAATCTTTTGAATTAAATTGCGATATCAAATAACAGTAAAAAAATTTTTGATTTGGTGCTTATGGGTGGCAACACCTTAACTTGCCTCACCTGAGGTCAAAGCAAAGCTTTCAATGTCTAGAGCCTTGTAGTGTTGCCGGATTTGTTGTGTATAATCCACACATTCCCGGTTTGCGTATCGTTATAGATGAAAAAAAATTTTAAAATCTAGAAATAGTGTTTGAATTTAGCCAAAAATATTAACTCAAATCCTTGGTGACACTAGTTATAGTGGATAATGCAACCATGTGAAGAACGTTTGCTTTTAATGTAGCAGTCTTAATTCATTTTTGGAAGGTTGAGTTAACTTAGAGTGTTTTTAATTGTGTACACTGCGGCTGTTATTGATATGTTCTGTTGCAAAGGAACCTTGTGATTTTTTTGTCAAATAAAAACTGATTACATATATGCGAGGTAAGCTGACATATTAGTTTTATGAACTTAGAAAAGGGCAACATCAAAGAAATAATTTTAAAAGGAACCAAAGAACAAGAAATAGAGAAATATTCATTAAACCTCATAACACTACTTTATAAGGGAACCAAAAAACCAACTTAAAACACGCTCGTTCTGCGAGCAGACTGAAAAACATCGTAAGCACAAATGCTTGTCAATGTTGCTATCACATTTAAAAAACAAAGGCCGTGAAATCTTGGGGAAAAAAACAAGGAATCAAATCTATGCCATGAATTAATTCCATACGAACTCAACAGATTAGGCCCTTGTTATCTGACAAATCAGAAAATTATCAGCTCGTACGTGTATTAACTCATTTGTCCTTTTACTAAGCAACGAACTCCTTTTCTTACTCTTTCTCGTACCAGTCCTAACTCTCTCCACCCAAAAAGGAAAGAGAGACAAGGGAGAAAACAAGGCGACAAAGTAGAGCATAATGAATGTTTATTTGTCATTTGAAATATTAGAAACCACAATGAAGTCTTATTTTTGCTGTAACATTGAATTAATAGCATATTTTTTATTTCAAGCGAGAACCTTTGCGTCTCTAGTGTTGAGACCCGTAAATTGCATAAATTCACGGACTTGCCCAAACAGTCGATTATCTGGCGAAACTAACACTTGCTCCGACGAACTATTGACTTTAAGCTTCCACAAAAAATTTTATTTGACAGAAATTACACCGCTTACTGTAAACTGTCAACAATATGACCTCTGAAGGGTGTGGTACCTGTGCAACATTCACTGTAGAACGATTTATCCCTCTAATAGTTCAAACAATATACTTACGCATGTTGCATTATCAAAGTGCCCCTAGCATTATTTTGTCATTTCTATGATAACAGTATTCAGTTAACCAAATCAAAACCAAGTGTGTCAATTATTTCAACACACAAAAAAACTACCAAAAATTATCACAGGTCCCTGAAGGGAGCGATTTACTCCGTTGGTTTAAAATGTAATAAAAGTCGAGAGGCTTGAAAATGTCTTCGAATAACAAACACCACTTTTCGTCCGTCAGTTCTTTAGCAGCTGTCGTCAATACTATCCCTTGACAATAAATGAAATGTTCCTGCAGCTCTCTCTTAGTTCGACCGTCTAGCGATACGCTCTTTTCAGGATGATAGTTGAAAAAAGGAGACAAGGAAGCGACAGTTGGTTCCGAAATCAAGTTATCTTCCTGTGGAGACGGCTCGGTGTTCTCCAGTGCTAGTTTTGTTACTTTATTCTTGCGAATCTTGAATGAATTTCTGATTCTCCAACCTTTTACTTTACAGAGAGGCCAGAACTTCATTTTTGAACTTTTTCTTTCTTGAGTGGCCATGTTTGATTCCAGGAAACTGAAATCTTCAGTAGAATTTAGAGTCGTTCTTCGGTCCTTCGGTAGTTCTTTAGAATGTATTAGTACAAATCAATGACAAACTCAAAAACATCAGCTTGTCCGTTAGCTGTTTATATAATACTATATATGTAATGATTCTACAAATATTATTGTTATCACTATGACAAACAAAAATTTAAAAAAACCCACAAGAATTGGTTCTAATTAGTTGAGTAATTAGCCACTGATGGATTGTTTTTGGCAATGTCATGGACCTAAGTTTTCTTTGTGCCATTCTAGACACTAATAACGTTTTCAAAATTCGTGTATCCATTACTTACGAGATATAACTGTTAATTTTGCTTTCTAGCTGCCAAACGTTTTCGTGTAAATTAGTTACAAAGAATTTGGTGTTAGATCATGATAACAACTTCTACCTGATAAGTCTCAGTTTTCTCATCACCTGTTTGCTGGATAATGTTTGGATATTATAGGGAGAAGTCACATGTTAATCACCTCTGGGAACTAAAGGGTAGAAGGGTAAATAACAGTTGAGAACGGATATCACTCATCTAGTTCTTATATAACATTTATTCATTTATTACATAACAACGCTTGAGTCTTTATATTATAAAGAGAGTTTAGTTACTTGCAGAGGATGTCGATTCTATAACATTCTATACATTCATTTTGTGATAAACGTTTTAGTCCAAACTTTCGAAGCCGGCCAAAACAGCTATATTCCCTTCTTTCCTAACTCCGTTTAAAGCGCTAACCGCAAGGTTGTTCCCACCAAATGGAAAACAGCTGATGTCATACCCATGTACAAAGAAGACGAAGAGATCGATAAACTCAATTACCGCGGTATTTCATTACTCAGTGTTCCTGGTAAATTAATGGAGTCAACTGAAACTTCCAACCCTGACACTGTGGCCTCCTCTCTGATTGTTTATGAGTAAACTCACCGATTGGTGTCGACACAATTTTTTCATACCACACCTGTGCAAGACAGTTTAGGGAAAACTTGGAACACTTTGTGCGTCAGTTTCATCGGAGGAAATCGTGGGTGGGTTTGTCATGTATCATGATAACCGTTGTTGGACTCAACAATAATCGTCTCACGGTAAATAACGGTTAAAAGTTGACATCACATTTCGTTTTCACAGAACATACCTTCATTTATTACATAACATCAGTGAGTCATCACATAACATAACTCGTTTTCAAGGAAAGCTCAGTTACTGTAAAGGGGAGTTGATTCCTGCAAAACTAACAGATTGATTATTCTCCATTATCTTCTGTAGTAAGGAGACAGTCTATTCTTTTTTTCACATCGTTCCTGAACATTCATGGATAACACAACAAAACATTATACATTCCTTTTTAGTTAGTATTGCATAACATACTTTTATGTTCAGTGTATTGCGTTTTTCAAGTCACAATCAACCTGGTCAGTTATTTCATCATAAAAAGAAAAACCTTAATGAGGATGCACAAGAGATTTGCGGGAAGAGTTATTTTTGAGCTCCTTCCTTTTTGAGTGGCCATGTTTGATTCCAGGAAACCGAAATCTTCAGTAGTATTTGGAGTCGTGCTTCGGTCCTTCGGTAATCGTGTAGAATGTCTAAGTGCAACTCAATAAAAAACTCAAAACATCAGCTTGTCTGTTAGCTGTATGTATAATACTGTATAAATAATAATGATACAAATATTATTTTTGTCACTATGACAAACAAAAAAATTCAACAAACCCCACAAGAATTGGATCTAATTAGTTGAGTAATTAGCCACTGATGGATTGTTTTTGACAACATCACAGACTTTGAGTTTTTTCTTTATGTCATTCTAGACCCAAATAACTTTTTTGAAAATTCTTGTATCCATTACTTAAGATAAATAACTGTTAATTCTCCCCTTTAGCTGCTAATCATTTTCGTGTAAATTAGTTACCAAGAATTTGGTGTTAGATCATGATAACAACTTCTACCTGATAAGTCTCAGTTTTCTCATCACCTGTTTGCTGGATAATGTATGAATATTATAGGGAGAAGTCACATGTTAATCACCTCTGGGAACTAAAGGGTAGAAGGGTAAATAACAGTTGAGAACGGATATCGCTCATTTTTGTTTTTTTGTTGTTTTCTTGTTGTTTTTTTGTTTTGTTTTTTTGGTTTTTTAGGTTTTTTTTTACATTCTATACATTCATCTTGTGATAAACGTTCTATTCCAAACTGTAGAAGCCGGCCAATACAGTTATAATTCCTCCGTTGCTGTCTCCGTTAAAAGCGCTAACCGCAAGGTTGTTCCCACCATATGGAAAACAGCTGATATTATACCTATGTAAAAAGAAGACGAGGAGACTGATAAACGCAACTACCTTGGTATTTCATTACTCAGTGCTCCTGGTAAGTTAATGGAGTCAACTGAAACTTCCACCCCCGACGTTTTGGCCACCTCTCCTAATTTTATGTTGAGTAAACTCACCGTCTGGTGTCGAGACAATTTTTTTACACCACACCTGTGCAAGACAGTTTGAGGAAAACTTGGAACACTTTTTGAGTCAGTATAATCAGAGGAAATCGTGGGTGGGTATGTCATGTATCTTGATAACCGTTGTTGGACTCGACAATAATCGTCTGGACCTTAAGTAAATAACGGTTAAAAGTGGAGATCGTACATTAAGTTTCAACAGAATATACGTACATTTATTACATAACATCGTTGAGTCACCACATAACATAATTCGTCGTTAAGGAAAGCTGAGTTACTATAAGGGGGAGTTGATTCCTGCGAAACTAACGGATTGATTATTCTCCATCGTCTTCTGTAGCAAGGAGACAGTCGATTCTTTTTTCACATCGATCCTGAACATTCATGGATTGCACAACAAAAGATTGCATATTCCATTTTAGTTAGTATTGCATAATATACTTATATGTTCAGTCTATTCAGCTTTTCAAGTCACAATCAACCTGGTCAGTTATTTCATCATAAAAAGAAAAACCTCAGTATGAACAAGATATCTGCGGGAAGAGCTATTTCACTCCGTTTAACACACACAAAAACTACCAAAAATTATCACAGGTCCCTGAAGGGAGCGATTTACTCCGTTGGTTTAAAATGGAATTAAAGTCGAGAGGCTTGAAAATGTCTTCGTATAACAAACACCACTCTTCGTCCGTCAGTTCTTTGGCAGCTGCTGTCAATACTATCCCTTGACAAGAAATGAAATGTTCCTGCAGTTCTCTCCTAGTTTGACCGTCTAATGATACACTGTCTTCAGGATGATAGTTGAAAAAAGGAGACAAGGAAGCGACAGTTGGTTCCGAAATCAAGTTATCTTCCTGTGGAGACGGCTCGGTGTTCTCCAGTGCTAGTTTTGTTACTTTATTCTTGCGAATCTTGAATGAATTTCTGATTCTCCAACCTTCTACTTTACAGAGAGGCCAGAACTTCATTTTTGAGCTTTTTCCTCCTTGAGTGGCCATGTTTGATTCCAGGAAACCGAAATCTTCAGTAGTATTTGGAGTTGTACTTCAGTCCTTCGGTAGTCGTGTAGAATGTCTAGGTGCAACTCAATGACAACTCAAAACATTAGCTTGTCTGTTAGCTGTTTATATAATACTGTATATATATTAATAATACAAATATTATTTTTATCACTATGACAAACAAAAAATTTAACAAACCCCACAAGAATAGGTTCTAATTAGTTGAGTAATTAGCCACTGATGGATTGTTTTTGACAACATAATAAACCTTTAGTTTTTTTCATTGTGCCATTCTAGACCCTCATAACTTTTTCAAAATTTGTGTGTCCATTACTTAAGAGATATAACTCTTTATTCTACCTTCTAGCTGCTAAACATTTCCGTGTAAATTAGTGACAAATAATTCGGTATCAGATCATGATAACAACTTCTACCTAATAATTTTCAGTTTTCTCATTACCTGTTTGCTGGATAATGTATGGATATTATAGGGTTAAGCAAACGGTTGTTTTGGTTTTTTTTTTACATTATATACAATCATCTTGTGATAAATGTTTTAGTCCAATACTGGTTGTGGTCCTGATGAGGTCGCACCAAAACTGTCGAAGCCGGCCCATAAAGATATAATCTCTTCGTAGCTGTCTCCGTTTGAAGCGCTAACCGCAACGTTATTCCGATCATATGGAAAACAGCTGATGTTATACCCATGTATAAAGAAGACGATGAGACCGGTAAACGCAACTAGAGATCTGTGAGGATAAGAGCTATTTCACTCCGTTTAACATACATTAAAAATACCAAAAATTATCACAGGCCCCTTATGGGAGCAATTTACTCCGTTGGTTTAAAATGGAATAAAAGTCGAGAGGCTTGAAAATGTCTTCGCAAAGCAAACGTCCGTTACTTCATTAGCTGCTGCTGTCAGTACTATCCCTTGACTTGGAATAAAATGTGCGTTCATTTCTCTCTCAATTTTTCAGTTTAGTTTGCCGTTTCTTCATGACGGTAATGGAAATAAGGAGTTAAGGAGGAAGCAGTTGGTTCCAAAGACACGTTATCGAACTGTGGAGACTGTTCTTCATTCTTCATGGACAGTTCGGTAGCTTTAAGAGGGTTCTAATTCCTGCGGATCGTGAACAAATTTCTGATTCTCCAAAATTTTTATTTGAGAAGGGGACGAGGAATTCACATTTTTGTACTTTCCCATTGAAGCGGTTTGGGTTAATTCCAGGATTATGATGTGCAATACACGTTCAAAAGTATTTAGAGTTTTTTTCCCTCGACAGTATGTAACCACCCTGACTGAAAAAGTACGGTTGTCTGCTTCCTTTATCTCCGAAATAAAGAAGAAACAGACCTACCACTACTACAAATAAATTGGTTTTAATCAATTTTGATTGGTTTTCAATTTATCCTTACGCATAATCGATGAAATTATCACTCTTGAAAATCAATGATGGATGGCACAAAATAAAATATGGACTGGACCAATGGACCCTTGGACTATAGGACTATTTCTTGGAATACTTTCTAGATCATTTTCTGAATCAATGCTTTTAGGACTATCAATACTAGGGGAGGGGTAGTAGGTATTTGTTTCATCTGTTGGGAGAGAGAAGACGGAAGATGGAAACTATTTATTTCCCCACAGCCTACTCAGTTTCACTTGAATAATAATTCCCTTTTTTTTTTTCACATGATATTTTGAACTAGCCTTAAGGCAACAACCACCAATCCAGGCGCGCAGAACATGTTGTGCATTATTCATAGTGTGCGTCAGAGAGATGAGTCTTAAAGTACATCATAAAAGAGAGAACTGTTCTCTATAAGATGATTTTTGTAATTTCACAAAGAATTTCTCATATTAAAGGTGAAAACATTAAAACTATGGGGACGCACTTGATTACTAAGCCAATAAGTTCTAAAGAAGCGGAAATTCCAAAGTCACTGACGGTCACTTCTTGATAATGGCAACTAATTTTGTGTGTTCCGACGGAAGGTTCATACAATCACTATCATTATTTCACGTTTTTTAATTTTAATTTAAAATGGCTACATCTTTCCATCGGCAAAGTCCACTAGAGAGAACCCTTATCACCAAATTTGCCTCTCTACAACGGCCGGTTAATAAACGAAAAGAGAGAAGCTAAATAACAGAAAAAAGCTAAATAAACAGAATACACTCCCTCTACCTTACCTGCTCTGTTTCACAAACACTTCTCTTCTGAACATTTATTTTTAGATCGTACGTTAATTATGTTTTGATAGGTATCTTTTAACCCCACAGACCTTAACATCAGTATGTATATTCTCCATACATTTCCCGATTCTTACAAGAAGTATTTGTACAACAATTTAGCGCTTTTCGAGTTCGCAATCATTTCCTTAATTCTCATAACTTTAATGTCTTCAGGGGTGATACTATTAGGAGACTTAAGGTGCTTACCACTGAGAAGTGCTAGAGGGTAAAACACGGAAAACTGTACCCTCGATTAAAAAAAAGGCATATTCCGGTAACGTTTCTCCACTGAACGAAAATCACTTCCTTCTGTCGACTCCGGCAAATCAAACACGGCCGGTTGAATATAGAATACAAACAATCGCGAGCTTCCTAATGTTAACTCGTCCTGATAAGACGCCCGCACTGCAGGCTAGCACCACTCTAAACGATCAAACTTTGTGAACTTCGGCCTCGTGTCGAGGGCGTAGAGTACGCTAAGTGGTAGACACCACAACTTCAAAATGCAACAAGGCATCCTTATTAGGCGTATTGATCAGTTTGTGAAACGATTCTAATTATCCCATTGGTAACCTGCTTACAGCCCCGTGCAACCTTTTTTTAACATCATAATAATGAGCCAAGCGATTGAGTACAATAAGAGGATAAACTCACTGCTGTTGGCGATGAAATTTAAAAGGCGAGTTCATCATTTTGCGAAAGCGAGAATGACTCTAATCGCCTCAGTTAAGACTCCAATAGTGCCATTATTGCTGCAATTGACACCTTTATTTGAGAGTTAACGTACAAATATTGAAAGTTATAATTATTGCCAAAAATTAGGACATCTGACAGTTAATTGGTAATTGAAGTCTTTGGTTGCGGTGTACTTTAGGCCGGCGACACACCTGGCGATTTTATACGCCAGTCGCGTCAATGTGGCACTTCAGCCTTTATCCCAGGTTCCATCGGGTGACGTATAAAAATTGCGCGAACCAATGTAAGCAAACAAAATGGTAACAGCGAAGCGCAAAAAATTGTCGGCTGCTGCCATAATTTTGCAACTAAAGTGCTCCAGGAAGCGCTTTGAAAAGTAGGACAAGAGAAAAAACATGGTCGAAGTCATGGATTTACTGAAACGCAGAATCCTTTTTGGGACGATTACTGCAGTCAATCGACATCAAGTAAAGATGGCTTTTCTGACCACAGTGTGATCAAATTGATTTGTTTTTCTTCGGTTCAGAAACAATTTTCGATACTCTCCGCCATCTTGAATGGTCATGTGATAATATCGCCCAACTTGATTGGTTAATTTTACTGTCGACTCGCATTGGAAAGGGGAGAAAATCGCGGGACCGGGCGGTCTAAGCGAATGCCGGCGAATTTACTCGCCTATGTCTGACATGCCAGATATCGGCGATTTTATATGCCGATCGCGGCGAAAATCGCAATCGCCGCACCGGGCACACCTGGCGATTTACACCAATCGGCGTGTAAAATCGCTGGGTGTGTCACCGGCTTTAGGTTTGAGTGCCGTAGATTTATCCTCATTGGAAGTAAACTTCAAAATTAAATGAAGGTTTGGTACATCAGACTCATTAACTTCACCCAGTTATTAAAAGTACGGAAAAGGAGACAAATTTTATCAAAACATTAAGGTTCAATATCGCGCCATTTTTTCGCCGTCGGGAAGTGAAATATGTCCGATTGCCGCTCAGTGGAAAGAGCGAAAATGTTAACCTAAAAAGTTAGAAACATGATCTCGCTGCCTAGTTCCGTATATAAACAAATTTTCAAAGCCTTTTCAAAGCCTTACTTAAAGCAAAGCGTGACTTAACTCATACGAAGTTGTTGATAGAATCTGACAACAGTTTAATTAAGCCATAGTTTTTCACATTTGAAAGCGGATATATAGAGCAGCTGTCATCCTTACTTTGTACTTTTACAATGGATGTATATTTACTCTTTAGGAAATCCACCAGACTTCGTCATTTGCGCATGAAAGGCAACCAATTAAAACCTTTTGATCAACTCGTCTCACGTTGATCACTGAATTTTCTGGCACCTGAATAAAATTTTCTCGATGCAATGTTGGATGAAGTAACTGACTGAAAAAAAATTAAACATTTTTTTACATCATTCGGATTTCAAATCAGAAAGCCAAGAAATTTGGCTGTATCGCATTTCTAAGACTTCATTCGTGTAATCAACAGTCTTTACCACCCGGAATCAATGTTCATTGTTCACAAATTTGTTATAATCTGAGAAATAAAGCTCCATTTCCGCTGTTTATCTTCAATCACATTCAATTTACAAAGCTTTCATTCAGCGTCATCCCAAAAAATAATGAAAAATGCGGATACTTATAAGGTGTTTTTTCTTTTTGTCTGATGGTAAGCTTTGAAATTTCTCTTTAAGACGTCTTACACTCGAGCTTTAAAACTACGTCTTGTGCTTTTGAACAAGCTTCAATATTCTCATATACTTATAGTCTGTTAACCCTTTGAAAAAAAAATACAAAATTCTGAACTCCAAAGATCGAGGAGAATTGAACAAAGATATTGATATCTCCTTTTACACGCTACATAAACAGCAGAATTAATTGCACTCGAATTATAGCATTTTGGTTTCGTGCCCAAGTCTTGGCGATTTCAGTCGCTCTTGCATTGGTTGAGTTTGATCCCCTACAGGAGTGTTCTGTTCGATTAAACCTCCAGGGCCTAAAGCATTAGGAAAGTCTGATAAACCTTTACTAATACACGTAGTTCGGTTCCGTTGCCCACACCTGCTAAAAGTTGTGCGGCAAACAGCTCTTAGCGCTTGTCGATACTGCGGTATTCTCCACGCGTATAGAAACGGATTTACAGCGCAGCTAACGCACAACATCGACATTGATAGAGCTCTTGTTATTTCAAAAGCTAGCCCATCACACACATTGCTTTGTTCCTCGAGACACCGCTCCTCCAAGTTAGTAACAATTAGGTAGGGTATAATTGATAAAAACAACACGATTGTGATCAGGATAATTGTCAAAACGATCTTTTTTTCCAGACGGATGTTCCGAGCAAAAACGCGCGATCTTCCTCCATTATCATGCTGCATGAACGTGACGTTTCTTGAATATCGGCGGAATTCAATATAAGTCGCTGCGTTGATGACGCAAAGTATTGTCAGTGGAGCCGTAGACTGAAGATGAAGATCCACTGTGTGGAATATTTCCTCTGATGTACTCATTGAGTGCCATGCTTCAAACAGCCCACAAAAGAGCCATATCAAAATGTTACATGTGACGACCTTTCGCACTGTTATAAGCGCCCTATACTTCCAAATAAGCTTTATAGCCAGAAATCTATCCACTGATAACGCCACGACCGTTGAAATTGATATTTTGGTGCTAATATGAGAAGAAACAGTAGAAATCTTGTGTAGGTTTGGTAAATTCACTCCACATGGATGGCAAAGCATGTATGTTGAGTACAAAGGCTGCACGAAACTTCCTCCAAGTAAATCACTTAACGAGAGGCTTGCCACGAGAAAAGTTGTGGGGCGCACTCGGAAATACATGTACGGATCTTTGAAAAGTGTCCATAGAAGAACACTGTTTGTTGCGAATGAAAAGAAGCCAAGCAAAGCGCTACAAATTCCTGCCAAAAGCGCGACTGATGCTGTTGGAATTCCTTCAAAATGTCCGTGTTCATCGTGATGTGATTCAGCAGTCTCGTTCATGATTAACACCGACGGACACTGCTCAAGCTTTTATGTAGAAACTCTTGATTTGATGATTAATATGGCTGAGGATGACTAATGAATCGCGTGGTCACATGAGAGGCAGATTGTTTTGAAGCTGGCTAGTATTTCTTAGCTTGCGACACCTTTCCTTAAAGCCAAACTTGGATATCTAATTGATCGCGCAACACCAAGAACAGTTTTACCGATGCAATATTTCCAAACATCGAGTGTAACAGAGCTGAAAATCCTTCTCTCATGTCCCTATTGTGATCAATGTACGTTGGTTACTTGGTAAGTACACGAACTGACGAGTGTTCTATTACAACAATGGTCGGTCTTGACATCCTCCTGATGAATATGACATCGTTTGCATTAAATATTTGGAAAAAATTCTCTTCCCAGGATAAGAATGGACAGTCATTGAAAAACTTGCCTGAATTTCTTGAAGAAAAAACTCATTTAAATTCGAATCGTTTTACTTAAGGGATGTAATCACTAAAGCTCCCTTGTCCTATCGAGTGTCCGTTGCGAAGCTGATGACTTTTAAAAAAATTGCCAACAGAAAATATGAAAACAGCCGAGATATTAAAAGAAAATTAACACTACAATATTCATCCTAGACAGAGCTTAAAACAGTTATGTTAATTATAATCTTGGATTTAAAGGATCGCAAAACTCACGTAAACGGGCGCACTAGAGTAGTTTTATTAACTGTTCTCCTCAAACTCAACTTAAAAACAGATTTCGGTACGAGACTAAGATATGATTCTTTCTAAGCTGGTGCGTTTTACAAGCTGACCCAAAAAAGCCAATTCATCTGACATACCCTTTTTAATATTTATGAAAAATTCGCTTATCTGTGTCAATGTTTTTTAATAAAGCATTTTTAAAGGATGGTGAGGTTAACTCTCGAAAAAAGACACAACATTAAAAAAAAAACTGCCGACTTCTACATGGCCCCGCTCTAGACATTATTTATTTACCACGCAGGAAACTGAGTCAATCGAAATCCTCTGCATTTTAAAAGAAATGCAATAGAAAGAACACAATGACAGGTGTGATTGACTGTTTTCAAAACACTCAATCACACCTGCCATTGCGTAATAATGGTAATTTTGTGCGAGTCCTTCCATAATAACAATTTCCTTGGCTGTAAACTGCGAAAATCTTCCTCAAATCGTCTTAATTCGCACTTCTTTCTTGTCCTTTATTTGCTAAATGTAAGATTATCTCCGGATTTGTTTCCTCATTTTGCGTCATCACAAAATCACTCAGAGTTGATCTCCACCCTAAAGCTTACAGCAGGCGTTCATCATCATTTAAAATATCCGATATAAAACCTTTATTGTTTTCATTGACCGCGCTAAAATTGCTGAAAAAGTGGAAATATTAACCAAACACAGAAGGAGGAAAATAAATATAACTTTAGACATAAATCGTCAGAGGTTTTTGTTTGTCGATTATGCCTTTCTCCCTTCCTTCTCATTTGAATGTTTCATGAAGATCGAAACCATAGCAGCAAATTTTAATTTTTATGCCAATAACTTTCTGCTTCTGACAGTTCGAAATAAGAGGAAATATGTACTCAGAGGGTTCTTTTTTCCTGCCTTCTATGCTATTCAAAACCTTCTTCCAAAGCGGGGATAACTATAGCAACCACGACTCCGTTTTGCCGGCTTCGATTTAGAACTGAGCTTCATGCATATGCTCTATGTGTATACCATGACAATTTTTGAATGCTGAGGACATTTTGAAATGAGATAATATTATTTTTGTTTTCGGCAGGAGAGTTCAACTGACGTTTCAATCCTGGTTAATACGCCTTTCATTATTTTGTTAAAGCTGGATCTGTTAACGACATAACGATCATATCATAATTATATGGGGTGTTTAATTCATGTGGAAAGAACACCAAGACACGATACGGGCTGACCGTATTCTAAGAAAATAACCGAAAATTTTGTTATGACTATAATTACCTGTATAATAATGATTCTGGGAGAGGAAATCAAGCGTAGGTCGAAGCCGTCGTACGGATATATTCATTCCTTACATTTTGGCCATTATTTTCGATACCAGTAATCTGCAGCTGGTGAAATTCTCGGCTAGATCTTGAGTAACTGAGGTGCTTTTTCATGCCTCGGATGTGTTCCCGATGGTTTTATGACTATGATAGTTATGCCGCCAGTGGAAACTAAAGCCCAGTACCGCTAACTAATATTTGCTTAGCTGTTTTTTAGACTATTCGAATGACAACAAAATAGAGTTCAAAATTCATGTAAAATTGGGGTTTCAGAAAATCAACATCCCTTTGTTTTCAGACTTCTTATCAAATCGCTTCGTCACTCGTAAAAGCGAAGATAATAATCAGTTTCTGTGTACTTTCAGTTCGTTGAACTTTTCATGTTTTCAGGTCCGCTGCTCCTCATCCATCCATGAGTATTTAAAACTTCATTGAATACAGCTACCGTATTTATTCGATTAAGCGCTCAGGGCGCTTATTTAATTTATAGACTTTCAGAGTGGGCCCTTAACGAGGTGGGCGCTTATTAAATTTTCACCATTCACGAATGCTCTTACAGTCTACATTGAACTTTTTTGCAGCGCTAGAGATGCTTTTACTTTCTTCGGCAAACTTGATACCTTCTAACTTATATTCGGTCGAGTACGAACTTACTTTTTTGCTGGCATGAGACTGAGATGCATCAGACTCCCTGCTTTCAGATCAAAGGGAAGATAAAAACGTGACTTGTGTGATTTATATCTTTTTAAACATCTTGGAATCAAATATCTGATCTGTCAGTTTACACATCACATGAATGCATGAAGATGCTAGATCCCACAAGTCTTCAATAAGGTAATTACGAGCAAGAACGATAGTCAAAGAGCTCCCGGTACGTAACGGGAAACACGTGTGCCTTCCGCTGTAGCTTAGCAAACTGAACAGCTCGCTTTTAGTGCCAGGGCATTCAATGTGAATTCAAAGCCATGGCTCGCTCAAGTTTTCATTATCTGAAATAGAACTTTCTATTTGAAGTGCAATTCACATCAGTTATACGAGGCCATAAAATTTATAAATCTGTGTGTGTGGACTCCAACTTTGGGAGAGAAACTTAACTGCCGCGAGGATGATCGCAAGGAAGCCAAACAACATGATGAATATGCAATTGGGACGTATTTGAAAGCTTATTTGGAAGCTTATACCGGCACCGTATTTATTCGATTAAGCGCCCAATCTCGAATAAGCGCCCACCCTGGGGGTAGAAAAAGTTAATAAGCGCCCAGCCTCGAATAAGCGCCCACCCCCAAAAAGTACTTTTTAAGCGCCCAACCTCGAATAAGCGCCCACCCCCCCTCCTCCCCCCAAGGAAAAAAAATGATAAAGTGCACAAGAGGAATACGAGTATTGATTATTACGGCTTACAATCTCTAGTGTCAAAAAATATAGCAACAGCGAGCTTGTAGGACATATGCCAATGGAACTGTCTTACCTTATCTATACATTTCTGAGAGCTTACGACGATAATGAGGTTTCTGTTAAAGTAACAGGGAAAAGAAGGCTGTAGAACGGACTTGTTGTGCCAGGAACATTCAAAGCGCGAAAACTAAGGAGGGCTATTGCCACGAAGTTTGAGCGGGAGATTTTGCGGCTGAAAGAACTTTGCGCTCACATGAACATTTCAGTCGAAACTTAGAGAATGAGGCTCATGTAGCAAATTATTGCAACTATAAATCAAGTAGAGACATAGAAAAAAAACCCTGGCCCTCCAACATGGTGACCCTAACAAAACAATAGTAGCTCCATATAGTCAAGGTAACGAGTTAATTTTTGGACAGAATGCAGGACAACAATGTGTTGCAAGGAGTTTGTGTTCCTTGATTTACAGTAACACTCAATGGATCATTACTGCAAATGATCTTATACAAATAATGAATATTGGAAATCAGCTTTAATCAAGTTTGTAAAGATTAGCTAGACAGGCATATTTAATGCAGTCAGAATTGCCAGCAGCATTAAATGTGTTTGATACTGAATATCAACTGGAAAACAGTGAAAGCTACTCTGGTACTGTTCAACAATAAATTGCCATAGAGGGATATCAGTACTGTACTCTTTACGAAGAGCCTTTGAGTCGCTCAGATCTGAAAGCTACACCAATTTCATATTAACAGTTGGGTGTAGTAATAAGTATTGAAATAGTAGCCAGTTATATATGGCACTACCTCCCCCCACCCCACCCCAGAAAAGGGCCTTCACATTACATAACAAATGCCGTTTTCAGCTCTGTATTTATATGTGACATACTCTGGCATACCATGAGAAAAACAGTTACAGGATAAACCAATAATTGCATTAAAAAAACTCAGGCAAATGCAAGCACAAAAAACAAAGTTTATTTCCAACAGAAAACCCGGATGGACGGAAATATGCTTCTAGTTTTCTTCAAAATTCATCTTTCTCTCAATTTAGGATAAAAGCTGTTCTGTATGTTTGGAGCCATTCTAGTTTTTCAATTACAGACAGGTGGCCATGATAGGTTTAAGTCGAAGAAAAAGTGTGTGTCATTCGTAAATACCGCTGGATTTTGTGTCAACAGTGCAGGTTTTTGCAAGCTTTGCAGAAAGATGGGTCTTCATACTCGATCTTAAAGTGACTTTAATTCGGTTTCGCTCAGGGACACTTGAAAATAAATTAAGGCGGTTTCCAAGAGCTTGCGGTGTTACTATGGAAAATTCTTGCGTTGGGGAAATGCTTAGTATTTAAAACGAATGTTTATGATGGCATTGTCGGTGTAGCATATGGAAAATCATGATCATTAAACGATAAGCTGCCAAGCATCAGGAAACTGTTTTGAGCTTCCTATCGATCCAAATTGTGTACCTGTGTACTACGAGCGACACTGACTATCACCTCTACATAACGGATGACGAAGCCTTGTCTTAAAAGGTGTGGTTCAAAAGTATATTGTAAAAGAGAGAACTGTTCTCTACAAGATGATCGTTTGCGACTGTGCAAAGAATTTCTCATATTAAAGCTGACAACATTAAAACTACGAGGACGCACTTGATCACTACGCCACTATAAGTTCTAAAGGGGCGGAAATTCTGAGGTTATTGACGGTCACTTCCTGATAATACCAACTTTTTTCGTCTGTTCCGGCGGAAGGTTCATACAATCACTATTATCATTTCACGTTTTTAAAAAAATGGCCACATCTTTACATCGACAAAGTCCACCAGAGAGAACCCTTTATACCAAACTAGCCTCTCTACAACGGCCGGTGAATAAACGAAAAGAGAGAAGCTAAATAAACAGAAAAAAGCTAAATAAACAGAAAAAAGCTAAATAAACAGAATACACTCGCTCTACCTTACCCGCTCTGTTTCACAAACCCTTCTCCTCTGAACATTTGTTTTTAGATCATACATTAACTGTGTTTTGATAAGCATCTTTTAACCCTGTAAACCTTAACATCAGCACGCACGTTTTTCATACATTTCCTGATTCTTACAAGAAGTATTTGTAGAAGAATTAAGAGCTTTTCGAGTTCGCAATCATTTCCTTAATTCTCATGACCTTAACGTTTTCATTCAGGGGTGATATTCCTGAGAGACAACTGATGCCCTCCACTCATAAGTGTTAGAGGGTGAAACACGGAAAACTGTACCCTCGATTAAAAAAAGTCATATTACACTTCGTTCTTCCGGTAACGTTTCTCCTTTGAACAAAATCACTTTCTTCTGTCGACGGGTTGCAGTTCGACTGTGAGGGTATCTTTTCTCTGATCAATATACGTTGAATAGCACGCTCAAGTAATCAATATGTAAAATAGCAGGGTTTTATTGAGTATCAATGAAGGGTACTTTTTGCACTGACATCAATTTGTTAACACATTATTCCTGTTTCGTCCGAAAACCTTTGTGTTTTTCTTGAGACCCATAAATTGCGCATATTCACCACCTTTCTGGCCAGTCTGGTAATTTACGGTACGGTGGCGTCTGCTACAAGAGGGTCTAGATGGGGAGGTACAAATGTAACAAATCTTCAGCACGCAAACTTCTGTTTGTCCGTGCGCAACATTGAAACATTCCTTTTCAACCACTTAGTCGGTCAAGATGTTGGAAAGAAGATCGTCAGAAAGACAAAAAACTCTTGAAGAGTCCTCTTGCACAATATATTGGTTTTATGTTTTGTTTCACAACGCGTCCATTGTGATTGGCTCCAATGAAATGATCGGAAAGGAATGTTCTTTTGTCTACTTTTCCATTAGGTTATTGGAGATATCTACTGTAAGCGTGCCTAAGAAATCCAAGCGAAAATGGGCGCGAATTTGCCGCCCGGATCTAGAAACCGTAATTGGGGTAATATCTTCATCCTCTCGGTCATAAAAGTTGTTTTCTAAGTTCGTGTCATATTCGTCTGCATATGTTCGCACCTCAGCAACTGCCACTTCAACGATACAGTCGTCAACGAATGTGACATCTGTCACATTCCCACCTTCCGAAGTGGGAAACCCTAAAAGCTCAGTGGAACGGTGGAATGGCGGAAAATGACCCCCAAATCCTAAAACACGGAACGGCGGAAAATGACCCTCAAATCCTAAAACGGATGTCAGAGCATGTTGCACGAACTGTTTGTACAAAGACACTCAAGCGCTTGGCACACTAATCCCCACGACGATAACGCGCGTGACAAAAATTAAGTATTATTAATTTTTTTTTCCTTTTACTCAGTAGTATGAATAATTATTGTGTTCCTTTTTTTAAATGTTATTAATGTTACCATGTTCGTATCTATCGCGATTAAAGAATGGGACGTGCCAATTAGCTATTTTCTGACACTTTGACGTTTATCGTCCGTCGTTTTTACTTTAAGGTCGAGTTCTCGGGGTAACTAATTAAGTAACTACCTAAGGGGTACCGAGCTCGAGTTTCCTGTTAGCAAAGGACTGGGAAAAATGAGGTAAAATCTAAGGGAAATCGGGTCTTGTTCGAGTAAGCGGGGGTTTCGAGTTCGCCGGGTTCGAGTTAGCAGGGTTCTACTGATCAGGATCTATTCTCCCCATGCAAATTAAACGAATTGGTGAAATAGCCACTTTTTTTCTCCAGGAAGTTTATTTCTTCTGCTGATATGTAAGCCGTAAATTTCGTAGTAGGATGGTGGGGTTTTGGACACTAGTCGCGGAGGAATTCTTCTTCTGCTAACTTTCTTTTGTCTTTTCACACCATGAGAAATTCCCACACACATGACCCCCTGTAAACCTCTCTTCACCTAGTGTTACTCAAGGCCTGAAACTTATTCGTAGACGAAGAAACGCTCGTATTGAAGGGCTCGTAACCAGGGCGTGCTCGCACGCTGGTCTAAGTTTGGAGCTGAGGCTGAACTTCGCTATAATTTGAGAAGCCTGAAAACGTTCTTGTGATGTTCTCACGTTTACAAGCATATAGTATGTTTTCCGCCATACCGCCGTTCCGGCTTCTAGGGTTGCCCTCCGAAGTACCTTAAACGGCTCCTTTGTCGCTGCTGAGCCCTACTGGCTAATCTTCAGAGTAAAAATCATTTTCTAGTCCCGTCAACAAGTCCACGGCCGTTGGTAAAGCCCCTGCCTTGTCCTTAGTAGTTTCCCCCCGAACTGTTTTTCCCTCAACGGAGGATACTTATCCACAAATTCTCTCACAGCACTTTCAGTTTCGGGGTTGATCTCTTTTTCAGCGCCAGTACGGTGTTTACATCAGTGACGCTCAAACTCTGTTTCCGAATCAATTCGGCCGTCGCGACGGCCATCGCGTAAGTTCATTTGACGATCAAGTTGGTTATCAAAGATCATATAACCGATATGTGACATATGATCTTGATGTGGATGGTCCATGTTATAATTATGAACGAAATATGACACTCTGGCGTCCTCTTACTGATATTTAATTTAAAAAAACCTACTTTTAATAGACAAAATAAATCAACTGCCCTTATTTCACTTCCAGTTTTCAAGATATTTAGGGCAATCCGGTCTTTTGTAACCTGTCGGTAAAAGCCCACCACAAATGTCAGTTGTCAGTTAGATTTTCAGCGATTTGTCAGTTGTCAGTTCAAAATTTGGCCATTTGTCAGTTGTCAGTTAACCCCATCCAGACCCTCCTACAAGCTTGTTGTCGAAACGAAATCATTTTTCAGTAACCTTCTTTGGGAGATGAACATAGTAGCTTGGAAGATATGAACAGTGCCTTTCTGATTTTCGAAAATCGAGAGAGTTTCCCATTTCTCCAACTGCAGGCTAGCGCCACTCCAAGCGATCAAACTTTGTTAACCTCGGCCTCGTGTCGAGGGCGCAGAGTACGCTAAGTGGTAGACACCGCAACTTCGAAATGCAACAAGGCATCCTTATAGGTGTATTGATCAGTTTGTGAAATGATTCTAATCGTCCTATTAGTAACCTGCTCACAGCCCCGCGCAATCTCTCTTGATATCATAATAATGAGCCAAGCGATTGGGTACAATAAGTGGATAAACTAATCGCCTCAGTAATGACTCCCATGGCGTCATTATTGCTGTAGATGACATCTTTATTTCAGAGTTAACGTACAAATATTGAAAGTTATTGCCAAAAATTAGGAAACATCTGACGGTTAATTGGTAATTTAAGTCTTTGGTTGCGGTGTACTGTAAGCCGGCGACATGCCTGGCGATTTTATATGCCTATCGCGTAAGATCGCTGCGGACTCACTTGGCGATTTTTTTCGCCGATCGCGACAATGTGGCACTTCAGCCTTGATCCCAGGTTTCATCGGGTGACGTATAAAAGTTGCACGAACCAATGTAAACAAACAAGATGGCAACAGCGAAGCGGAAAAAATTATTGCTTGCTGCCATAATTTTGCAACTCAAGCGCTCCAGGAAGCGTTCTGAAAAGTGGGACAAGAGAAAAATATGGTCGAAAACATGGATTTATTGAAACGCAGAATCCTTCTTGATACGACTACTGTAGTCAGCCGACGTTACATCAAATAAGCATGGCTTTTCTGAACACAGTGTGATCAAATTGATTTATTTTTCTTCGGTTCAGAAACAATTTTCGATGCCCTCAGCCGTTTTGACATGCCAGATATTGCCGATTTTATATGCTGATCGCGGCGATCGACGAAAATCGCAGTCGCCGCACCGGGCACACCTAGCGATTTAAGCCGGTCGCCGCAATCAGGGCTATCTTTAAAATTAGGAACAGGGAATAAGAGAATCGGGAATGGGGAATGGGAGAATGGTAATATTCAGGGTTCAAAATAATTTTTCAGTTTCAGAGTGAATTAGTAGGCTTTTGTCAAGGTTCATTTTATCCCCGGCTGTCACTAATAAATTTCAGTATCAGATTCTTTGTTTTGATCAACATGTTCTGTTGCGGCAATTCCTTTCCTAACAAAGCGTAATGAATGGCTCAAATTTTCGGTCTGTTCAAGCATGAAATATACAGCTTTGTCTAGACAAACTGTCGCGCTGCTGTTAAGCACCGACTTTAATTTGAACGCGTGAGAAGGCTTTACAAACGACATTAAACAAGATTTGGCAGAAAATAAATCTTGAATAAAGGTAGTAGTGCAGAAACATAAACCCGGTAATGTGACTGTATGTACACAAACTTGCATGTTTCACGCTTGAACAAATACGTAGAAAGCTGAATACTGTAAACAAAAATACCCCTTGTAGCAGGCTTCAAATTTCGAAACTTTATACTCGTTTATGTTTCCAAAAAGCTTTTAAAACATTTCTTGGCTGCTTTACTGCCCGATATGGCATGTTCACCATAACATGACAGCGACTTTTACTTCAGTTGGACGATCATAAGCATAATATTTTCTATAAAATTCTAGTTCTTCGCTGAGAAATGGGCAAGTGTTTTTAAAGATTCCCACTTTTAGAGATTCCTCACTTTAAAGATTCCCCATTTTAAAGATTACCGCATTTAAAGATTCCCGCTCTTAAAGATTCCTCATTTTAAAGATTCCCCGTTTTATTTTAAAGATAGCCCCGCGATCGGCGTATAAATCGCTAGGTGTGTCATTTTTTCGCCGCCGGGAAGTGAAATATGTCCGATTGCAGCTCAGTGGAAAGAGCTGAAATGTTAACCTAAATAGTGATAAACATGATCTCGCTGTCTGGTTCCGTGTATAAACAAATTTTCAAAGCGTGATTTAACACATACGAAGTTGTTGATAGAATCTGACAACGGTTTAATTAAGCCATAGTTTTTCACATTTGAAAGCGGATATATAGAGCAGCTGTCATCCTTGCTTTGTACTTTTACAATGTATGTATATTTACTCTTTAGGAAATACACCAGACATCGTCATTTGCACACGAAAGGCAACCAATTAAAACATTTTGATCAACTCGTCTCACGCTGATCACTGAATTTTATGGCACCTAAATAAAATTTTCTCGATGCAATGTTGGGTGGAGTAACTGACTGAAAAAAAAAAAAAATTGAACAGTTTCTTTATATTATTCGGATTTCAAATCAGAAAGCCAAGAAATTTGGCCGTATCACATTTCTAAGATTTTTTTCGTGTAATCAACAGTCAACTACCCGGAATCAACATTTATTGTTCACAGATTTGTTAAAATTTTAGAAATAAAGCTCCATTTCCGCTGTTTATCTTCAATCGCATTCAATTTACAAAGTTTTCATTTAGCGTCATCCCAAAAAATAATGAAAAATGCAGATACTTAAAAGGTGTTTTTTCTTTTTGTCGCTAAGCTTTGAAATTCCTCTTTAAGACATTTTACACTCGAGCTTTAAAAATTACGTCTTGTGCTTTTGAGACAAGCTTTAATATTTTCACACACTTTATAGTCTGTTAACCCTTCGAAAAAAAATTTCTAATTACAAAGATCGAGGAGGATTTATCAAAGATATTGATATCTCCTTTTACACGCTCCATAAACAGAAAAATTAATTGCGATCCAGTTATAGCATTTTGGTCTCGTGCCCAAGTCTTGGCAATTTCAGTCGCTCTTTCTTTGATTGAATTTGATCCCCTGCAGGAGTGTTCTGTTCGATTAAACTTTTAGAGCCTAAAGCAGTAGGAAAGGCTGATAAACCTTAACTAATACACGTAGTTCGGTTCCGTCAAGCAGACCTATTGAAAGTTGTGCGGCAAACAGTTCTTAGCGCTTGTCGATACTGCGGTATTCTCCACGCGTATAGAAACGGATTTACAGCGCAACTAACGCACAACATCGAGATTGATAGAGCTCTTGTTATTTCAAAAGCTAGCCCATCACACACATTGCTTTGTTCCTCGAGACACCGCTCCTCCAAGTTAGTAACAATTAGGTAAGGTATAAGTGATATAAACAACACGATTGTGATCAGGATAATTGTCAAAACGATCTTTTTTTCCACACGGATGTTCCGAGCAAAAACGCGCGATCTTCCTCCATTGTCTTGTTGCAGGAACGTGATGTTTCTTGAATATCGGCGGAATTCAATGTAAGTCGCTGCGTTGACAGCGCAAAGTATTGTCAGTGGAGCCGTAGACTGGAGATGAAGATCCACTGTGTGGAATGTTTCCTTTGATGTACTTATTGAGTGCAATGCTTCAAACAGCCCACAAAAGAGCCATATCAAAATGTTACATATGACGACCTTTCGCACTGTTATAAGCGCCCTATACTTCCAAATAAGCTTTATAGCCAGAAATCTATCCACTGATAACGCCACGACCGTTGAAATTGATATTTTGGTGCTAATATGAGAAGAAACAGTAGAAATCTTGTGTAGGCTTGGTAAATTGACTTTACATGGCAGGCAAAGCAGGTATGTTGAGTACAAAGGTTGCGCGAAACTTCCTCCAAGTAAATCACTTAACGAGAGGCTTGCCACGAGAAAAGTTGTGGGGCGCACTCGGAAATACATGTACGGATCTTTGAAAAGAGTCCATAGAAGAACAATGTTTGTTGCGAATGAAACGAAGCCAAGCAAAGCGCTACAAATACCTGCCAAAAGCGCCACTGATGCTGTTGAAATTCCTTCAAAATGTCCGTGTTCATCAGTCTCGTTCATGATTAACACCAACGGACACTGCTCAAGCTTTTATGTAGATACTCTTGATTTGATGATTAATATGGCTGAGAATATATAATGAATTGCGCGGGTCACATGAGAGGCAAATTTTTTTGAAGCTGGCTAGTACTTCGTAACCTGCGACACCTTTCCTGTAAGCCAAACTTGAATATCTAGATTGATCGCGCAGCACCAAGAACAGTTTTACCGATGCTATATTCCTACATCCGGTGAAATAGGGCTGAAAATCCTTCTCTCCTGTCCCTATTGTGATCAATGTACGTTAATTACTTGGTAAGTACACGAATTGACAAGGGTTCTATTACAAAAATGATCGGTCTAGACATCCTCCTGATGAACATGACATCGTTTGCATTAAATATTTGGACAAAATTCTCTTCTCAGGATAAGAATGGACAGTCATTGAAAAACCTTGCCTGAATTACTTGAAGAAGAAACTCATTTAAATTCGAATCGTTTTGCTTGAGGGATGTAATCACTAAAGCTCCCTTGTCCTATCGAATGTCCGTTGCGAATCTGATGACTATTAAGAAATTTGCCGACAGAAAATATGAAAACAGCCGAGATATTAAAAGGAAATTAACACTACAATATTCGTCCTGCGCCAGAGCTTTAAACAATTATGTTAATCATAATCTTGGATTAAAAGGATCGCAAAACTTACGTAAACGGGCGCACCACATTAGTTTTATTAACTGCTCTCCTCAAACTCAACCTAAAAACAGATTTCGGTACGAGACTACAATATGGTTCTTTCTACGCTGGTGCGTTTTACAAGCTGACCCAAAAAAGCCAATTCATCTGACATACCCTTTTTTAAAACTTATGAAAAATTCGCTTGTATATGTCAATGTTTTTTAATGAAGCATTTTTAAAGGATGGTGAGGTGAAAAAAGACACAACATTAAAAAAAGCTGCCGAATTCTACATGACCCCGCTCTTGACATTGTTTATTTACCACGCAGAAACTAAGTCAATCGAGTAATAATGCACACATATTTAGAGACACATCATTTACACACAAAAAAGAGAACTTATTCACAAAAAATTAACAGTTACGAAAGACAACAAGGCTAAATTGTGGTGGGATAGATAAGAGTAAGATCTTGAAAAAAACACCCAAAAGTATAGCGTTTAGCAAAAATTGATTTTCAGAGGCGTGAGATCAGCATAAGGAGAGCAAGATATAGCCTGCAAGCAGGCTCACATTTGGAGCCCGCTCACAAACCATATAGCAATTATAGTGCTTGCGCATGAAGTATTTTGTCCCTCTTCTGTTGAAATTTATTCTGTGAATCAGTCACGATAGATATTTGTTTTTCAATTTCTAAACTATATTTCAGCTGTTGCGCATATTCTCTGATAGATGGAGATATGTTCTTAAGTTTACACCAATAAATGTAATACCTTGCAAGGAGCCAACAGTGGCTCACTAAAATATCATCTTTCTCTCCTCGAAAACCTAAACATTCATAGATATCCAAAACGTGTGAGGCTGGTATCAAATGAATTGCAACGAAAAAACAATGAACCCTTTCCCAAAGGTTTTCGTTACCGAGCATTCCCAGAAAAGATGGATTAATGTTTCCTTGTCTGTTTTGGACAAATAACAGAGAACAGTCTCCGAAATTCCTATTTTCGATAGACAGGAATTCGTCCATAATTATACGAAATGGTAGTAACCCATCAAGCCAAAAAAAACAAGAAGTACAAGACGTAAAGCGAGTCGAGAAAAACGAGCAAGAAAGTTAGAGAGGACACCAAAATAGGCAGAGTACGGTGAAAGGAACGCGAAAGAGAACAGGAAAAGACAAGTAAAAAGGCAAATATCAAGCGAAGAGCAACGCGAGAAGGAAATACAAAGAAGCTCCTGAAAATTAAACAGACTTAGAAGAGGTCATCAACAGAGAGAAGCGAACTACAATGGATCCGAGAAAGACGAGGAGGTAAGTCGTGTCTTATCTGGGTTTTCTCTAACGCTAAGGCCCAGAAAAATCTAAACCTATTTTAACAATCGTCGTTTGATCTTAGCTTCAGTTTAAAATTAAAATCACGTTGCGGTAAAACAATGACTTTGGCCTTCATCGCCTAAAAACCCTCGCGCCGGTTCCACAGGAAAAATTTAAGATTCCAAGTCGGAATAACATTGGTAAATATGTGGAATGATAATCCAATGTTGGCATATTATTGGTTATTTTAATGCTACCAATATTATACCAATGATATACCAAAAAATGTCAATTTAGATATGCCAACATTGGTACTTTACTGGATAATAAAAAATTATTATTGGTAAACCTGACAACACCCATACCAATAATGGAAGATCATTGAAATTCCTGAACACCTTTACCAATAAGATACCAATGGTATACCAGTTTTGACCAACACTTAACTCTTACACCTGCCAATATTGATATTTCATTGGATACTGATTGGGAGTTCTATCAAGATACATACCAATAATGGAAAATTATTGGAATTCCTGAACACATTTACCAATAAGATATCAATGGTATACCAATTTAGGTGAACATTTCACTCTAACATCTGCCAATATTGGCATTTCATTGGATAATGATTGTTAGTTCCCGCAAGATACATACCAATAATGGAAGATCATTGGAATTTCTGAACACATTTAGCATGAGGTACCAACGGTATACCATTATTGAATTCAAAGTTATAGACACATGTACAGATATAAATTACATGTAGCTATAATTTTATTGAAAGCATTCAAGCATACATACACTGTATCAATCTGGCCAATGATTATTGTAGAACCCTAAGAAGAATAGAATGGAGTTTCTTTACACTGTTAATACAATGTTTATTTGGCAAGAAGTGGTGAAAAGCTAAATTTGGTACTACAGCTTCAGTTAAGCATCACGCCAAGAAGTAAACTGGATTACCCAGTCACCTGCAACTATACCAAGAATACTGTCAAACATAATTTCTTAATTTCTAGTGCCTTCTGGCTTCCACAGAACATCATCATCCCTCTTCTTGAAAAACCGTCCAGTTACACTATGCCTTGTGATATTGAAAGCTAAAACTCTGGTTCTCCAGATGGTGTCTGCATCATCTCCTCGAAAATATATCATGTCATTTACACAGGGATAGAACGGTACAACAACAGTTCCTGGTGTCACTGGAAAAATGCAGCGCATGAAATCTACCCCCAAGTATCTTGGTTGTCCAGCCACATCCTCATCTTTGGCAAGAATAACCTTCCGACTAATATTTTCAACAGGGAAAACAGTTAATTTGTAATCTTCCTGAACTAGGCGTCCCCCATTGCCGTTGAAGCCCAGACCACGAAAAGGTTTAGCACAGACAAAATACATACTTTCATCAGCAACAGGAACTCGGAAAATTTTCTGTAATGTAACTACTACCTCATCACTTTGTTGGCTGATAACAATTGCATATTCGTTGACTCTGTATAACAGACCACTAAATCCATGAGTTGGCTTCCAGATGCTTCAATAGCTTGTAGCAGTATCCTGTACTTCATCATCAGGCACACTACACAGGTTTGCAATTTCATGTTGTAGATGATTGGACAGTATATAAGGGTTTGGAGCACCAACTAATACACCTATGGCATCCCCTTGATTGCGAACAACCAGACTTGCTTTATACAGCTTCTTTGCTTGATCAATGGATTTTGCCCAAAGCTGAAATATAAGAGTAACTTTCAAATACATACATGTACAAACACTGTCCAAGTACATTGTATAACTGTTACTAAGAAATTATTAACATAATGTAGTCCTGCATGAGAAATAAAAAAAGGACAACTAATAATTAAGCGTTGTGCATCATTAAGAAAATGGGTTTTATAATGATTATCAAGTGAATTACCAAAACTCAGCATAGTACACAGTAATAAATACTGATTTTCTTTTCTGTTGAATGCAAATAGCTTTATGTATTAATTCCTCTAGTTTCAACAAATGACTGAATAATGACTTTGCCCTCAATGCTGTCACCTACATGTATAGTAGGATACTGGTGTACATTGTACATGTATATGCCTACCAACTCTTCATTTACACAATGTGGATCATATCCCTGACCATCTTTCTCCTTCCTCATCTTGACGAATTCCCGTCTACATTCTGATGATGCAAAAGTGCACTCTATGTTTTTGTAGTTGCTGAACTGTCTCACATATCTTCTCACTGCTCTCTCCTTGAAATTCAAAAGGTTGCGAACAATCATGACACATGCAGTTGGACCTCTCCTTTCTTCCAACAGAACAGCATATCGCAATGCTATTTCATGAAATGTTTGTGTGTCTTCCTCACTCCATCCATTTCTGGCATGGAGAGAGGGCAGTCGTTTTTTTCCCTGCAGTTACAATTGTTTTCTGTGAAGGGTGTTTTGCTTGTCTCGAGGATTTTTCTGTTGTGCTTCTTAATTATGGTTTGCAAGTTGTCTGTGCAGCTATAACTAACTGAAAAGCAATTGCCTCACTTCAAGCGTCGTCTACAACGCCAACGTAACAACAGAAAATGACACAACCGGAAAGAATTACATTGGACTAACTGAAGGAACTTCTAAACAACGTTACACGCAATACTAACTTTCTTTTCGGAACAGATACTATTCAAACAGCACGGAACTATCAAAGCATATCTGGACACTCAAAGACAGCAACATCAATTTTACAATAAACTGGAGTATTTTAGCGACCGCCCCAGCCTACAGCAGCAAAAGCAAGCGGTGCCACTTGTACCTCACATAAAAACTTTATTTAGTTAGAACTACGAAGCCGTCTTTATTAAACAAAAGAACAGAACTCATTTCTAAATGCCGCCAGGAGAATAAGTTTTACTTAACAAATTTCACAAGCCGTCAACAATAGCTCTGTAGAATCTTTATTTCACACGTAGATCAGATCATTACACAAGTGAATTAATTAGCTACTTATCTAATTTGTATATAAGGAGGTATGTTCTTCATTGAATAAAGTTCTGTCTGACGAGCGCTTAGGCGCGAAACTCAGAGTAACAGAGAATCGATGCGTCCTCTTTGATTCTTTCACTTATATATACCCCTTACTTTATAAATGAATGGGTCAGTAACTTACAATATGGAGTTTGATATCCGTGCTGTGAGTTACGGACTGGGTTTTTTCCCGTTCATTTATAAATCAACGGGAAGAAACGAGGATCCGTCACTTACAGCACGGACTGAGAAAACGAGGTTAGCAAGATATTTATTACATCTGTGAGGTTAATTGGGCGCGCGGGAAAGGGAACTTTGAAATTTAGTGGGCGGTACAGCTTAGTAGAATACGGTCTGCAAAATTGACCAGTCACAGTGCCCGCACTAACTGAGAGATATAATAATAAACTAATAAAATTGCACCTTTCCAGTGTCCTACTGTCTTGGTTAACTTCTTGGGGTACCTAGATGACTTCAACTCTGAAAGGCAATTAAAAATAAACAAGAGGCTACAATTACAGCACTGAAGACTAAATTCAGCCTCTTTCTCTTGTAACTTAGTTTTAAAATGTAACTGAACAGATACTGTACATAGTGTTAACTTGGGCTACGAGTGAACATTCACTCTGAAAAGCAACAATAATTATTTAAGTTTGATAGGAGAAACTTACCACTTGGCCATGGTATGTTGTCAAGACCGCTGTCTACTATTGACCAGTTAATACTATTAGTATCATCATTGATCAAATCCAGAAGGGCATTTTTCACAAGATTTAGTGAGATGGTATGCATTTCATCATAAACACTACTTTTGTCATAGAGAAAACCATACAGTGAGTAGAGCCTGTGTAAAATTGATAGACCTGTATAACCAGTATCTCTTGACATCCTTTGCCTGACTGTAGACCTTTCCTCCTCGTCAATGGCATGTATTTGGTCAAGTTTGTCAATAACATTCTTCTCATTTGCTGGGAATCTACCCTGTTTATAGAAATCTGTGTAGTAATAGTGACAGCTCTCTGGGACATAAACGTCTGTAAAAGAAAGATGTACCTCGCACTTATCCTGCAAAAAAAATTAACCACTTGAAAATGAGGATAAAGTAGTTCCATTCAATGGTAACTTTGTTTTTCAGTTATCATAATTGCAATCATCAAAGCTCTTTTGGTTGCTAGAAAAGAAGCACGTCCGCATGGAATCTACTAGTGCCTGCAGCTGCTTCCATTTTCTGCTCTTAGTATTATTATTATTCTTATACCTTTCAGTTAGTAAACACGTTGTGATTGGTCAATTTTGTGGGCCATATTCTCCTATGATGCTCTCTAAATTTGAAATTCCTTTCCCGTGCGCCTGATTAACCTCAGAGATATAATAAATATCTTACTAACCTCATTTCTCCGTCCGTACTGTAAGTTATGGATCCTCTTTTTTTCGTGTTGATTTATGGCCCACGCATGATAAGCGAACAGAAAAAACTCAGTCCGTAACTTGTAGTACAGATCTTGAACTCAGTTAGTATGAGGTAAATATTACCACAGCTTTGACACAATATTATTTTATAAGTGAAGTCTTATTCTTAATAGCAACATGACATCGTCGACAACCACACTTTCCCATTTCGACAAATTTCCCAACTCTGCACAGCCCATTGTAGTCTCCAGACCAGCACAATATAAGATGTCTGATCAGTGCTGGCCCTTCTGGCTTGTCACAAACAGCAGCATGGCAGTTAACTTTTTTCATGGAAATACAGGAATGACCTACATTCACACACTCCATCAGGAAGAGCTACATGATCATTAAGAGTAACTTATTTAAACTATCTTCATTCCACCACAATTAAAAACAGTCAAGAATTCAGTGAGGGCTATACTACATTCAGCTATATGTACAAGTGTATATTTTGTGGGTAAAAATTATATTTAGGAAAAAATTTTTAACCAAGGTTCATTCTCAAATCTCTTTGTCTCCTTAGCCAAATTATTCAAAATTAGGGTTGGGAGACAAAGTAAATTGATTTTCAAACTAGAGGTTAAAAATTTTTTACCTGAAATTAATTTTTAACTGCAACACATAATTTATATAAATTACATCATTGCAGAAAGGTCAAAAGTTTACAGGGCAACACTATTATTCCTGCCAAAGCTGAACTATTAAACAAAATAAAAATATTAATGTATAACTGCAAATAAAGCTGCAAATTACCATCAATGAATCCATCTTCAATGTCTGTCATCCGTGGGTCAAGAAATGGATCAAGAGACAAGGGACGCTTCTTTGAAAGAAGATAGGAGGGTACAAACTACATGCACTTCATCTGTATGGCATCTCTGTTCTTTGGACATGGTTGCAATAGTAATTTCAATTGCCCCTAAACAGAAGAAAACAAAAAGGCATACTTAGAAATATATAAAGTCAAAACCTGTGAAGCATTTGTTCATCCATTAATCAATACAGTCAGTGCTTCAGAAATAATAATTAATAATGTACAACAAGTATTGTTCTAAGTTACTATTAGGATAATTAATATGCAGTAGAACCTACCTGACCCACACAACATGGAAGAAAATGGTTGCCATCCATCCCAGTGGGCTTGCAATTTAAATAACAAAATACTTTGCTTTTAAATATTATTTAATAATATATTTATTAACTAAAAAAGGTTAGGGGAATGTACAATGTACATCTTGTGAGTTGTAGACTCCATTTCATTGAAAATACTGTATCTTGTCAAAAAAATATGACCAACCCATTTGTTTTCAGGAAAATAGAAGACAAATTCCATGTGTTTTCAGATCATATTATGAGAGTATTTCTATTACTTTTCCTACAGAGTTTATAGGAATTTTCAAAAAAAACGTATTGTTAATATCAGTAAGCAAAGAATTAAGAAGGCAGCCAGTGCTGTCTTCCCAAAATCCAACTAGTAATAATCCTATTGAGTCATATCATCTACATGATTGTGTGGTTTTCCCTCTTTATCTCAATTTTTTTTCATAATATGCATACCATCATAAGCTAGGTTTTGTGGGTCACCTCTTGTTTTCTTTGGAATATGATCAAAGACATAGCATCTAGGGCATTCAACTTCTCCTGTTTCACCATAGCCAACACCTTTACATGGAGAACTGTTTAACAGCTCAGGTGAGAGAACAGCTTTGCAACCAGGTGCGGGGCATCTAACTGGCAGCATCCATTCTTTATCAGGATCCCAAAAGTAAGACAATTTTGCAAACTCTGTACCATCCCAAAATTCCTTCTTTAAAGGCCACCCCCAGTCCTCTTGCCTTTCAGGAGGCAACCAATGTTCTTTCTCTAGCAATGTGCAGTGATCTTCTTACACATTTCTTCAGAGGAAAATCACCTTTTCACTTTGTCTTGAACACTAAGATAATAATAAGGAATTGTTCCTTCTTTGCCAGTGAGGACAAACATCTGTTCTGGACTCTAGTAGTGCATACAAAGAGGGATGACTAGCATCCAAACAGATGTAATATAACTTGAGCATCTGAAAACCAACATCACCCAGCAGGGTTTGGACATCTTCCCATGATGAAGGCCACAGGCTTTGAGCTTCTTCATTGTTCTCACAGTGCAAGTTAGCTCCCCATTTCAAAAGATCTTCAAATATCTTGATTGAAAATCCAACAGTTCCTTTTATTTCTATCAGTCTTAAGACCGCTTCCCTAACAAAATCTATCATACCATTTCCTTGTTCTTCAGCTCTATCAGAAATGGTTCCCGGGTCACTCTCTGATCCCTCGTCCGAAAATGACTCGCTATTAACAACATCACCTGAATGCGAACTGACAGTGTCCAAGACCACTGACTCGTCCGTTTCATCATCGTCCCTAGCAGCAGCCAAAAGCAAAGGAGAAAGCAGTCATTGGAAACAGAAGTCTTTGAAGAAGAAGTGATTTCTTCGTTGGAAGAAAGTTGAATCGAGGTAGCTGCGATGTCCAGTTCTACACCATCCGGATCATCTACATTTGCATCAGAATACCTAATCCGTTTTCGCATATGACGCCATGCAACCATTGGGTAAACTGCTCGATCTTCGCACTTCTCACAAGGGCAATGAACATGTGCTTGACCTTTCGACGTAAAGTTTCTCGCTTCTGGGGTATTCGAACATTTACGAATACTGCGCTGAAACCTGCAACACTCTTCAATTTCGAGAAAGATCTGGGGACAAAACTCGTACCAGTTCTTCTCTATGCGCTGAGGAAATGCGCAATAGTTTCCCGCCTTTTTCATGCCTTCGTTGTTCATCCAACTTCGTGTGGGCGGGGAAAATGTTCCGAAGCTCTTGCTTCTAGCTCTTCTTGCAGTGAATTGGAAGCCGGTAATGATGCCCTGGACATGTGGAAGACGAAAGATGTTAAATGTGAGTTTTTGTTAGAAGCCAGAATGAGTAATACGTCTCATTACTCTGTTGCTGAATAACCTGCACGGCGCACCATCAATCCTGCATAGTTCTTAATAATTGGCACAAGCTAACTTTTCAATTCAAGTCCGTTTTGCCCTCACAAATGTAACGTGATAGTTTCTATATGTTATTAACTCAGGCTGGACTGTGGAGGACGTGAAGAACTGGCTCACTTTTCAGGGATTTAAAGAGGAAGCTGCCCTTTTTTCAAGTAAGCTAAAACTAGCTGTAGTATTTAAGCTTACTAAGCTTAAGCTTAAGTCTTAATAATAAGCTTACATGTATCAGTAACTTCGCAATTCCTGAAACTGCATATTCCTAAGAATAAATAAGAAAATAAACGAGTAAGTCTTTCTGTCATAGCCTGCGAGCTCGCAGGCTAAATAAGTCAAGAATTAATTTGTGACCATCTTTTGCTAATTTTGCTTTCCCTAAGTTGTACTTGTGGAGACAATTTTTTGAACAGATATTCTAGCAGTGTTCATCACCATTTTCTCTGGATTCTTTGGGAAGCTTATTTGATTTACAATATTTTTCAAGTAATTTTTTTAACTACCCATACAAATTGTAAGAATCACAAGCATTTTACCGCCAACATTTGAGGGTAGCCTAGAGTCACATGTTTACCTTTTGCAGGGGTGCTAAAGCATTTGAGAGCAATGCATGGATGCTTTCTAAATGCTACATGTAACACATCGCACAGCCACATAGCTAGAATTTCTTCAGAAACAATTTTCCTTTTGTCCTTTCAATTCATGACTTTTCCACAAAATGGTGAATTAACAAAAACTGCTCCAAGGTTTGCTAAGGTTTTCACACTTTCATTTATTTGATATAACAGAAGAGGAGATTAGTGGAGAAGCATTGCTGGCAATTGAAAAAAATGATATCAAGGAAATTGGTGTAGAGCCAATGGGCCAACGTATTCAGCTTATGGCAAAAATAAAAGAGATAATTAACACACAGGAAAAGGAAGGTGTGAACTCTACAGAAGTGGAGTCAAAATTGAAACATTCTTCTCTGAAAAGAAAAATAACTACCCAGGATAAAAAGAAATGGGATGCCAAATCAAAGACAATGTACTTAGAAAAGTAAGTGTGATTTTAAGACTAAACATGCATATATGCATGATGGTGTCTTGATTCAGTGTAACTGTGCTAGGCAAGTTGGTGGCCCTAAAAGTCTCTAATTATTTTCCCCTGCCCTAAAATGCCCTTATTTTTCAGTTTTTCCCCCTAGCATTCCTATTTTTCTTTTATTTTTGAAAACTGCTGATGACAAATGTCATTGAAAGTGCTTGACAGGGATTCTTCACTTACTTGCACAATCTGCAAGTTTCTTTTGGTGTGGCTTCTCATGTTTGGAATTATCAGCTTCTATCATTTACTGGTGAATTATTTTAGTTACTTTTGTAAGCTTTGTATTGAGTTCTTCCCTGATGATAGAATTTAAGGGAGTAAAGTTGCGCTCATCTTGCTTGAACACATCCATATGATCAAGTTCTAGATTTGTATTGCTTAAAATCATCACATTCTTTGAACTTCTTAATTCAACCTTATCTAATGTGTATGTTAGGGTATAACTTACCTCTCACACATCCTCTGGTGATGGCATACCTAATGGTAATTGGGTTGGTGAATTAGCTGAGCCAGTGAATAGTAATAGTAATAGTAATAATTATTATTTCTCATACTTTGCTCTACATGTGCCTCACAGTTTTGTTCCAGAGTGATTAGATCATCTTGTTTTAGCTTTAATTAAGGCTTTCAAAGTCAGTGAGATACAGATGCCCTGAAAAAACTAGGGCAGATGTCCTGGGAATTTGACCATTGTACTGCTGTAGAACCAGTACTCATGTTAAATAAATAAAACTTCGTTTTTTAGGTGACAGTTCCATGGTGCCACTTCTTTAAATTGCATCGACGTTGGATTTATGTCAAGCATTTTCTAGACAAGAGTGTGACTTTGGTGATCCCTTTAATGAATACCATATAAACTAGAATTATATTTGAGTAAGTATGTAATCTGTTTGGATGGGAGAAGGTAAGATACATTGGAATAATGTTCTAAAATGCCCTTATTTTCAACTGTTTATCCCACAAAGTCCCTCTTCTGTGGAGAAATAAAAAATCCTATTTTTCCCCTAAAATGTTGTCACTAACATGCCTGCTGTGCTTAGCTTCTCTTTTAGTATTTTGCATTTTTTCTTTTTTGTTGACTTGCTTTGACTGGAATCCTAAAAAGTGATGCAGTGATCTCAGGTCTGTTGTCCATTTTCTTTTCTCCAAAATTTAGGACATCATTCATTGTGCATGAAGCTGCTAAGGTGTGGCCTGGCAATAAGAGTGTTCACTTCAAAAACAACACTACCCAAAATTTGAAACTTGAGGAACTTGTTTCACGACTGGAGGAGACTTGTAAAATACCCAAGATTGGCTTTGGAAGAGGTAAATGTTACATTCATTACCATGTATTGCAGATATAAACAAAGGACAATTTTTTTTCTTCTGACACAAATAGAGATTTGGCCTCGATCAAAAACCACATAAGAAATGCCTCTGGCTCCCAGGTTACACAAAGTTTGATCGTCATGCAAATAATTGATCTGTTAAAGACAAGACCTGTAGATTGAGCAGATTCTATGATTGGGTCACATCCAATGTAAAATTCATGAACCATGCCTGAATTTCATCTTTTTTACCAAATCAGGTGCTAAATTTCAGCCAGTTTAAACACACACACATGACCCTGTCCAGACCCTGTACACTGAATAATCCTACATAACTGTATATTTGAATATTAATCCTAAGTTACAAAGCTGTACATTTTTATTTTCAGAGTGTATCAGGTCTCATATTATCCAGTGGGCACATGAAAAGAACAGATGTCTTAAGGTATGTCAGTAATAGTTGCTATGCCTAGTTGATATAAAAAATTGTTATAAATTCATAACAGGTCACAGTACAGTAGCCTTGTTTGGCTGTTTATGTTGTTTGAAAAATGGACCTTTTGCAATATCAACATAGTCATGTGACCCTGTCATTTTTAATAATTGAAGTTAAAAATAAATTCCATAAATAAACAACAATTTAACTGCAGGCTTTATTATGTTATTATTGTTGTTGATTTCAAATAATTGCTTTTCTCAACTGAAAACAGGCTGAACACACACCTGCAAAGAGGGCCAAAAAGCCCTGCTCTGGATCTAGTGCAAATGAGTCAACATGTAATACAGCAGGGGTGATATTGAAAGGGGAAATTAGATGTTAGTCACTACCAGGGATTAAAGGGTAAAAGGAAGCAGGTTATTAAAAAAATTATAACTTTGATTCAAGCAAGTGTTTGAATGTGTGAGTAACATTTGATGTTTTCATGTGTAACAGGATGATCAAGCAGAAGATGGCCTCAAAAAGGAGTGAACTTGATGGTAACAATTAGGTCACTACTTTTGAAACTTGGGCACCTGGTAAATACACCTTGGCTTGCAATTCTGATTATTAAACTTTGCTGAGGTGATTGAAATGTCAGTCCCCAAGCAGGAACCATCCACATGACCTGTACAGTCATAAGCTATGAGATAACTTTAGAAAAATGTATTTGTGTCAACTATTGTAAGTACAGTAAACCTAGTGACAAAAATTCATGATTTCCTGTAAGTATGAATGTTTGAGAGAAGTTATAATGGTAACTGACTCTTTTTTGCTAAAATGCATAGGATTTAATGATTTTAATGTATTTCTCTTAGCTTTTAAACTTTCAACTTTTTATTGATTGTAACTGTTTACCATATTTACTTCTTTGTACCTCAAGCCCTCAAAAGTTGAAGCAGGTTAGTAAATTACCTGACTTTCTTTGTTTGGAATTGTGTGATTTATTTATTTATTATTGATTGATTTATAATTTTGCTGTGTAAGTTGCCACATCATAACATGTAATATTATTATTTGAACTGCATTAAATACCCTTGCTCAAGCTTTCATTAATGCATAGTGTTTCTTACCAATACTCATACCCAGACTAAACATTGATATAAGGAATTGGTCACAAGATATGTGTGTTTTAAAGGGTGGGAAACTGGAAAAGCAAAGATCGCCCTTTAATAAGGACTGAAATTAAAGTGAGCTCTGCTATTTTAGTTCATGTTTTTACTTTGACCTGCATGAAAGTTAAATTAATTGGCGTCCGCATAATGCACAAAGCAAGAATATAAATGGCTAAGCTTAATAGGTTATAAAATTAAAATAAGAAAGTTGTGCAGACCATATCTTGCCTTTTATCCTTCTCTGGATATTTACTCATAACAAAGTTTCTATCAGTCTCTCACTCTCCACTGAGCTTGTGGAAAGATGATAACCTCGGTATTTTTTTAAATGAAGAAAGGAAAGACATTTGACATACCCTTAATATTTATAAAACATTCGCTTATCTATGTCAATGTTTTTTAATAAAGCTTTTTAGAGGATGGTGAGGTTAACTCTCAAAAGAAGACACAACATTCCATAATATTTACTTTCTTGGTTGTAAACTGCGAAAATCCTTCAAATCGTCCTTTATTTGCTAAATGTAAGATTATCTCCAGATTTGTGTCCTCATTTTGCATCATCACAAAATCACTCAGAATTGATCTCCAATAGCAAACAATTGAGTAGAATCTAAAGTTTACAGCAGGCGTTCATCAGCGTTTAAAATATCCGAAATAAAAAATTTTATTATTTTCATCGACCGAGCTAAAATTGCTGAAAAAGTGGAAATATCAACCAAACACATGAATACTATTTAATCAACGATGGAAGGAAGAAAAAATATATGTATTTTTCGGCATCACTTGTGAGAGGTTTTTGTTTGTCAATTATGCCTTTCTCCCTTCCTTGTCATTTGAATGTTTCATGAAGATCGAAACTATAGCAGGAAATTTTAATTTTTATGCCAGTGACTTTCTGTTTCTGACAGTTCGAAATAAGAGGAGATATGTAATTTGAAGGTTCTTTTTTCCTGCCTTCTATGCTATTCAAAACCTTCTTTCAAAGCGGGGATAACTATAGCAGCCACGACTCCGTCGTGCCGGCTTCGATTTAGAACTGAGCTTCATGCGTATATACGACGTGTATACCATAACAATTTTTGAATAATGAGGTCACTTTGAAATGAAATGACATTTTTGTTTTCGGAAGAAAGTGATCAACTGATGTGTTAATCTTGGTTGATACGCCTTTCATTATTTTGTTAAAGCTGGAGCTGCTAACGACATAACGATCATATCATAATTATATGGGATGTTTAATTATTTCATGTGGAAAGAACACCGAGACACGATACGAACAAGCCATATTTTGTTATGACCATGATCACCTATATAATAATGCTTCTAGGAGGGGAAAATCAAGCGTACGTCGAAACAGTCGTACGGACATATTCATTCCTTATATTTTGGCCATTATTTTTTATTCCAGTCATCTGCTGCTGATGAAATTCTCGGCTAGATCTTGGCAACTGAGGTGCTTTTTCATGCCTCGGATGTGTTCTCGATGCTTTTATGACTATGGTAGTTATGCCGCGAGTGGAAACTAAAGCCCAGTACCACCAACCAATGCTTTTCGATTAGTTCGAAACAAAGATCTCCAAATTACTAAAAGCTAGGGAATAAAACCATCGGTCAGCTTGTCAATCCTTTGATTTAAGCGCCTCTTTTTTCCGATGGCGTCACTCCTGCACTTTACAGAGCAGGCGTTATTCTAGTGTGCGAGTGCTGGGAAAAGAAAGAAATTTGTACTAAGGGTGAGCGACGACTCGAACTCCAAATCAAACACGGCCGGTGGAATATAGAATACAAATGATTGCGAGCTTCTTAATGTTAACTCGTCCTGATAAGACGCCCGCACTGCACGCTAGCGCCACTCTAAACGATCAAACTTTGTTAACCTCGGCCTCTTGTCGAGGGCGCAGAGCACGTTAAGTGGTAGACACCGCATCTTCGAAATGCAACATCATTATTAGGCGACATGCCAGATATTGGCAATTTTATGCGCAGATCGCTGCGATCCAGGTATAATATCGCTAGTTGTGTCATTTTTTCGCCGCCGGGAAGTGAAATATGTCCGATTGCCGCTCAGTGGAAAGAGCGAAAATGTGAACCTAAAAAGTTATAAACATGATCTCGCTGTCTGGTTCCGTGTATAAACAAATTTTCAAAGCATGATTTAACCCATACGAAGTTGTTCATACAATCTGACAACAGTTTAATTAAGCCATAGTTTTTCACATTTGAAAGCGGATATATAGAGCAGCTGACATCCTTGCTTTGTACTTTTACAATGGATGTATATTTACTCTTTAGGAAATCCACCAGACTTCGTCATTTGTGCACTAAATACAACCAATTAAAACTCTTTGATCAACTCGTCTCATGCTGATCACTGAATTTTCTGGCACCTAAATTAAATTTTCTCGATACAATGTTGGGTGGTGTAACTGACTGAAAAAAAAAGTTTAGCAGTTTTTTTACATCGTTCGGATTTCAAATCACAAAGCCAAGAAATTTGGCCTTATCACATTTATAAGACTTTTTTCGTGTAATCAACAGTCTTTACTAACCGGAATCAGCATTTATTGTTCAAAAATTTGTTAAAATCTGAGAAATAAAGCTCCATTTCCGCTGTTTATCTTCAATCGCATTCAATTTACAAAGTTTTCACTCAGCGTCGTCCCAAAAAATAATGAAAAATGTGGATACTTAAAAGGTGTTTTTTCTTTTTGTCGCTAAGCTTTGAATTTCCTCTTTAAGACATTTTTCACTCGAGCTTTAAAAATTACGTCTTGTGCTTTTGAGACAAGCTTTAATATTTTCACACACTTTATAGTCTGTTAACCCTTTGAAAAAAAAAAAAACAAAATTCTGAATCACAAAGATCGAGGAGGATTGAACAAAGATATTAATATCTCCTTTTACACGCTTCATAAACAGCAAAATTAATTGCGCTCCACTAAGAGCATTTTGGTCTCGTGCCCAAGTCTTAGCGATTTCAGTCGCTCTTGCTTTGGTTGAATTTGATCCCCTGCAGGAGTGTTCTGTTCGATTAAACTTTCAGAGCCTAGAGCAGTCGGAAAGGCTGGTAAACCTTGACTAATACACGTAGTTCAGTTCCGTCAATCAGACCTATTGAAAGTTGTGCGGCAAACAGCTCTTAGCGCTTGTCGATACTGCGGTAGTCTCCACGCGTATAGGAACGGATTTACAGCGCAGCTAACGCACAACATCGACATTGATAGAGCTCTTGTTATTTCAAAAGCTAGCCCATCACACACATTGCTTTGTTCCTCGAGACACCGCTCCTTCAAGTTAGTAACAATTAGGTAGGGCATAATTGATATAAACAGCACGATTGTGATCAGGATGATTGTCAAAACGATCTTTTTTTCCAGACCGATGTTCCGAGCAGAAACGCGCGATCTTCCTCCATTGTCTTGTTGCAGAAACGTGACGTTTCTTGAATATCGGCGGAATTCAATGTAAGTCGCTGCGTTGACAACGCAAAGTATTGTCAGTGGAGCCGTAGACTGAAGATGAAGATCCACTGTATGGAATATTTCCTCTGATGTACTTATTGAGTGCCATGCTTCAAACAGCCCACAAAAGAGCCATATCAAAATGTCACATATGACGACCTTTCGCACTGTTATAAGCGTCCTATACTTCCAAATAAGCTTTATAGCCAGAAATCTATCCACTGATAACGCCACGACCGTTGAAATTGATATTTTGGTGCTAATATGAGAAGAAATAGTAGAAATCTTGTGTAGGCTAGGTAAATTAACTCGACATGGATGGCAAAGCATGTATGTTGAGTACAAAGGCTGCACAAAACTTCCTCCAAGTAAATCACTTAACGAGAGGCTTGCCACGAGAAAAGTTGTAGGGCGCACTCGGAAATACATGTACGGATCTTTGAAAAGAGTCCATAGAAGAACACTGTTTGTTGCGAATGAAACGAAGCCAAGCAAAGCGCTACAAATTCCTGCCAAAAGCGCGACTGATGCTGTTGGAATTCCTTCAAAATGTCCGTGTTCATCTTCATGTGATTCAGCAGTCTCGTTCATGATTAACACCAACGGACACTGCTCAAGCTTTTATGTAGAAACTCTTGATTTGATGATTAATATGGCTGAGGATGACTAATGAATCGCCTGGTCACATGAGAGGCAAATTATTTAGAAGCTGGCTAGTATTTCTTAACTTGCGACACCTTTCCTGAAAGCTAAACTTGAATATCTAATTTGATCGCGCAACACCAAGAACAGTTTTACCGATGCAATTTTTCCTACATCCGGTGAAACAGAGCTGAAAATCCGTCTCTCCTGTTCCTATTGTGAACAATGTACGTTAGTTACTTGGTAAGTGCACGAATTGATGAGGGTTCAATTACAACAATGGTCGGTCTTGACATCCTCCTGATGAATATGACATCGTTTGCATTAAATATTTGGATAAAATTCTGTTACCAGAATAAAAATTGACAGTCATTGAAAAACTCTCTTGAATTACTTGAAGAAGAAACTCATTTAAATTGGAGTCATTTTACTTAAGGGATGTGATCACTAAAGCTCCATTGTCCTATCGAGTGTCCGTTGCGAAGCTGATGACTCATAACAAATTTGTCAAAGGAAAACATGAAAACAGCCGAGATAGTAAAAGGAAATAAACACTACAATATTCATCCTAGGGTAGAGCTTAAAACAATTGTTAATTATAATCTTGGACTAAAAGGATCGAAAAACTTTCGTAAACGGGCGCACCACAGTAGTTTTATTAGCTACTCTCCTAAAACTCAACCTAAAAACAGATTTCGGTACGAGACTATGATATGGCTCTTTCTAAGTTGGTTCGTTTTAAAAGCTGACCCAAAAAAAAAGCCAATTCATCTGACATACCCTTTTTAATATTTATGACACATTCACTTATCTATGTCAATGTTTTTCAATACAGCTTTTTTGGAGGATGGTGAGGTTAACTCTCAAAAAAAGACACAACATTCCATAATATTAACTTTCTTGGCTGTAAACTGCTAAAATCTCCTTCAAATCGTCCTTTATTTGCTAAATGTAAGATTATCTGCGGATTTGTTTCCTCATTTTGCATCATCACAAAATCACTCAGAATTGATCTCCAATAGCAAACAATTGAGTAGAATCTAAAGTTTACAGCAGGCGTTCATTAGCGTTTAAAATATCCGATATAAAACCTTTATTATTTTCATTGACCAAGCTAAAATAGCTGAAAAAGTGGAAATATTAACCAAACACATGGATACTATTCAATCAACGATGGAAGGAAGAAAATAAATATAACTTTCGACATAACTTGTGAGAGGTTTTTGTTTGCCAATTATACCTTTCTCCCTTCCTTGTCATTTAAATGTTTCATGAAGATTGAAACTATAGCAGCAAATTTTAATTTTTATGCCAATAACTTTCTGCTTCTGACCGTTCGAAATTAGAGGAAATATGTACTTTGAAGGTTCTTTTTTCTTGCCCTCTATGCTATTAAAAACCTTCTTTCAAAGCGGGGATAACTATAGCAGCCACGACTCCTTCGTGCCGGCTCCGATTTAGAACTGAGCTTCATGCGTATGCATGACGTGTATACCATAACAATTTTTGAATACTGAGGACATTTTGAAATGAAATAACATTATTTTTGTTTTCAGCAGGGAGTGATCAACTGATGCTTTAATCCTGCTTGATACGCCTTTCATTATTTTGTTAAAGCTGGATCTGCTAACGATATAACGATCATATCATGATTATATGGGGAGTTTACTTCGTGTGGAAAGAACACCGATAAAGACCATATTCTGAGAAAATAACCGAAAATTTTGTTATGACTATGATTACCTGTCTAATAATGCGTCTCGAGGAGACATATTCATTCCTTATATTTTGGAAAATCAAGCGTACGTCGAAAAATCAATTGTTCTCTCTGCATTACATCGACGATTTCAGGACATATTCATTCGCCGATATAATTTTGGCCATTATTTTCGATTCCAGTAATCTGCAGCTGATGAAATTCTCGGCTAGATCTTGAGTAACTGAGGTGCTTTTTCATGCTTCGGATGTGTTCGCGATGGTTTTATGACTATGATAGTTATGCCGCGAGTGGAAACTAAAGCCCAGCACCACCTACGAATGTTTGCTTTGCTACCCTTAAGACGATTCGAATAACAACAAAATAGAGTTCAAAATTTATGTAAAATGGGGCTTTCAGAAAATTATCATGCCTTTGTTTTCAGACTTCTTAGCAAATCGTTTCGTCACTTGCAAAAACGAAGATAATAGTCAGTTTCTGTGTACTTTCAGTTCGCTGAAATTTTCATGTTTTCAGTATTAAAAACTGACCCTCGTCCGCTGTTCATCGTCTTAAACAGGCTTACTCAGTAAAATAATGGTATGCTAAATAGGAAATGCGAGGACATGAAAAATGAAGCTTAGGATTTTTCCGTCAACTCTTAGCTCTTTCCTGCGGAATGTATGTTGTAAATGCATGGAAGGGAACTGCAGTAAAAAGAGCACATTTCAAAGGTTTAACCTTTAAACTATTATGAGCGACCAAGACAGAATTTCTCCTTATAAAATCATTACATTATCAAGCAGACAAGTGATGAGAATACAATCCTTGAATTACAATCTTTGATGATGACATTTGCAGGTGCCCCCAATATGTGAAACGTTTAACACCATGGATATTAATTTGCATCAGAATTGCTACATTTTTAAAATCACGATATCTTCACCACACGGATCTTCACTGACATGTAAGAAAAAGACATCGAGGCGGTATTGTGCTGAGTTTATCGATATGGTGATTTTAATCCATGAAGGGCTTTTTCCCTTAACAAACTTCATTAAGGTTTCAACTTTTTTGTAAGGAAAACAGTATAAAGAGAATTAATGTTATGTAAGAAGTTGTGGTACCATCAGTGTTTACGTGCAAGCAACTCAGCATTTGATGTTCTTAAAACTGACGTGTGTTAAATTGTGTTTGATTTAAGCATAAATATATAAATTTAAATAAATATCTGGATAGTTGGAAGAAAACTGCACGCTCGCTGATTAATATCTAGACAGTTAAAAGAAAATTGCAGTTTGGTGATTTATATCAAAAAAATGTAATGAAATTTGCATGTTCGCAGATTCATAGACAGTTAAAAGAAAATTGTAGGTTCGCTGATTTATATATAAACACAAGACAGTTGAAAGCAAATTGCATGTTTGCTTGTAAATTCGAATTTATCAACACTTGAAGTTAACTCCCATATTCAAGCTTGGCCATATGATGTCCCCTATTGAAGAAGGTCCCGTCTATACCAGCTATGTTTCCTCCAAAAACTGGTTGGAGGTGGGGGGGTGTATCATTCAAAAATACCTCAAGGCAGAGACATAGGGATATTTAACTCAACGCTTTCTCCTTTATTTTCTTCAAAACTCATCTTTCTCTAAATTTAGGATAAAAGCTGTTCTGTACGTTTAGAGCCATCCTAGTTTTTCATTTACAGAACAGGTGACCATGAACAATAATACAGGTTTTGGCACGCTTTGCAGAAAGATGGATCTTCATACTCGATATTACTTTAATTTGTTTTCGTTCAGGGACACTAGGTAATAAATTAAGGCTGTTTCTAAGCGCTTGTGGTGTTACTATGGAAAATTCTTGCGTTGGGGAAATGCCTAGTATTTAAAACGAATGTTTATGATGGCATTGTCGGTGTAGCATTTGGAAAATCTTGGTTATCAAACGATAAGCTGTCAAATATCAGGAAACTGTTTTGAGCCTATCGATCCAAATTGTGTACCTGTGTACTACGAGTGACACTGACCATCACCTCTACATATAGGATGATGAAGCCTTGTCTTAAAAGGTGTGGTTAAAAAGTATATCGTAAAAGAGAGGACTGTTCTCTATAAGATGATCTTGTGCGATTGCACAAAGAATTTCTCATATTAAAGCTGAAAACATTAAAACTATGAACACGCACTTGATCAATGTGTCAATAAGTTCTAAAGAAGTGGAAATTCCGAGGTCACTTCCTGATAATGGCAACTTTTTCGTCTGTTCCGGCGGAAGGTTCATACAATCACTGTTATCATCTCACATTTTTAAGAAAATGGCCACATCTCTACATAGGCAAAGTCCATCTCTACAACGGCCGGTTAATAAACGAAAAGAGAGAAGCTAAATAAACAGAAAAAAGCTAAATAAACAGAATACTCTCACTCTACCTTACCCGCTCTGTTTCACAAACACTTCTCCTCTGAACATTTATTTTGAGATCACACGTTAATTGTATTTTGATACGCATCTTTTCACCCTGTAAACCTTCACATGCAGGTTCTCCCTACATTTCCTGATTCTTACAAGAAGTATTTGTATAACAATCGAGAGCTTTTCGAGTTTGCGATCATTTCCTTAATTCACATGACCTTAACGTTTCCATTCAGGGGTGATATTCCTGGGAGACATTAGATGCCTTCCACTCAAAAGTATTAGAGGGAGAAACACGGAAAACTATAACCTCGATTAAAAAAAGTCATATTACACTTCGTTCTTCCGGTAACGTTTCTCCTTTGAACAAAATCACTTCCTTCTGTCGACGGGTTGCAGTTCGACTGTGAGGGTATCTTTTCTCTGATCAATATACGTTGAATAGCACGCTCAAGTAATCAATATGTAAAATAGCAGGGTTTTATTGAGTATCAATGAAGGGCACTTTTTGCACTGACATCAAATTGTTAACACATTATTCATGTTTCGTCCGAGAACCTTTGCGTATCACTTATTGAGACCCATAAGTTGCGCAAATTCACCACCTTTCTAACCAGTCTGGTAGTTTACTGTACGGTGGCTTCTGCTACAAGAGGGTCTAGATGGTCAGGTACAAATGTCAGTTGTAAGCTAAAATTTCGGCCATTTATCAGTTCTCAGTTAGATTTTAGGCCATTTGTCAGTTGTCAACTAAATAACTGTTGATAATTTACTTGGCGAGTTAATTATTACTTTCCGACCCTATTTTTGGCTTCAAAGGCACTTTAGACGTAAACTCGAAAATTGAATCGAAAATAAGAACTCTCTTTTCTCAATCTTGGAATGAAATAATTCCAAGATCTTAAAATTGACTTTTCAGTCTTTGTTTGAAGGGTGTTCAAATAAGTAACAAATCTTCTGCGCACTAACTTCTGTTTGCACGTGCGCAACATTGAAACATTCCTTTTCAACTACTTAGTCAGTAGATGTTGGAAAGAAGATCGTCAGCAAGACAAAAACTTGAGAGTCCTCTAGCACGATATATTTGGTTTTATGTTTTGTTTTACAATGTGTCGATTGTGATTGGATTTGATGAAATGATCGGAAAGGAATGTTCTTTTGTCTACTTTTCAATGAGGTTATTGGAGATATCTACTGTAAGCGTACCTTAGAAATCCAGGCGAAAATGGGCGCGAATTGGCCGCACTCTACAGAGCAGGCGTTATTTTGGCGAGTGAGCGCTCAACATTATCTTAGGGAAAATTATAGCTGCCACCTTTGATTTTTATAGCAGCGGAAGGCTGGGAAAAGAAAGAAATTTGTACTAAGGGTGGGCGACGACTCTAACTCCAAATCAAACACGGCCTGTGGAATATAGAATACAAATGATGGCGAGCTTCTTAATATTCACTCGTCCTGATAAGACGCCCACACTGCAGGCCGGCGCCACTCTAAACCATCAAACTTTGTAAACCTCGGCCTCATGTCGAGGGCGCAGAGTACACTAAGTGGATAGACACCGCAACTTCGAAATGCAACAAGGCATCCTTATTAGGTGTATCGATCAGTTTGTGAACCAATTCTAATTGTCCCATTAATAACCTGCTTACAGCCCCGCGCAACCTTTCTTAATATCATAATAATGAGCCAGGCGATTGGGTACGATAAGTGGTTAAACTAATCGCCTCAGTAATGACTCCCATGGCGTCATTATTGCTTTAGTTGACATCTTTATTTCAGAGTTAACGTACAAATATTAATATATAGTTATTGCCAAAAATTAGGGAACATCTGACGGTTAATTGGTAATTTACGTCTTCGGTTGCGGTGTACTTTAAGCCGGCGATACAACTGGCGATTTTATACGCCGATCGCGTAAGATCGCTGCGGACTCACTTTTTTTCGGTTTCCTGGAAAAACTGGATCAAAGATCACTGAATCACTGAATCAGGGATCAGGGATCAGAGATCAAGGATTAAGGATCAGTTCAAAATGAATCAAATAAATTAAATAAATTAATAGGCATGATTGATTGCTCATCTATGTGACTCAGTCAAGATCTCTCTCTGTTCACAGACAGGCGTTGTTTTTCAGCCCTTCCCCCGTCTTCCGACTTTCACGCTACCCCAAGAACGCTTGATCGCAAGTTAGATAAGAAACTGTCTATTCTTGATTCCAATGTAGTTTCCGGGGATTTTCATTGCATAGACAATGCAAACGTCTGTAATTTTATTCTTTCACTAGAGAAATGAAAACAGAGGGTTTTTTTGTCATTCACACAAATCTTTCTTCTGCACACATTTGTAGACACGGCCAATGGACAACAAAATTGCTATTATTTTCCAATTCTTTGCATTTTCACCCAAGCATTAGTCGATCTAACAAATATTCGCAGGTTTTCTCTTTGACATTGAGCTGGATATTTATCTGTTCGCGAAAAAGCAGTTTAAAAAAGTCACGTTTTTTTAAGCACATCTGCTTTTGCGTACCATGCTTAACCGTTGGTGCAGTTCCCCTGTTGAAGCTATTGAGAAAGAGAGAATCGGTAAACCTTAAGGTCCTTTATTTTGTCGGAAGTGATCAAAAGTGTGGGACCAAATTTTCTGCCTGCTATGCTCACTGGTGACAAAAAAAAGAAAAAACAATTCCTCCTCGTTAGTCGTCAGGTACTTTCTTTAAAAAAATATTCACGTAAGACTAAAACACTAATTCAATTCTCCAGTGAGTGTTCTGGATTTTCGACTTGTTGCTTCCGTGTATACTGCAGGGGACTCACAACAACAACTCAGTGGGGCGATACAATTTTATCACCTTCCGAATCATGTCTCTTGTCTAAGCCCGTTGGAAAAACATCGAAAACGTCTTCTTCTAAGTAAGTGATTCTTCAGATGCATTCCATCTGCTTTTCCTTTAAGGATATGACGTCTGACTCGGTGAAAATTTGAAGAGATGAAGTAAAAGCGGCTGAAAATTTGCTGTTCACTCCGGCAGTTGCCAAAAACGGCTTCGTGTTTTGAAATTGCACAGGAAGTCAGATACGTAATCACATACCGACACTCGGGATAATTTGGAAATTTCATGTGAATATAGCGTATGCACAAGTAAACCTACTCTGTAGCTGTCAGTCTTAAATAGCTGTCTTAATAGTCGGTAGGCGAAAATTGGCACTTCCACTTCCAATTTGGTATGGCTTTTTCAGTATTTAGTATATTTATGTTTATTATATCTATTATATTTGTGCCGATTTCGCTTATTTTTCTCTGATTTTTGGTTGAGCATTGACTGAGTCACGTAGATGAGCAATCAAACATGATTTATTTAATTTATTTGATTCATTTTGAACTGATCCTTGATCCTTGATCCTTGATCCGGTGATCCTTGATCCAGTTTTTCCAGGAAAACATTTTTTTCGCCGATCGCGACAATGTGGCACTTCAGCCTTGATCCCAGGTTTCATCAGGTGACGTATAAAAATTGCGCGAACCAATGTAAACAAACAAAATGGCAACAGCGAAGCGGGAAAAATAGGTCCGCAATGCGTACATGTGTGGCTTACGAAGCCATTGGGAGCTTGATCTGGTTTGAATGTATGACTAATTTTGGACAATACATACATGTAAAGTAACACAATGCTGAGTGTAGGTTTCTTTTGTCCATTAGGGCATAAAGTTCAACTTTCAGTCTGTTGAGAGCAAAACGTTTACTATAATTATTGTATTTAGGTTTTGTGGGACTGTATTTTCAATAAAGAACACAGAAAAATTTAGCTCAGGTAGGTAGATATGAGGTTGCAAATGGAAGAGTCTAAGGAAAAACGATAGGTGCATTATAAGATCAGAGCACAAGCAATACTTTAATGAATCATATGTTGAGTTAAGTACTCTGAAGTAACATTACATTAACGCTGCTAATAATTTTTAACCCAATAAGATTTACAATTTGACCTGGAGGTTTTATTTAACAGAAAGTTCAATAGAGATAGAGCGTCACCATAATAGATTTCAGGAACAGTAATCAGAGACATAACTTAAACACAGCAGAGTTCAATGTACAGGCAAGTTCATGATGTTATCATATGATTTAAACTACCAGAGGCTTTCAAGTTTTCTTATTATTGAAATTGTAATTTCATGCCAGTGAGTCTACCAAATTCAAGTTATGTGGAGAAATGAATGTGTGAACTTGACATCATCATGCAAATGGTCGACTTCACATCATCATGTAAAGTGCTAATCTACCGTACAAAAAGGTCCAAAACAAACATGGTAAGCATTTAGCAAGCAGCAAGAGGCGGCATTAGAGGAAACAGTGGAAACATCGGTCATGTTACGTTACAATGACGATAAGCGCACATGAAATCTTGAACTATATGTCTGTAGAGGACTAGCAGGTGGTGCAAAACATTGACCAACAGGGACAGCGCTCTGTACTACATCTGCAAAGATGTAAATATTGAAAGACTATGGTTTTATACCACATACACTCGTGTATGCCAGAGAAACTTTTTATATTTAATAAGCATATTAGCAAAGTTTGTTTTGTTCGAATACAATCACGTGGTTATCGTAATAGAAAGCCAATACAGAGAATCAGATTTTTATGACTTGGGTTGGGAGAGACTCAGTCTTACAATATTGATAAGTCAGTATGATATAATTATGTATATAATATCTGTGCAAAGTGAAATCTATTCATTAAATCTTTATTTAAGTTGTTAATCAATCTCTTACACTAAAAAACTGAAAGCAACTTTTGGATTTTGGGGCAACTTTTGAGCAACTTTTAGAGTTTTGGAGCAACTTTGGAGCAACTTTGGAGCAACTTTGGAGCAACTTTGGAGCAACTTTGGAGCAACTTTTTGAGAAAATTGGAGCAACTTGTGGACAGCCCTAAATCAGGGCTATCTTTAAAATTAAGAACAGGGAATAGGAGAATGGGGAATGAGAGAATGGTATTATTCAGGGTTCAAAATAATTTTTCAGTTTCAGCGTGAATTTGTAGGCTTTTGTCAAGGCTCATTTTCTCCCCATTTCCGGCTGTCACTAATAAATTTCAGTATCAGATTCTTTGTTTTGATCAACATGTTTTGTTGCGGCAATTCCTTTCCTAACAAAGCGTAATGAATGGCTCAATTTTTCTGTTTGTTCAAGCGTGGAATATACAGCTTTGTCTAGACAAACTGTCGCGCTGCTGTTAAGCACCGACTTTAATTTGAACGCGTGAGAAAGCTTTACAAACGACATAAAACAGGATTTGGCGGAAAATAAATCTTGATTAAAGGTAATTTGTACGTGCAGAAACATAAACACGGTAATGTGACTGTACGTACACAAACTTGCATGTTTCACGCTTGAACAAATGCATAGAAAGCTGAATACTGTAAACAGAAATACTCCTTGTAGCAGGCTTCAAATTTCGAAACTTTATACTCGTTTACGTTTCCAAAAAGCTTTCAAAACATTTCTTGGCTGCTTTACTGCCTGATATGGCATGATCACCATAACATGAAAGCGACTTTTACTACAGTTGGACGATCATAAGCATAGTATTTTCCACAAAATTCTTGTCCTTCGCTGAGAAATCAGCAAGTGTTTTTTAAGATTCCCCATTTTAAAGATTCCCGCAGTTAAAGATTCCCCGTTTTGAAGATTCCCGCTTTTAAAGATTCCTCATTTTATTTTATAGATAGCCCCACGATCAGCGTATAAAATCGCTAAGTGTGTCATTTTTTCGCCGGCGGGAAGTGAAATATGTCCGATTGCCGCACTGCAGGCTAGCACCACTCTGAAAGATACAACTTTGTTAACCAAACATCATTATTAGGTGACATGCCATAGATATTGGCAATTTTATACGCTGATCGCCGCGATCGGCGAAAATCGCAGTCGCCGCACCGGGCACACCCGGCGATTTCCGCCGGTCGCCCCGATCGGAGTATAAAATCGGTAGTTGTGTCATTTTTTTGCCGCCGGGAAGTGAAATATGTCCGATTGCCGCTCAGTGGAAAGAGCGAAAATGTTAACCTAAATAGTAATAAATATGATCTCGCTGTCTGGTTCCGTGTATAAACAAATTTTCAAAGCGTAATTTAACCCATACGAAGTTGTTGATAGAATCTGACAACAGTTTAATTAAGCCATAGTTTTTCACATTTGAAAGCGGATATGTAGAGCACCTGTCATCCTTGCTTTTTACTTTTACAATGGATGTATATTTACTCTTTAGGAAATCCACCAGACATCGTCATTTGTGCACGAAAGACAACCCATTAAAACGTTTTGATCAACTCGTCTCACGCTGATCACTGAATTTTCTGGCACCTAAACAAAATTTTCTCGATGCAATGTTGGGTGGAGTAACTGACTGAAAAAAAAAATTAAACAGTTTTTTTACATCATTCGGATTTCACATCAGAAAGCCAAGAAATTTGGCCGTATCACATTTCTAAGACTTTTTTCGTGTGATCAACAGTCTTTACAACCCAGAATCAACATTCATTGTTCACAGATTCGTTAAAATTTGAGAAATAAAGCTCCATTTCCGCTGTTTATCTTCAATCGCATTCAATTTACAAAGTCTTCATTCAGCGTCATCCCAAAAAATAATGAAAAATGCAAATACTTAAAAGGTGTTTTTTCTTTTTTGTCGTTAAGCTTTGAATTTCCTCTTTAAGACATTTTACAAGCGAGCTTTAAAAATTACGTCTTGTGCTTTTGAGACAAGCTTTGATATTTTCACACACTCTATAGCCTGTTAACCCTTTGAAAAAAAAAAGATACAAAATTCTGAATTACAAAGATCGAGGAGGATTGAACAAAGATATTGATATCTCCTTTTACACGCTCCATAAACAGAAAAATTAATTGCGCTCCATTAAGAGCATTTTGGTCTCGTGCCTAAGTCTTAGCGATTTCAGTCACTCTTGCTTTGGTTGAATTTGATCCCCTGCAGGAGTGTTCTGTTCGATTAACTTCCAGAGTCTGAAGTAGTAGGAAAGGCTGATAAACCTTTACTAATACACGTAGTTCGGTTCCCTCAAGCAAACCTGCTGAAAGTTGTGCGGCAAACAGCTCTTAGCGCTTGTCGATACTGCGGTATTCTCCACGCGTATAGAAACGGATTTACAGCGCAGCTTACGCACAACATCGACATTGATAGAGCTCTGGATATTTCAAAAGCTGGTCCATCACACACATTGCTTTGTTCCTTGGGACACCACTCCTCCAAGTTAGTAACAATTAGGTAGGGCATAAGTGATATAAACAACACGATTGTGATCAGAATAATTGTCAAAACGATCTTTTTTTCCACACGGATGTTCCGAGCAAAAACGCGCGATCTTCCTCCATTGTCTTGTTGCAGAAACGCGACGTTTCTTGAATATCGGCGGAATTCAATGTAAGTCGCTGCGTTGACAACGCAAAGTATTGTCAGTGGAGCCGTTGACTGAATATGAAGATCCACTGTGTGGAATATTTCCTTTGATGTACTTATGGAGTGCAATGCTTCAAACAGCCCACAAAAGAGCCATATCAAAATGTTACATATGGCGACCTTTCGCAATGTTATAAGCGTCCTATACTTCCAAATAAGCTTTATAGCCAGAAATCTATCCACTGATAACGCCACGACCGTTGAAATTGATATTTTGGTGCTAATATGAGAAGAAATAGTAGAAATCTTGTGTAGGCTTGGTAAATTGACTTTATATGGAAGGCAAAGCATGTATGTTGAGTACAAAGGTTGCGCGAAACTTCCTCCAAGTAAATCACTTAGCGAGAGGCTTACCACGAGGAAAGTTGTGGGGCGCACTCGGAAATACATGTACGGATCTTTGAAAAGAGTCCATAGAAGAACACTGTTTGTTGCGAATGAAACGAAGCCAAGCAAAGCGCTACAAATTCCTGCCAAAAGTGTGACTGATGCTGCTGTAATTCCTTCAAAATGTCCGTGTTCATCGTGATGTGATTCAGCAGTCTCGTTCATGATTAACACCAACGGACACTGCTCAAACTTTTATGTAGAAACTCTTGATTTGATGATTAATATGGCTGAGGATGACTAATGAATCGCCCGGTCACATGAGGGGCAAATTGTTTCGAAGCTGGCTAGTATTTCTTAACTTGCGACACCTTTCCTGAAAGCCAAACTTGGATATCTAATTCGATCGCGCAACACCAAGAACAGTTTTACCGATGCAATATTTCTTACATCCGGTGAAATAGGGCTGAAAATCCTTCTCTCTTGTTCTTATTGTGACCAATGTACGTTAGTTACTTGGTAATTACACGAATTGACGAGGGTTCTGTTACAACAATGGTCGGTCTTGACATCCTCCTAATGAATATGACATCGTTTGCATTAAATATTTGAACAAAATTCTGTTCCCAGGATAAGAATGGACAGTCATTGAAAAACTTGCCTGAATTACTTGAAAAAGAAACTCATTTAAATTCGAATCGCTTTACTTAAGGGATGTAATCACTAAAGCTCCCTTGTCCTATTGAGTGTCCGTTGCGAAGCTGATGCCTATTAAAAATTTGCCAACGGAAAATATGACAACAGCCGAGATAGTAAAAGGAAAATTAACACTAGAATATTCATCCTAGAGCAGAGATTTAAACAATTATGTTAATTATAATCTTGGATTAAAAGGATCACAAAAGTGACGTAATCGAGCGCACCACAGAAGTTTTAATAACTACTCTCCTCAAACTCAACCTAAAAACAGATTTCGGTACGAGACTACGATACGGTTCTTTCTACGCTGGTGTGTTTTATAGGCTGACCCAAAAAAGCCAATTCATCTGACATACCCTTTTTAAAATCTATGAAACATTCGCTTATCTATGTCAATGTTTTTTAATAAAGCATTTTTAAAGGATGGTGAGGTTAACTCTCGAAAAAAGACACAACATTAAAAAAAACTGCCAACTTCTACATGGTCCCGTTCCTTTCACGAGACTCTCTAAGTACATTGCGTTACACTACTTACTTACAGTATTCTTAAGATACAATTAATATTTATGCTACTTACATTGTTCTACTTACACTACGTACAATGTAATAATGCACACATATTTAGAGGCACATCATTTACGCACAAAAAAAAGAGAAACTTATTCACAAAAAATTAACAGTTACGAAAGACAAAAAGGCTAAATTATGGTTGGGATAGATAGGAGTAAGAGCTTGAAAAAAAAACCCAAAAGTACAGCGTTTAGCTAAAAATTGAGGCTTACGATCAGCATAAGGTGAGTAAGATATATCCTTCAAGCAGGCTCATATTTGGAGCCCGCCCGCAAACTATATAGCAATTCTAGTGCATGAAGTATTTTGTCTCACTTCTGTTGAAATTTGTTCTGTGAATCAGTCACGATAGATATTTGTTTTTCAATTTCAGTTGTACATATTCTCTGATAGATGGAGATATGTTCTTAAATTTACAGCAATAAAGATAATACCTTGCGAGGAGCAAACAATGGCTTACTAAAATATCCTTTTTCTCTCCTCTAAAACCTAAACATTCATAGATATCCAAAACGTGTGAGGCTGGTATCATATGAATTGAAACGAAAAAACAATGAACCCTTCCCCAAAAGGTTTTAGTTACCGAGCATTCACAGAAAAGATGGATGCACAGAGAGCAGTCTCCGAAATTCCTATTTTAGGTAGAAAGGAATTCATTACTTTACTTCTGTGGAGAAATTTGAACTGGAAGTTCGTTATCTTAATACTGAGCGTACACAACCTTGGTAGTAAATAAATCGACTTCCAGCTCAAATCCTCCACCACTTCAAGGTCACATTCCCTTACCCATTTTTCTTGACTCTTTTGGGGGCTAGTATAATTTTTTGGTATTAAAATTTTATACGCTAATTCAGTCGGCTTGGTTGCTGCAATCAGTTTTTGCACCGAAAACCCCTGATCCTTTCCACCTGGCGTTTTCAATTTCAAAGACTTCATAGCGCTCCTTATGGCCGCGGTCACTCCATGAAATTCAAGGAAAGAGGCAGATAAGCAATATTTCTCTCTAAACTCTCCATAGGTTATGACCTTAAAAACCATCGTTAACAAGATCTTTGATATTTTGTACACCAGTTTCTGCTCAGTGCATGTAAAAAAAAAGGCCTATTAGCAATTCTGACTAAGTTATTCCATATTATACAACTACTACTACTACAAAAGTCGTGTTTGGAGAGGAAAGAGTCTCTAAAATTAAAGTCCACCCAGATTTCGATAAGTTCTCGGAGGAAGTCCTCCTTGATATCATGTTTGATAGCGTTTTTTTTTCTCAAGTTCCCAAGAAAAACTAATTTTCCTCTCCATTTTGAAAGAAAGAAATCCCCCAAATTTTTCCATTTAGATTTACAATCATCAGAAATATACTTTACTATCCACGCGATCTTTAAAGACTTATTAAATGCCATGATGTCCAAGAAACATCGTTTGATTTTGTCCCTTTTTCCATCCCAGAGAAATTTGAAAAGCAAATCATTTATTTCTTTTGACGATTTGAAACATGTACGTAATGAGTACAAAATGTAGACCAATTGGGATGCAGCCAACGTCTCTATAATTGTAATCTTTCCAGGAAACGTTAATCTCTTGTTTTGCCGATTGTTAAGAATATCTTCAACTTTGTGTTTTTTACTTTGTGAGAGTCCTTCCATAATATCAACTTTCTTGGCTGTAAACTGCGAAAATCTCCTTCAAATCGTTTTCATTCGCACTTCATTCTTGTCCTTTATTTGCTAAATGAAAGATTATCTCCGGATTTGTGTCCTCATTTTGCGTCATCACAAAATCTTTTAGAATTGATCTCCAAAAGCAAAAAATTGAGCAGAATCTAAAGCTTACAGCAGGCGTTCAAGAGCATTTAAAATATTCGATATAAAACCTTTATTGTTTTCATTGACCGAGCTAAAATTGCCGAATAATTGGAAAAATTAACCAAACATATGAATACTATTTAATCAACGTTGGAAGGAGGAAAATAAATATAACTTTCGACATAACTAACATGGTTAAAGCTGGATCTGTTACCGACATAATGATCATATCATAATTATAAGGGGTGTTTGCTTTATGTGGAAAGAACACCGAGACACGATACGAACCAACTATATTCTAAGAAAATAACCGAAAGTTTTATTATGACTATGATTACCTGTATAATAATGCTTCTGGGAGAAGAAAAATCAAGCGTACGTCAAAGCAGTCGTTCGGAAATATTCATTCCTTATATTTTGGCCATTATTTTCAATTCCAGTAATCTGCAGCTGATGAAATTCTCGGCTAGATCTTGCATCATGCCTCGGATGTGTTCTCTATGCTGTTATGACGATGATAGTTATGCCGCCAGTGAAAACTAAAGCCCAGTATCACTAACCAATGTTTACTTTGCTGTTCTTAAGACGATTCGAATAACTACAATAGAGAGTTCAAAATTCATGTAAAATGAGGCTTTCAGAAATTAACATCCCTTTGTTTTCAGACTTCTTACCAAATCGCTTCGTCACATGCAAAAACGAAGATAATAATCAGTTTCTTTGTACTTTCAGTTCGTTGAACTCTTCGTGTTTTCAGTACTAAAAACTGATCCTCGTCCGATGTTCCTCATCCAGCCATGAGTATCTAAAAGTCCTACAAGGTTCTTGTCGAAACGAAATCATTTTTTAGCAACCTTCTTTGCGAGATGAACACAATAGCTCGAAAGATATAAACAGTGCCTTTTTGATTTTCGAAAATCGAGAGTTTCCCATTTCTCCAACTGCTAATACCTGCTAACAAACTTGTTTTGGAAAATGAAAGCTAAAGGAAATCATTAACACCCAGAAAAACACGGTTTGACTTGTATTCATCGTTTTCATTTTAACCCGTGATTGTACTTCTCAATTAATTCGAAAAAAATCTCCAAATTACTAAAAACTAGGGGAAAACATCTGACAGCTTGTCAATCCTTTGATTTAAGCGCCTCTTTTTTCCGACGGCGCCACTCTTGTACTCTACAGAGCAGGCATTATTTTAGTAGGCAAGTGCTCAGTATTATCTTGGGAATAATTATAGCTGCCATCTTTAATTTTTATGGCAGCGGAAGGCTGGGAAAAGAAAGAAATTTGTACTAAGAGTGAGAGACGACTCTAGCTCCAAATCAAACACGGCGGCGGAATATAGAATACAGATGATCACGAGCTTGTTAATGTTAACTCGTCCTGATAAGACGCCCGCACTGCAGGCTAGCGCCACTCTAAACGATCCAACTTTGTTAATCTCGGTCTCGTGTCGAGGGCGCAGAGTACGCTAAGTGGTAGACACCGCAACTTCGAACCGAAATGCAACATCATTAATAGGTGACATGCCAGATATTGGCAATCTTATACGCTGATCGCTGCGATCGGCGAAAATCGCAGTCGCCGCACCGGGCACACCCGGCGATTTCCGCTGGTCGCCGCGATCGGCGTATAAAATCGCTATTTGTGTCATTTTTTCGCCGCCGGGAAGTGAAATACGTCCGATTGCCGCTCAGTGGAAAGAGCGAAAATGTTAACCTAAATAGTGATAAATATGATCTCGCTGTCTGGTTCCGTGTATAAACAAATTTTCAAAGCGTGATTTAACCCATACGAAGTTGTTGATAGAATCTGACAACAGTTTAATTAAGCCATAGTTTTTCACATTTGAAGGCGGATATATAGAGCACCTGTCATCCTTGCTTTGTACTTTTACAATGGATGTATATTTACTCTTTAGGAAATCCACCAGACATCGTCATTTGCGCACGAAAGACAACCCATTAAAAATTTTTGATCAACTCGTCTCACGCTGATCACTGAATTTTCTGGCACTTAAATAAAATTTTCTCGATGCAATGTTGGGTGGAGTAACTGACTGAAAAAAAAAATTGAACAGTTTTTTTACATCATTCGGATTTCACATCAGAAAGCCAAGAAATTTGGCCGTATCACATTTCTAAGACTTTTTTCGTGTGATCAACAGTCTTTACTACCCGAAATTAACATTCACTGTTCACAGATTTGTTAAAATCTGAGAAATAAAGCTCCATTTCCGCTGTTTACCTTCAATCGCATTCAATTTACAAAGTTTTCATTCAGCGTCATCCTAAAAAATAATGAAAAATGCAAATACTTAAAAGGTGTTTTTTCTTTTTGCCGCTAAGCTTTGAAAGTCCTCTCTGAGACATTTTACACTCGAGCTTTAAAAATTACGTCTGTGCTTTTGAGACAAGCTTTGATATTTTCACACACTTTATAGCCTTTTAACCCTTTGAAAAAAAATACAAAATTCTGAATTACAAAGATCGAGGAGGATTGAACAAAGATATTGATATCTCCTTTTACACGCTCCATAAACAGCAAAATTAATTGCGCTCCAATAAGAGCATTTTGGTCTCGTGCCCAAGTCTTGGCAATTTCAGTCGCTCTTGCTTTGGTTGAATTTGGTCCCCTGCAGGAGTGTTCTGTTCGATTAAACTTCCAGAGCCTAAAGCAGTAGGAAAGGCTGATAAACCTTAACTAATACACGTGGTTCGGTTCCCTCAAGCAGACCTGCTGAAAGTTGTGCGGCAAACAGCTCTTAGCGCTTGTCGATACTGCGGTATTCTCCACGCGTATAGAAACGGATTTACAGCACAGCTAACGCACAACATCGAAATTGATAGAGCTCTTGTTATTTCAAAAGCTAGCCCATCACACACATTGCTTTGTTCTTCGGGACACTGCTCCTTCAAGTTAGTAACAATTAAGTGGGGCATAATTGATATAAACAGCACGATTGTGATCAGGATGATTGTCAAAACGATCTTTTTTTCCAGACCGATGTTCCGAGCAGAAACGCGCGATCTTCCTCCATTGTCTTGTTGCAGGAACGTGACGTTTCTTGAGTATCGGCGGAATTCAATGTAAGTCGCTGCGTTGACAGCGCAAAGTATTGTTAGTGGAACCGTAGACTGAAGATGAAGATCCACTGCGTGGAATATTTCCTCTGATGTACTTATTGAGTGCAATGCTTCAAACAGCCCACAAAGGAGCCATATCAAAATGTTACATATGACGACCTTTCGCACTGTTATAAGCGCCCTATACTTCCAAATAAACTTTATAGCCAGAAATCTATCCACTGATAACGCCACGACCGTTGAAATTGATATTTTGGTGCTAATATGAGAAGAAACGGTAGAAATATTGTGTAGGCTTGGTAAATTTACTCGACACGGATGGCAAAGCATGTATGTTGAGTACAAAGGTTGCACGAAACTTCCTCCAAGTAAATCACTTAACGCGAGGCTTGCCACGAGAAACGTTGTGGGGCGCACTCGGAAATACATGTACGGATCTTTGAAAAGAGTCCATAGAAGAACACTGTTTGTTGCGAATGAAACGAAGCCAAGCAAAGCACTACAAATTCCTGCCAAAAGCGCGACTGATGCTGTTGGAATTCCTTCAAAATGTCCGTGTTCATCGTGATTTGATTCAGCAGTCTCGGTCATGATTAACACCAATGGACACTGCTCGAGCTTTTATGTAGAAACTCTTGATGTGATGATTAATATGGCTGAGGATGACTAATGAATCACCTGGTCACATGAGAGGCAAATTGTTTTGAAGCTGGCTAGTATTTCTTAACTTGCCACACCTTTCCTGAAAGCCAAACTTGGATATCTAATTTGATCGCGCAACACCAAGAACAGTTTTACCGATGCAATATTTCCTACATCCGGTGAAACAGAGCTGAAAACCCTTCTCTCCTGTTCCCATTGTGAAAAATATAAGTTAGTTACTTGGTAAGTGCACGAATTGATGAGGGTTCAATTACAACAATGGTCGGTCTTGACATCCTGCTGATGAATATGAAATCGTTTGCATTAAATATTTGGACAAAACTTTGTTACCAGGATAAAAATTGACAGTCATAGAAAAACTTTCCTGAATTACTTGAAGAAGAAACTCATTTAAATTGGAGTCATTTTACTTAAGGGATGTGATCACTAAAGCTCCATTGTCCTATCGAGTGCCCGTTGCGAAGCTGATAACTCTTAAAAAATTTGCACACAGAAAATATGAAAACAGCCGAGATAATAATAGAAAATAAACACTAGAATATTTATCCTAGGGCAGAGCTTAGTGTTAATTATAATCTTGGATTAAAAGGATCGCAAAAGGTACGTAAACGGGCGCACCACAGTAGTTTTAGTAACTACTCTCCTCAAACTCAACCTAAAAACAGATTTCGGTACGAGACTATGATATGGCTCTTTCTAAGTTGGTGGTTTTTACAAGCTGACCCAAAGAAGCCAATTTATCTGACATAACCTTTTTAATATTTATGAAACATTCGCTCATCTTTGTCAATGTTTTTTAATAAAGCTTTTTTAGAGGATGGTGAGGTTGACTCTCAAAAAAAAGACACAACATTCCATAATATTAACTTTCTTGGCTGTAAACTGCGAAAATCTCCTTCAAATCGTCCTTTATTTGCTAAATGTAAGATTATCTCCGGATTTGTGTCCTCATTTTGCGTCATCACAAAATCACTCAGAATTGATCTCCAATAGCAAACAATTGAGCAGAATCTAAAGTTTACAGCAGGCGTTCATTAGCATTTAAATTATCCGATACATAACCTTTATTATTTTCATTGACCGAGCTAAAATTGCTGAAAAAGTGGAAATATTAACCAAACACATGTAACTGCTTCCGTTGAAGCTAAGTGTTACCGCTTCCGAGAAAAGCTGCGAAATATTTTTTTGGTTAGTTTGAAGCCCCCGTGATTAGTTCTTTTAGACAGAAAATTATTGAAAGCGTTTCAGTTGAAGATAAGACTCCGTGTGATCAAGATCGTTTTGAATAGAAGACAAGTTAGACTGTAATCCTCGATAAAGTAATCAAGACCCGCGAACGTTGGTAAGCAATGACTTGTTTTGTGATTATGTTATCTAGCTCGTAGTCGTTACTCAAAGTAAAATTTATCGCTCGTTTTTACCTTTCCTTTGGTTCCTTTAATTGCCACGTGCTCGTTTCCAAAACCGAGATTATTCTTAAGCTTTGATCACAATACTTAGGTGATTTCTTCACGTAATAATTTTAGTTGACCGCTTCGATATAATAACGTCCTAAGGAATAGGAAAAGGAATAAAGAAAGAAAAGATCCTATTTGGTTTGGTGTTTATCGCATGCGCGTGTATCAACCCGGGAATCGAATTTACAACTCTAGCTTGAAAAGAAACTTTTACAACACACGCATACTATTTAATCAACGATGGAAGGAGGAAAATAAATATAACTTTCGACACAACTTGTGAGAGGTTTTTGTTTGCCAGTTATACCTTTCTCCCTTCCTTGTCACTTGAATGTTTCATGAAGATTTAAACTATAGCAGCAAATTTTAATTTTTATGCTAATAACTTTCAGCTTCTGACTGTTCAAAATAAGAGGAAATAAGTACTAAAAGGTTTTTTTTTTCCTGCCTTCTATGCTATTCAAAACCTTCTTCCAAAGTGGGGATAACTATAGCAGCCACGACTCCGTTGTGCCGGCTTCGATTTAGAACTGAGCTTCATGCATATGCACGACGTGTATATCATAACAATTTTTGAATACTGAGGACATTTTGATATGAAATAACATTGTTTTTGTTTTCGGCAGGAAGTGATCAACTGATGTTTTAATCCTGGTTGATACGCCTTTCATTATTTTGTTAAAGCTGGATCTGCTAACGACATAACGATCATATCATAATTATATGGGGAGTTTACTTCGTGTGGAAAGAACACCGAGATACGATACGAACAGACCATACTCTGAGAAAATAACCAAAAATTTTGTTATGACTATGATTACCTGTATAATAATGCATCTAGGAGAGGAAAATCAAGCGTACGTCGAAGCGGTCGTACGGATATATTCATTCTTTATATTTTGGCCATTATTTTCGATTCCAGTAATCTGCAGCTGATGAAATTCTCGGCTAGATCTTGAGTAACTGAGGTGCTTTTTCATGCCTCAGATGTGTCCTCGATGCTTTGATGATTATGATAGTTTTGCCGCGAGTGGAAACTAAAGCCCAGTACCACCAACTAATGTTTGCTTTGCTGCTTAAGACGATTCGAATAACAACAAAATAGAGTTCAAAATTCAAGTAAAATCAGGGTTTCAGAAAATCAACATCCCTTTGTTTTCAGACTTCTTAGCAAATCGCTTCGTCATTTACAAAAACGAAGATAATAGTCAGTTTCTGTGTACTTTCAGTTCGCTGAAATTTTCATGTTTTGAGTTTTAAAAACTGACCCTCGTCCGCTGTTCATCGTCTTAAACAGGCGTTGCAGGTGCCCCCAATATGTGGGTGGGGGTGGGGGGTGTATCATTCAACAATACCTCAAAATGGAGACATAGGGATATTTACCTCACCGGTTTCTCGTTCATTTTCTTCAAAAGTCATCTTTCTCTCAATTTATCATAAAACTGATTTGTCCTGTATGTTTGGAGCCATTCTAGTTTTTCAATTACAGAACAGGTGGCCATGAACAACAGTGCAGGTTTTTGCAAGCTTTGCAGAAAGATGGGTCTTCATATTCGATCTTAAAGTGACTTTAATTCGGTTTCGTTCAGGACACTTGAAAATGAATTAGGGCTGTTTCTAAGAGCTTGTGATGTTACTATGAAAAATTCTTGCATTTGGGAAATGCCTAGCATTTGAAACGAATGTTTATGATGGCATTGTCGGTGTAGCAAACGGAAAATCATGGTTATCAAACGATGAGCTGTAAAATATAAGGAAATTGTTTTGAGCCTCGTATCGATCCAAATTGTGAACCTGTGTACTATAAGCGGCACTGACCATCACCTCTACATATCGGATGACGAAGCCTTGTCTTAAAAGGTGTGGTTCACTCAAAACGCTATGAATTCCCCTTAACCAAGTCAAGTTCTTTGCAGTGATTTTTGTCCCAAAATGTCCTCATATCTTCGTAAACCCTTGGAAAGGCGTACAGAGTTTGGTTGTGAAGTTGATTACACAGTACACAAGCACGGTTCGTCGCTACACGTTTATAAAATTTCTTCCAAGCAAAGTATTCGCTGTACGCGGTGTCATTTGCATCGAGGTAAAGCAAATAGTCAGCAAGATGTTTGGGAGAATCAAAATCTTGAACATCAATGTAGGAATTTGGAATAGCGAGTACCTTGTAATTGGCTCCCCCCATAACGATGGGTATAATATCATTGTCAATCGCGTTTTCCCAATATTTTTCAGTCATGTAATCAGGACAGTTACCGTTTTCGAACGCCAAATAAAACTTGTGTTGCTTTAGCAACGCATTGCAGACAGGCCAACGACGTTTCCGAGGACAACGTAACCGGCCGCATAATCCATATATGGAAACGTGGATGTAGTTTTGTAATTCCATGACGTAGAGATATCGTTCAGTTGCCTGGCAGTTACTGACCAACCAAGCAACTTGTTTACTCTTTCCAGCTGTTTCATTACCTGTGAGATATTTTTCAGAGGGCTTCTCTAAAGTTATATACTTTCCGTAAGGTGTATAAACCTCTGAGTCTCGGCTGTAAGACATCGTCCAGTTAAAAACACCAGCAAACCCATGAGCATCCATGGGCACGTGCAGCGGATTTTCCAGAACAAAATAGAACCATATCTGTTCCGAAGACATGCGACTTGGAAGAAATTCAGGCATGTCGCGTGCGTGAAAACCAACAGCATCCGCTTCTAATATCCTACTCCTGTTATACGTCACCAGACAACTAGAAACCTCGCAATTCATAAAAGTCGTGTGTCCCTCTTCAAAGGGCGAACGATTGGGTCCTAAGGAAGGATCATTCGCCCACTTTTGTCCAAAAAAAGGCGTGTAAAGCAATATCAGCTTCTTCCTGGATTCTTCTCCTTGATCAGCCTCCCTCACGCCTCGATGTGCAACAGTTAAATTTACAAAATACTTCTCTTGTAAAAATAACATGTTTTTAAACACTGCGATGTAGAAGACAAAACTAATTACGATAAATAGGAGAAGTATTTGAAGACCTGAATTTTGTCGAGAGAACATATTTCGCAAAAGTCTCAACTTCGCAGAGCCCATCTTAGAAGCGGAAAAGACTAAACTAGCGTCAAGTACACAATGGGATTATACGCTTTGTAAATGGCACCCTTAAAAGCTGCTTACTCGAGCGAACACGACAACGTCAAAATGGCAGCAGGTTCACAGCACCAGCGACAGGTTATAACAACCATCGGCCATCACACCTTCGACAAAGAAATCCAACCAAAATACCAAAATTTAGAACTTGGCACCTGGTAGTGAACACTATTCGCTTCCTTTTATTTCTTAATTCTATAATTTAATCTAGTTTCACATAGTCTGGGCAAGGAGAACGATTTCCAAATCAGTGGTAGAACTGTCATCAAGGGTAATTTAAATTTGACGGATGTATCTATTGATCTAAGCAACAAGTAAACACTTAACAAAGAGATTTTTAATTTGCTTATAATCTGGAAAAAAAAAACAAGCACTATTCAATTGCAGAAAACAAATACATTTCCTGCTCCCCAATTAGACCTAGAACCATGTTGGACATAACAAAGGATTCATGTCTGCCTTTAGGGCTCCATGCCAAATCGCTGATGAGTAAGGATACGCTTAACCTTTGACACTGGTTGACCGACTCGATTCTCAAGTAAGAGTTCTCTAGAACTCTCCATCAAGAGCTGTCATACGACCGAAACCACGTCTTCATTTTAGCTGAAGTTGCAGTAGGAGATGAAAGCAAGTGCATGGAAAGTTGACAAAAAAAAAATAATAAGAGTTTATTTGGGTTCTTCGAAGCACAGTTGAACTAACTCTGGGCGGGTTTTTGTAATGTTTTGACTAAGCGAATTGTTAGGCCTTGCCGAAAGTTCCACAAATTATACCTCAGTTGTAATCTTTAGAATTTTTTTTGCGTTAACTGGAAGATAAAAGCCGAAAATCACTCTCCTTAGATAAACGTTGATAAATTCTGGACAGATTTGATCGCTGTTCTGTAATCCACACATCCACACCACAAATCTTTTATTTACTTTTCTTTGATTGAAGTTAGTCGTAAATAAGGGAGCACTTGTAAATGGCTAACACATGGGCCGCGTGTTAAAGAAGTCACGATTGCGGAATACTTAGTCATTCGCGAAAGAAACGTCTGTGAGATAGTTCAGTGGTTGCATAAAGGTGATTGAAGATAAAAAAAACCAATATCCATGCTGACCTGCAGTTGTCTGGTTAGTATTTAAACTCGAACAATAAATCTTGTGGTAAGTACTGTGTCCTATTAACCGGCCGGTTGCGCACTCCAGAATCACCGTCACGTCGTTGGAGCTTTGTATGTAACAACTACTTCACTTTCCCTCTTCGCATTCAAGAGTAGCGAATGTTTTGAACGTTAAACGTTACGAGATAATAATAGGGATTTCCAGCCATGTTTTTGAGAGGTTTTAAAATATTTTTGAAGTTTTTAAAGAAATTATAATCTTTCTCATGTATGCTGGAGATGAGACAGTTGTACTATCGAACTGAAACCATGCTCTTTACAACATTATACCCTAGTTCTTTCCGGATCCCTTTGTCACAAGAAGTTCGAAGTAATCTGGAGCGCTCGAGCTATTCTTTGATCGGCTTCATAAAGAAAATGGTGGAAATTCGAAGGGAGATTCCACCATTGGATCGCTACGATAGAAAACAGCAGGCGCATGCGAAAAATGACTTAATACAGTTTACAACGACGAAGTACCCAATGAGGAAATAATTTATTACTAAGCGCAAAATAGAATGTGTAAAATAACCCATTTTATAAATTCTACATTTTTTTCAATAAATAATTATTTAGACGTTTAATTTTTTGTACCACCAATTTCGTCACGTGCAAGTTAGCAGGAAATAACGAGGCAAACTCATCCATAATCAGATTTTATCCAAAGTACTCTGGCAAATTCTTGATTCTCTCCTTTTAAAGCCTAAGCAAGGTGAAAAGAAAACCAAGCTTTAATTTTACGAAGAACTAACCTTTCAAAAATATTCTACACAGGGATATCGGCCAAAGCTGTCAAGTGTCATCCTATTTTAAAAAAATCTCATTCATTCACGTCAATGTCCTTTGAAAGATGCATAATTTATGCAGCCATTATGGTACACGCTTTGCCTCGGTCGATATTTGCTGATCAAATTTATGATGTATGTTTTAAAAAGTCTTGAATACGAATCACTCAGTTGTTCAGATATGTAGCTGTTGTGCCAGAACTAATGTGGCATGCTCTTTCGGTTGCTTGTGGCCAAGATGAATGAAGTTATACCAAAGAAGACCCATAGATGCAAGGGCTTTTAACTAATTATCACAGTGAGTAATTATACTAGATTATCACTCAAAAAAGGGGAAAAAAAACAACAACAACAACAAGAACAAAAACCAGCTAGAGTGTACTACTGTCTATAATATTACGAAAGCATTGGCTCGAAGATGATGAAATTAAAAATGGTGTAACATGGACTTTTCAAGGACAAACTCGTTTCAACGACTTAGACCTCGACCGCTAATTTCCCCGCACCACTGGGGCTCCGTTTTTATCACATAGGTAACCCAGTTCAGCTCCAAGGAAATATCAGGCAAGTTTTTAGCATTATTAAAAATAACTTTGCTTTTCACCTCGAACTACGGCGGATTTATCAATTACTCTAAAATCAAACGAAATATAACTACCTCAAGTTTCTTAACAATGCGAGAGTATTTTCTTTTGGTGGCGTCATCGTCCACGTCTATAAAGTAATCTGATATCCCAATGTGCACTTCGATGCGCTCTAACCTTGGGCAAGCACCTAACAGAAATCACACCATTTTTAGGAAGAGAATTGTGCGATTTCTGAGTTTACAAAATCAGGCGTTTTAGCAAAATAACGAAAAAAAATCAGATAAATATTCAACTAGTGTTACCGAGTAATTCCTTAATGGCTCCGGGAGAGACTGGGGTAAATGTAAAGGATATAGTCTCCAGGCCTCGTAGTCCACAGAGACACATGGCGTGGGCAATTTCTTCGTCGATTGCTATTGTCCGATCAAGTTCCAGCTCTTGGAGCCTCAGGCAACCTTTGGCTAATAGATGACACAGAGAGGTAGGATTTTTATTCCTCACATCATATCATTCGCTGGACGAATTCATCACAAAAAGTGTTCAGAATGAACTAAGTTTATTGTGTTTACCAATATAAGTAAGTCCCGCAGACGAGAGACTGGGTCCGCCTACCGACAAATGGCGCATATTTGGCCAGCAGTTTGCTATCGTTTCCACGCTCTTGTCATTGAATCGTCCAGGATGGTCACTAGAGGAAAAAGTAGTTCGTGTTGGACAGGTATCCTGTTACATAATCACCTGGAGTAGCCAGACAAAACATGAGATATTCACGACAGACTTACCACGGAAACATCGGTGGTACTATGAGAGTGACAAGCTGTCTACACGCCCATAAAGCCCACAGTGCCTCAGGACAAGCGGGATATGAATCACTAATGTATATAAATGCTTGTAGCTCTTTACAGTGAGAGCCTGCCAAAGCTAAACACCTAAAATAAAATCAAAGCAAACAGCGAATACTGTTATTTGTTTGTTTGTGCTAGTTTTCTTCATAACAAATTCAGCATTTAACAGAAGTCGGGCTCTGACAGGTCCAACGAAACCTGAATCCTTAGCGCGGCGTGCCACTTTAATTTGGATATCTCTCACTGTTTTTCTCTGTTTAGTACCTGTACTTCGCAGTAATGTTCTACTTAGTTCACTGATATCTAATCTTAACATCAGAACATACTTAGCAAAGCTTCCACGTTCCTACTTCGTTACGGTCAAACGTATTCTGCGCGAGTACCTGTCTGATATCAATGGGCCGCAGTCTTCGACGTGCAGGCTCAACAAGCTTGAACCAGCAGCCTTCAAAATATACTCCATCCCCCTCTCTAGATAACACCTAAAAAATTGAGCATGTGGAATTTTAGTAAAAATTTGAAGAAATAAGCTAAATCAACGCAAATGGGGCGAATAAACAACGTTGGCACAAAAATCACACAATCGATGGTAAAAACATTATCATGCTGTGTCCACGCATTACCATTGCCTGATGTTATCCGTTCCAGAATAAAAAGTCCACGCATTTATCGCTCTTTTTACAGAATTCAGGATGATTTTCATGAACATGAGAAAAATGACTCTTTTCTCCTCACTCAAACAACTATGTGCAGAATATCCCCGCTGTCACTTTTTTCTACGCTTTGTAAGACGTACAATGTAACCTCATATTTCTTGATAGGAGTTGTAATGGGATAAAGGTAAAGGTAAAGGTTTGAATGGAATTAATGAAATGGATGACAGAAAGAATAAGCTAACGGAATGATTGTTAAAGAACGTTTCTTAAAGGCCTCACCGCAAATCCTCTGATGTCTTTGAAGAATTGCATTTGTCTTTTGATCTTACTTTCCTCAGCCCTAGAAGTTCACAACACGTCCTCACTTAAAAAATCGTTTGAACGATTAAATAAAAGGACTTGAATGAATGGCAAAAATTCTGCCTAATTATCAACGACTAGACGTTAGTTTCTTAGTCAATTACAGCCATTTAAAAATCACTGGTGATCCCTGTAGTCTGATTGGCTCTCATCAGTGCGATTTATTTCCCAGCCAATTGAGCGGCTTTACTAAAACACAACAACCAATCAGATTTCAAGATTTTTTAGAAGAAACCAATCAATTGCAGGAAAATTTAAGATAAATTATGCAACTTTTCACAAAACAGCTCTATAGGAAAGAAATTCTGTATTTGAGTGGCTGAATTTTGCGATTTCTAAATGGATGTAGTAAAAAGTTAATTGAACTTCGTGTCGTACAATTTTGGTCTGCGCGCTCGTTCGGTTTTAAAATCACGCGTATGATTTCAGACTAAACTGCACTCCACTCAGTTTAATTAGCATTAAAATAAAAAATGGCTAAACTCAAGGTAAGTGGTTGCCAAAATCAACAATTCCACATATTAGTACTGGTTATGGCCTAAAACCTCCCCTCTCAGCCATTCCCTCCACTCATTCCCCTCTCAGCCATTCCCTCCACTCATTCCCCTCTCAGCCATTCCCTCCACTCATTCATTTATGGTTTCAGCGAGTCATAAAGAGTGCACCAATTGATAGTTCCCTTATGAGACGCGGAAAAGGATTGATATTCTTGGAAACCCAACGTCAGCTTGTTGTTGTTCAATCTCATGGAGTAATATTGTAACGATCCACCACGTTTCAAGTCCACGAGATGTACCAGAGCATTTCAAATGTTAGAAAACAGAAGTAAGAAGAAAGTATGATTTAAGACCCTAAGCAACTTGAGCTTGCATTACATGGAAAAACCACAAACTCATCAAGAATATATTGCATGTACAAAACAATATACACGAGTTACATCTACATATTTCGTTCACATTTACTGAACATTTTACTTTGTTCCCGACTTCTTTCAGAGACGCAACTTTTCCGTCCCCTACATGAAACTCCCTGACTTTCGCTGAACTCATTAAAGTTTTTGCCCTGACCATTTCTTGACCTGTGGTAACCATTTGTTCTTGTACTTAACTACAGCACGAAGAAACAAAAGAGTGTTGATGATTGTCTGATCTTCAAAATACAATAACCTGGCGATAAGCTCGATTATCAGACCGGACACGAGAGCCTAACCTGGCAACAGCAATAATTATTTTAAAGCTGTCAGAGTCAATTTGAAAATAAACAATAGCGTGTGGGTTGGCTATGCAAGGACAAAAGCATCTACCATTAGCCCTTTTTAACGCGATTTTTATACAGACCTTTGAGCCTTAGGGATTGCGTGGAGCTACATCTCCTAGATATTACCTGAAGAGCCTGCAAAAAAAACAACAACATCAACCTTTTTCCCATTTTGTACAAAGCAGACGTTTCCTTGACAGAAATTACACTGGAGTTAAATTTTCTCAAAACTTACAAACGCCTGCGGAGCACTCACCATATTATTCAGCGGTATCTCGTGTAAAGTAACGTGTTTCCAAAGCGAAGGATGCTCACTTAGTGCGCGCCATTCACGGCACACTCGTGCTAGGCCACAGAGCTCAACGGGATTTAGATGCCGAAATACAAGTAGCAAGGCGGATCTCTTACGCTGGCCTGTGATTTGCTTGGACCGCTGAGGAAAGCCACCTTTCAGAAAAAAGTAGCACTTGGTTTAATTTGAAGTAAAAGCCGCTTATTGGTAGAAATTATGTAATGTAAAGAGGACAGAGAGGACGATGAATGTTGAAATCTTGGAGGTGAAAAGGTTAATTAGCGAAAAAGCGGCCACTAGCGCGGGGAAACATGAGTAATCGATTCATGATTGGCGTTACCTTTGCACCTGTTTGGTTCAGTAGTTAAAGCGAGTTTTATGAAATAAAAATAAATTGTAGTACAGATGGTTAATCCAATTAAAAATCTCGTCTTACTTTCTATAGCTCTCGCTATAGATTCTCGATAACGCAATAGATCAAGGTGGGACATTGTTCACCACCCATGCTGCAATTGCTGATATCAACGCCATATTTTTGAAAGGCCAAATCTGGTGGTATGATCGATTGACTGTCAATAAATAAAAGCACTTCAATGATGTAGATTCACCTCATAATTTTCAGGTAAGCCTACATAACAAATGTTATCTATCCTAATAAAGATAGATCTACATCAAAAAACCTGACTAAGGTGAAATAAAGCACAATTCTAACCAAAATGTACGGTTTCTACCATGAAAAAACAAAAAGCATATGAGGAGGATGTGATGCAAATCGTGAAGTCGGAGCACCCAGTCACTTTATAAACTGTTTCTTTCTTTTTTTTTCTTTTTTTTGTGCACTCCTTTTTGCTATCGCAGACAGCATGCAGGCCAAACAATCACAACCAAAATGTGCATTAACCCTTTAACCCCCTTGAGCGATCAAGAAAGAATGTCTCCTTACAATATCAGTACAACATCAAGCAGACAAGTGATAAGAATAAAGAGAAATGTCAACAATGAGATTATTAGTTGATCCAATGCCAAAGTCTCCAAAGTAACCTCATAAGAATTGTGTGACAAACCGTAAGGAGATTTAATAATGAGACCCTGGGAGTAAAAAGGTTAGAAAGACTACGCAACATCAAGCATAACGAGAAAGGAACAACAGAACACTGGGCTGGGATTGTAAACTCATACTAAATACCAGATACTCTACAAAAACACCTCTCTGCTTGTTAACTTGTTGTGGTGAATGTTTATTTATACAACTTTACCTTTGATCCTTTGCTCGATTCCTTTCCTTGGTGTCGAAGTCTTAATGGAGGGCGACAAATTTTCCCAATCAAAAGATTCATTTACTGATCTGCCCTCATCCTCTGCGTCACTATTCAAAGGAGTCACCGATTTGAAACTATCGGAGACGCTGCTCACAGTGCCAACTGAATTTCTACGTCTACTTGTTCCTCCCAAGCAGAGCTTCCGCCTTAAACGCTCCTTTTTGGAGTCTCGAGTATCATCGACTTTTGGTGATCCTGGTTAAACACAACACATTTATAAAGTTAGCTTCGTCCTCCATCTTCAAGAGTCCATGGATCCTTTGTTACAATAAAGTTGTTTACTGTAACAACTCGTTAGGGGGAACGGTCAATTGAGATGCTGTTCTATTGACAACTATAGAGCCCAGTGCCTAATAAAAAAGAGTATTTCCTAATGGAGTTTTAGTCAAGATGAGTTCTCTATTTCAGTGATTACTAATTACAATTTTAAAGGCGTATTAAAGTCACCGAAGAACTTAGGAGGAAAAATTCTCTAAATACTTCCAATTCGCCAGGCGAGGGAGCAGTGAAAACGAACAGCGAAGCCGCGAGAAGTTGGGCGGGTTTGGAAGCTCTTCGCTTCTCAAATTTCACAAAAAACTACGATATACGTAAGATGACAGACAGACTCTGACTGACAGAAAAAACCTGACATATTTAACTCAGATCGAGATAATACAGCTCTATCTTTGTTTCAGAAAACGATGCTGATGTAAAGAAGACGTATCCTACCTGGACCTCTCTTTTCTTTGTTAAACTTTCTCCTCAGCTTGTTAAAACCGAACACGTGATCCTTGCTTGTGGGTACAGGAGAAATTCTCAAACTTTCACCAAATCCAGAATCTTGCCGAAGACTACTAGGAACAGTTAAACCTTTCTGATATATTGACGCCACTGCCGGGGGCTGTCTAACCGCGGAATTATCCGCAGAAACATCCACTTTCATGGGACCTACATCGATTTCTACGATTCCAACGGGGACAGTGGGTAGTCGCCGACCTGACCCTCCGCGGGACACCCTACGCATATTTGTTGCATCACGCGATATATGTGATTCAGATGACGTTATTGATAGTGTTTCGTCAGACTGTGATATTTCGCTGTTTGTGCTTGAGACACTTGTTTTCCTGGTAGCCTGTGGCAGCTTTCTCCTTTTTCCTGAGCCCGTTTTCCGAGCTGGGCGTTGGACGGAGACATAAGAATCCCTTACATTGGTTGCACTAGCATCAGAGACATTGGTAACAGTTCTTACCTCTGGAACGTGGGCAACAAAGGTTTCTGCGAATGCTACTCTAGCCATTCGCACATCGTCAGGCTGAACGACAAGTCCGGTCGAAGATTGAAGACGAAAGTCGAAACTTTCCTCTTCGGAAGCGAAAACGTTGTCTAAATCAACAGCAATTATCTCGCTGTCCCGCAGAGAGTCTTTCAAATCCTTCTCGCCATCAACTTCAGACGACTGGGAACATTTTAGATAATCTATGAAATTCACATCAGCCGATTGGTTTAGCTCTAATTCTTGACTAGTATGCTGCCAATCTTCTAACTCCTCAAGTTTTGCTGGCTCACTCTGTGTAGTGGCTTCAGTACACCACTTCTCCTTATCTCGCGTAGAATCGCTCTGTCTGTTAGCGATTGATCTATTGTTCTTCTTCAATTCCCTCAATTGTTTCTCAAGCATCCTTACATATTCAGCAATTTCGTTCCGAGCTTTCAACTGCTGCTGGTTCGTATCCTCCACATGTTTATTCATGGCAGCGACAATCCTGTAAAAGAAGAAAGGAAAAAAACCTAGAACAAAGGTGGCCACGAGATACGTTTAGCCTCTCAGCCCTGTTAACCCACTACTGATGACGCCCAGCGCGGCTTCATGAGCATGAAATGACTTAGAGTTTTGATTTCACTCTGCTGAGAAGTCTATCGCAAGTTAACTATTAGCTTTAGGCCATTCACATTTCTAAGTGGAGATAGGCGCTGTGAGAGTTTACACAACCGATCGCCGCGATCTGCATGTAAAAATCGCCTCGAGTGTCGCCAGCCTTACGTATATGGCATCAAGAACAGTCAAGCGGGGCCTTTGGTTAGGATACAAAACAATCTTACCAAAGTCAGCAGCAATAGTAACTTTACTAAGACTGTTTGTCTTACATGCGTTTATGTGCTTCTGTACGTGTAAACCGAACGTGTAAACCAGCCCCAAAAACCAAAACCAAGGAAATCCACCTGGCCTATCAGTACAGCGTAAAATAACACAAAAACTATCGACAACTTGGAGAAAAGAATCGGCCGACCGCATTCCAATCAACACTCAGTGTAAAATTGCTTTAGTACAAAGATGATAAAATGATACTTACTCTGACTACCTAAGCAACAGTAAACGATAGAAGTCTGTACTTACCAAGTATTAATCTAATCGCGGTCTGATGAAAAGGACAGTTAATACAAACATTTTCCTCCTCAAATTAACCCTTAAACCCCCAAGAGTGTCAAGCATCTAATTTATCCTCACAGCATCACTTCTGAATCGAACATTGGGGTCGTGAGACCAAAGGAAATGATCGCAAATTAAAGAAGCCCTTGATTGTTAAACAAAGTCGTCTTGATAGTCCTACTGATGATACAAGTACGGGGTTAAAAAAAACAAATCTGAGCATATTTTTAACAGACGTTTTATCCTTCAACGTTTGAAGTGGTACGGTTTTCTCCTTACATTTTTCTTCTTTCAGTTCAACAAGAAAAAAAAAAGAGCAAGCAATGTTAATTGGAATTGAAAGCTACATCAGCAGATGTTTCTACGTTTAAAAATTACTTCGCCGCCGGATTTACTTTGTTTTATTGTTTATTCCACTTAGAAAAAACGGGTTGCAAAATAATAATTAAAACCGATTAGTTCCGCGATATCAGGTAAATTTCATCTCCCTCTTATTTTACTCGAGCCGATCTGGTTGCAAACCAGTAAAAGCAAAAAAAAACTTGTCTAAGCTATTTCAGGTTTCATCTAAAAGACCTAATATAATTTTTCCATCTTAAAATAAACTTTTATGAAGGTAAGTCTGATGAATTTCATTTCGCTTTGTGTAATAAAATGAATCCGTTTGACATTTTTCCTAAAATTCTTATCACAAAAGGACCAATGACCCCTCTTTATAAATGATACTTCTAAAGTAGAGAAAATATTTTGTATCAAAATCTCCTGAGAACTGTAATCTCATCTCAGATTTACTTGCATTCTGGAAGCGAATGAATCCAATCACCTTGTGTTAAAAGTAAACGAAAGACGGCGTTCGACTGTTCTAAGACATTTTTGGGCAGGTGTCCAAACCGTAATTTTAATTCAATTCAATTGGCAGCTGGGAGCAACTAAATCAACAATAATATCGCGTTTTGCTCGGACTTTATCTTTAGGTAACAAAAAGGTTGTTGAGTGTTTTTTGAGAACCAACTGAATCTTTTGCACCACAAACAACTATTAATACCTCGTTCGGGCCAATATATTCTTTTTCAATATTCCATAACAATTACAAAGTAACTCAACAACGTCAGTGTAGCTGATAGTCTGAATATAGTAGATTAAAATGATATTGGATATTTTTACTAGAGAAAGATGATATGTAATATTTCTACGAGAGAAAAATAAAATTAAAAGTTTTTACAAACCTTTCCCATTCTTTAAGTTGTGCACGCAAATCGTTGATGACCCTCATGTCCTCGTTATGTCTTGCCTCCAGGACGCGTAGCTCATCCTGAAGTCTTTCGTCCTCCACGATAACTTGCCCTTCGCTTAGATGGCGCGAATTATCAGTTTGAATTCCAAGTGAGTGACCCGTGTAATTAGAATTCTTGACATTTTCCTCCTTGTAAAGCAAGAGGTTTTGAAGTTTTTCGGTCAGAGCTTCCACCTCTTGTTCACTCCGGACTACAGCATCCCTAAATGAATATTTCTCGTCTAGAATTTTGCCAAGTTCTTCGTTCTTCTGTTTCATATCTTTCTCAAAGGCAGCCAACTTGTCTTGAGCGGATGATATTTTTGCATCTTTCTCTTTGATATTGGCTGTTAAATCTCTTATGCGGCTCTGAGCAAGCTCCAACTCTCTTTCGCGATGATCACTTGTAAACGAAACCAAACGCCGTTCATTTTCACTCTCAGCTAGCAATTCCTTCAGCTTATCTCGCTCTTTCATAAGAGCACGGAAGTCCTCTCGCGTTTTTACAGACTCCTCTCTCCTCAAAGCAAGCTGCAGCTCTATAATTTTGCTGTCTGGTAACAAAAGGCTTTCATTCAAGCCGTTCGTGCAGCTGAGTTTACTGTCACAACTCGACAGAATAACATTCACCCGCTGTTCTCGCAAACGCAGATCTTTAATATCTCGATAAGCTTTTGCCAAAGCGTCCAACACCTCCCAGTTGCTCTTTTTGGCTTTCAGCAATTCGTTGTTTAGCCTCATAATGGCAGAATTATCGTTGCGACGACAAACAAGCGAAGAAGATGGCGAAGCACTGTTCAAGCATTTAACCAACGAGATCGCAGAGTCAGCTTCTGTGTCTGAAGCTGAAAAGACCGACTCCTCGGGATATTCCATGTTCAGGTTCTCATTGAGTCCGTTTTCATTCACAGCCAAATCTTGTGACAGGCCCAGCGAGGAACATAATGAATCACTGTTGAACAATATCGAATCGCTCGCGGAAGTTTCTTCAGTTTCTTGTGCAACCGGACCCATACCGTTTTCGTACATTGAACCTTACACGCAATATTTTCAAATCACTTCGTGTCTGCTAGCACGCGTTTTTTTTCGTTCGCTCTGAGAACGTCATAAAGATAAATCTCTGTGACGCAAATGTTGCACGCGCAAGAAAATCGCGCCCTTAAAGTGATTAGTGTTTCTGACTTTTGGAACCTATGCTCCGAGTTCACATCGAAAGCCATTCGTAGTAAAAATGTGCTTGACTCACTCGAGCTAAAATTATTCATAATGTAGCACGGTTTGTATTTGTTGACTTTAAACAAACTGCATACCTCTTGAACACACTAAAAACCTTGGCAACAGTGTTAATTTTAACAGCGTGGCTAAAACCCGAACGTTTGTACAAGGCGTGAAAACGCTGTTATTGTCTTTTTAATTTAATGTCAAACCGTCCGACAACTACTAATGAAGTGTTTGCTTTTCAGGCGTTAGATGAAAACTTAATCGGAAAATTAAGAGGCTTAACTAATTCTCCTAAAATCTTAAATAAGATTAACCAGTTAGAAGTTTTCAAACGCAACCATCAGGTTATCGATGCGTAACTATTCGTTATTAAGGTAAGATAATTTAGCTGAATCAACTGAGTTTGATGTAGATTGGGTTAAAAAGTTTCCACGAGGATTTCTGGAGCTGACCTTTCGAATGATAGCCCTTCATCATTCACTTTGACGAAGGGCCAACGCTCGAAAAGTAAGTTTCAGAAACTGTCTACGGAGGTCCATTAACATAATCATCCCAGTTGATAAAACAAATTATCTCGTTATACTCCCCCGCCGACGCACAGTTTCTTTATAGACTTACCCCCTTTATTTAGTAAAGCAACGCAAGTTAGTAAGAGAGTTTAGTGTCGCTATACAAATTTTTCCCCCTCTTAAAATATCAGCTAATCAGTCATCTATAAATAGCATTATTGAGCTTAACCTTAGAACTCTCATAAGTTATTCACTTTTTCCCATAGATCCACACATTATCCAGCAAACTGCAAATAGTGAGAATACTGAGACTTTGAATACTAATTTGTCTTTTAATAATCGTATCTTGTTGGTCTTGTAACATTTTCAAATGATCATATGTTTCATGCATAAGTATGGTAAAAATTATAACTTTTCAGACATAAACAGCACAAAGGATACCCAAACCAAAAGGCAAATTTTTCAAAAGAAGCTATATGAGTACTGAACATAAAATAGTAGTTTTGGATGTTGCAGTATTTTAAGGGAAAACTTTCCTCTCTACTGTCAGTGCTAAACTGGAAAGGGGTATTGTTGATAAAGGATAACATGAAAAAAATTGGTTCAAAAACAATGCCCTATAAATTCTTGGTGTGAGAATTTACATAAAGTAATAAATTTTGCTTGATTGAACCCTCTTACATGTAAGCAATTTGGGAAGTTGAAAAAAAAACCTACCCTTGAAGTTCCAGTAAGATTAATGCTACATTTAAGCTTTCTCTTAATCACCTGAAGAATTATTCTTCAAATTCTTCTACCAAGAGATGAGGATTGAACCCTCTGCTCTCAAGATTCGAATGTCAATTCTACACACTGCCAGCAATGCATTTCTTATAATCAAGCTCTGAGAATTTAGTTTCAAATCAAACAGTATCCCCTAGGTAACCTTTTTCTACTCATTACTTCTCTCCTTGAAAACATATTGATATTGTGACAATACAAGTTAACCCTTTAACCCCTAATGGTGACTAGCATCTAATTTCTCCTTACAATATCACCCCCAAATCACACATTAAGGTCATGAGAATAAAGGAAATGGTCACCAACTAGAGAAGTTATGGATTATGAAACAAATTCTCCTCATCAGGACCTCAGGGAATGTATAGAGAAGAGTATGGAGAATATGTATACTAATGTTTGGGTGGAAAGGGTTAAAGAACCTAACTGTTTCATGTTTGGGTTTATCAGATGTAACAGGTACAGCGTAACTCAACCTATGTGCATGAAGAGGAAAATGTTCTTTGCCTATGTTACTCAAGCTTCAGTGTGAAATTTTTTCCTAAATGCAATTGCATCATCCCAGTCTGACCAAAACCTCTCTTTCATTCTCTCACAATAGCCTAGCAGATTCTTAAAATCCTTGTGAATTGCAGCATTTTGTGGGGAGCCCTTGTCCTGCCAGACAAATTGTGCCAGAAGACCAAACACTGTTGCATCTACAGCTGTAGGCTCTTGACCCATGACAAATGGTTTGACATCCAGATAATCAGACAAGGTCTGCAAGTCTTTCTTTGCAATGGAATAAACTTCCTCTTTTTTATGACGGCCCATACCATGCCCATTTAGTTGCTCTTTAATGGTGCGCTGGAACATTGAAAAGAAGAAGTCTCGTTTCCTTTGTGAGGCTCTTGGAAAGAAACGTTTTGATGTCAAATCCGTGGCATCAATCCAGCGATAGTATACCATTGTCCTAACAGGAGGAATAGAACACAATCTGTTTTAATTTTCCATTTAAAACTTTCCACATTAAGTTAGCTTTGTTACAACTCAAAACATTTTAAATTCCTTTTTCTCAACAATGAGCATCTGCAGACCAGTTAAGCAGACCATGGTGTGAAACACACAAATAGCATGTTGCCATGTTCAGTTATGTGATCAATCAAGAAAATAAATGAGCAACTTTGTAAACAGACCTCTGTCAATATAATAGAAAGTTTAGACATTTAGTCCCAAGATCAGAGAGCTAAACTCTCCAGTTATCAGTACATATTTTTTGATTAACTATTCCTTAGAACTTAGATTAATATCAAGACAACATCCTTCTTTGATTATCATTTAAATTCTCAGTACTTCTAAGCTTGAAAGTGTAGTAAAATTGTAAGGAGAGTTTATGTGCAGATCACTCCTGTGTGTCAAAGATTTATAAATATAATTAAGAGTGTCTTGATATTAGCAGGCAAGTCAAGAATTTAAAGAAAGCAACAAAGCTTTTAAGTCTGTAATACATGTTTTGACAGAAACTTCTATCATCTTCAGTTAATTAATGTACAAAGCGTTGGAAGTTGAATTGTACAGTAAGTAGAAAAATGCTAATTAGGTAAATGGTGACAACTCAAAAAGAGGTAAAGCATGAAAGTGTAAGAATTAAAAGGATAGTTTTAGATTTACATGGTGTAATTGTTGATTCAAGGGTGGGTTCCTCTCTTTGAATATGAATTCAATTAAACTTCCAACGCTTTGTACATTAATTAACTGAGGATGAGAGAAGTTTCTGTCGAAACATGTATTACAGACTTAAAAATTTTGTCGCTTTCTTTAAATTCATTACTAAAGTAAAGAAAAATATCGATATCTTTGATTTTCTAAATTTCTCCCACACCATAATGCAGCTTGAATGTAATCAACACCAGCTGTGTCAGCACACGGTAACAACTGCTTTAAGAAAGACAATCAATTAGTTACAATAAGGCTTAATTACCAATAAGTGTTCTCCTCTACCATAGTTTTGAGAGCATAAGATACAGCCTTCTCTGATTTGCTGAGCTTGTCATCCAGAGCCACTTTGAATTCTTCATTCAGAAACGAAATGCAAAAGTTTGAATCAGCGATCTTCTTTCCATTGTATTCGATCCAGGGTATCTTTCCTTTGGAAGAATTCTTGGGCACGAAAGAATTCTCGTACGGGATGTCTGCCATTCGAAGGTAAGTTTCTAGTTTCAGAGCAAAGTTTGAAATCATAGGAACTCCATCTGAAATCGGAGGTTGATGCAGCAATACGATACCATTAGGAACAGTTACCTTCGGTGCATAAGCACCGGGAATAATATCTTTCATGAAGACGCGGACTAACATGGATCGCATTCGTGCCGCCATTTTGTTTCTCTAGAGAAAATGCTGGATAGCAATACATGCGGGCTCAAGAAGTTTAAAGTCCGCCCCTTGCCCGCCTTCAATTTATATTTAGTTATTTATCTTTTAATTGTTCATTGTTTTTCGCTTCATTTAGTTGCAACATCAATAATTTGGCCCAGTTTCTTAAATCAATGATCATTATCGTCACCAGAATATAACCTGTTCTGTAACTAACTAATATATAGATTTAGCCAAGCCTAAAAGCGGAGCAAGCATTTTTTTTCCAGCACGTCTCACGTGGATACCTGTACAAACATACACACCCTCACCCACATACAACACAACATCTGTAAACAAGTCTTGATGTATCCAGCAATATGATAATCTTCAAACACAAGAGCTAGCCCACATATTGTGTTCTCCACATACTCCGAAAGTTGAAGGGGATAGTAAACACTTAAGGTTTCATACTGCTTACCACAGGGTTCAAGAACTTATCACAAGAAAATATACTCAGTTCCCAAATAATAAAATTCCCAATTTAGAAACTCAACTATGGGAATTCAATACCCCAGTTTGGGAAACCATTGGGATTTAATTGGTATTTAACTGGGAAAAAAAAATCTCTTCCTTGCTGGGGAAATTAAATTCATACCTTGAGAATGTGTTTCCCAATATTGGCAAACACTGTGGGAAATCATTGAGACTTGACTACCATGTTTTAGGCAGTCAATATGCTGTAATTGAACTTGGGAAATTGATTACATACCTTGAGAATATTTTCCCTTATTTTGGAAATATTGTGGAAATTTTTGAGAATTGCCTGTGAACAAATTCAAATTTTATATTGGGTATTACATTTCAGTTCTTGGGTATTTTCCTACCAATGTTGGAAAATTAACCAGACCTTGATTTCTGTCATTTTTACACTGTGTTTTCTCAAAAGTGCGCGGTTTATTTTTAAAGAAAGTTACTTTTCTTGACAGCCTATTAAACCTTTACTAAAATATAGCAAACTTAAAAATGGTACCTCTCTGTTACTCAGTATTACTGAATTGGAAAGTTCCACCAAATAACGTGAAGTAAAAAGTTTCCCGCCAAATTTTCAGCAACGTATTTTTTCCGGTAAGTACGAAAAGAAGGAACGCCTCTAAAACCACCTCTAAAATTTCAACAACCACCTACAACCACCTCAAAAACATCTATAGCCACTCGCAAACAATCTAAAACTATCTAAAACAAGGCATAAATGTCTAAAATAAGGCGAGACGACAACATGTCACGTACATGAAATACGAGAATCGAACAAAACCACTACCTCCCCCTGAAGTCTTACTCTCGCTGGTCCCTTGTATAAGCGACCATCTCACGAAATGAGATGCGAGAGCTTGCTAATTATATTTTATATTCCCTCAGTAGTAAAAGACTTTTTCAACGTCTTCACGCGGCTGACAGGGTTACCCTACCTGGCAGACCGGGAAACCCGCCTAGGCGGGTCACCCCACCTATCATGTAAACGTGATCAAAATAAAGTAAGAAGTTATATGGACAGGCGGGTTACCTCACCTTCCTGGGGTCCCCCACCTCCAGGTAAACAGGCCCTTAGAGAGGTCAATGGGACACCAAACAGGTAGCCAGAAACTTGATGAAGTTGCGTAACATAAAATCTGGGGTGATGTTATATTAGCGAGCGTACAACAAAGAAAACAAAACAGTTTTATAATAAGTTAGTATTATTCAGAGAAAAATAAAAGGAAATTGACTATGAATAGGAAACCCCGAAAAGGACAGTGACATTTGAAACGACGATAAACAGAACCTGCAAATCTCGCGAGATGCATTTAGTTTACAAATTCCCTAAAATTACTGCGCTTACAGGCAGCATCCTTACGAGTCCCAAACACGAAATAGATCGAGTCAATTAGCTTTCGGAACCTACGACGTGCTTCATGCGTGGTTTCCGGTTCCGTTTAGTCTTTATTTTGACCTGCGCGAAAAGCCTCTGGAGCAGAGCGCTCCTTTAGTGGCGCTTAGCCAATGACAGGCCTAGTGTAGATTTTGGACTAGAGAGCTGATTGGTTCCTAATGACCAACTATGGGATTTTAAATGTAACAGACGCTGCAATTGGTTGCCGAGAATAGCAACTCCACGGGGAAATACTGTCAGTTGACAGGCGATAAACAAACCATGCATAGTCGATTTCGTGACGGCGGAGGTCGAAGCTTAACCGAAAAGTTCTGATAGAGCAGTCCAAGAGAGTATTGAAAAGGTTCTAGAAACGTTTGACGGGGTCGAAAACTTAAGTGTCGAGCAAAGTGATAGCGTATGTAATTTTATTCTCCGCATGGATCTCTTGGCGATGTTGCCGACTGGCTTTGGGAAGTCTTTGTTGTTCCAGCTTATTCCTGGACTCTGTCATCTCTTCAAGTGCCAGTGCATGTAATCACAGTGTGATTGGTTTAACTGTTATTCAATTAAAAAAGGTCAAAGCTCAACAGGAACGGAGGTTTTCTAGCGGCTTATACCGCTTGAAGTAGCGGCCTTCGGCTGCCGAAGTGCAGTATCCCCCCCGCTTTAAACTCTAACACCCAGGGTATTCTTGGCATTGATTGCTTTTAATTTCCCCATTGTTACGCACGTTCCATTCTCTTCCGGTGACAAAGTGGCATCCCGCCGGAAGAACACGGAAATGGAGCCGAATGATTCCCACGGTTGTAAAAATGAATAAAATAAGGGGGACTGAGTTTTTAGGTCTTCGTTTTCGGGTCGCAGGCCTTAGATCAGAGCCTAGGTCCTAGGTTTTTGGGTATTAAGTGTTAGTTTTCGGGGGTTTTGGTTTTCCGAACAACCCTCATCCCAGTACCTCCTGGTTCGAGAAATGCAGATATGGGGATATCATATCTCTGTCCAGACAAGTAGCATAGAGCACGAGATTACGTCTGGCATCATCACTCGTTGAGACAACACATCAGCACTTGATCACATCGCGACCTTCCTCGTCCAGGCTGGTCTCTCAAGGCGGCCTTGTCGACTCACTGATTGCTTTCAAGAGGACCCCGAAGGTAAGATGTTTTGCATAGAGAATAATTTCAATTATTGATTTGGGGCTTTTACGATGGCGGCGCCTGAATGTATCACATGATTGTTCCAATTCGTAAATTCGTAACCATTTCTGCAAGTTTGAGTGTACTATATATGAAATCGCCTTATTCTTGACATTTCACATATTTTGTTGCTCGATCCACGGCCACGGTTTCCCGAAGACTAATTGCCTGGCAGTCTGAGATTTTTATCTACCTGGGTAGCGTTGAACACATTCTATCTTCTCGAATTGTCTAGCGATTACAAAACAATCAGTGGTTATATACAGCTTAGCTGGTAGTTGATAATCGTATCACGAAATGGTCCATTGTTGTGCCTCAACTTTTCTATCAACTTTCTCCCATGAGCGTTACACAATAGTCCTTTCGTCCTGGATAGCGCTGAGGGACTTTAGCCGAAGCTTAACGGAAAAGTTCGCAACTAATCGGAATCATGTCGGCAGTAACAATTAAGCTGCACTGTGGGAGTGGGTAAGGTAAATTTGCATTCGTCGGTGTTGCCATCGGATTGATGATGATGCGCTCAGCAAGTTTCTAAGGGTGCCATGAGCAAGCGCGAGGGTAGGACCTATTTTTCCAAAGAATAACAAGTCTCGCGCCCGTAAATCTTTTTCCCAAAATCTGTCATAGTTTCGAAATGAATTGTTCTTAACATTTCAAGACTAAACTATTCACTATCTGAATCCAAACGAACGCTCTCATCGTTTTTCTCTGACCCAGACTCGTGATTTAATAGCCCGTTGAGTGAAGCCCGCATCGCAGACGTAATCCAACCCTGACAAGTAACTCAACCAGGGGTTTCGTTTAGTTTGTTTCCCTCTAAATTTGTCGGAGTAAGATAGATGGACTGCGAAAGCTACAGTTTATGATTGAAACGGCAAGTGCTTTGCTTCTCGGGATAAACAAAGTAATAAAATATATCTTTTTAACGCTCCCCCAAAAAACGGATGCGAAGAAGACTAGGCGTCAATGAGTTAAATAAATACGAAATGTTTCCTATTTCATGTACAGCTAACAAAAACACGCTACATTTCATCAGTTGCTTGCACTAACCTCTTGGCAGCATTCCACTTACTATCAGTAACTGCTGGTAAATAAGAGTTTTTAGTCAAGTGGACAAATGAGAAAATTACTATCACTATAGCTTACTGCCTGAGCACAACATCCAGTTTTAAACTTCCCGACTTTTGATCTCGTATCCAAGTTTATGGACATACTGAATGCTGAAAAGATGATCGTAAGGGGAGGGGGCATGGGGGCGGGCGGGCTGAGTTAGATGGGGGATTAATGAAAATCGATTCAATACTGGATAGAACGAGGCTTGTAACATATGCGCTGTTTTGTTAATCTTTTGTTATTTTATCAAATGCAAATGAGCTGTAGGTGATTTTCTGAAATCCCGCACCTTAATGATACGACCCCACTTTACCCCTAGAGAGTGGGGCAGAGGGTTGCGTTGTCCGTTGACCGTTGACCCTTTTTTTGGAACTATACTATTGCTTACTGAAATATCCATAAACGGATTTTACTTTTGCCAAACACCTTATCAGTACCCGCACTCGATGTTGTCAACCCAGCTGAATTATTCTGATTGCCCTCTACTAATTTTACTGGACATGTGTTTTGATTTTCAGCAATTGTATCTACATCGCTACCTTCTTCTGATGAAGATGAGGCTGGTAAGAGATTATGGCAAATGTTACTTCCGCTTCTTGGACATTCAGCTATGGATATGTGAAGGAGAAAAAACGAGGAATGCTTAATTGGAAAAACTGGGCTTCTATTTTGATAGAAAAAAAAACAAATAATTCTGACTTTCACATAATTCTGGCGATTGAGAAGGGGATGTAGGAAAGTTCCAGAGGGATAGTGGCAGGAAACACTGACACGTTTGCTTAAGTCTAATAAATTTAACAATTCTTTTTAACCTTATGATCTTTTTCCTTTAGACTTAGTTGGATATCTTCCAAGTAAAGCTCTGAAGGTGTGTATATCGTTATTTAAATATTACAGGGTATGTGGACTGCAACACTTTTTAGCCAGTTGTTGATATGTCAGCAAAAAATGCCGGGATCACTAAATTAACATTTTACGGGGTTTGTGAGGTGGGGCTACTTCAGTGCATGAGTTAACAATTTAAATGTTCATTTTATTAACGTTGACTCTTACTTTTCTTGATTTAGCTAGAAGAGTCCGCAAATTCAGAGAATGATGTTTTTACACAGAGGGACAGTCAAGTCAGGTACTTACGAGTTTTATCTAATAGTAGGTTGTTTGGCCACTGCTTCATATACAACAAGTTCATCGCTTTACTGGGCACTGCCATCGCTGATACAATTCTATTCTCGCAGAAAGCACTAAATCTGTTACAACATCGTAAAAGAATCTAAAAGCTGTTCTTAAAACACTTGTTACCGACACGGAAATATCTTAAGTCAATATATTGCTAATTAGAAAAAAAAATGAAGGGAAAAAATCATTAGTAAGAAACTCTTTTTTAATAAGTCTTGAAAGCTATAGAAATCGTTTTGGCTTGGATACTAGCAACTCATCCTCATTCACTCATTGATCTTCATTAAATGATGTCCTATTACATTCCAGGGATGAACAATTACTGGGGGGAAACTGACCACGAAACAATTCTTAATGTCCTTCTACAAAATCCCAATGAACTGAACTTGAAAGAAAAGCCTTCAGCCATAAGGGAAAACAAACTTTTCACCCTCGACATGAGGGAAATCCTCATATCCTCAGCAAAAGCAGATGATAATGGTGCATATATATCAAAGGGTAGTGCTAAGAGACTATTCCAGTACAATAGCGAAGGCTCTCGCACAGTCCACAGAAATGAGAACGGAGCATTTTATGCAAACGTCAAAACCTCTAAAGGCTACAAAAAGGAGTATATCCCTGAAAGTGAAGTTTACGAACTGACAAGGTATAACAAGACAAGCAAGTTCAATCCCAAGTTTTCACGGACAATTGCTACTGTCAAGGCCATAACATCCAAGGAACTCAAACCCTTTTGTACAAATGGGCAGGTGGAGAAAGTAAAGAGTTCTTTCTTCCGCGCCACGGGAACGCCAAAAAGCCGACCTCATCGTCATATTTTCGCAAAGACCCTCGCACATTTACAACCATAGATAACTTGTTGGATGAGGGTATTCCAGCAGATAGAGTTTACAATACCATGATCAAGGAAAAGACAACCACCGTCAGCGAGACAATACCAGGCCCAAAGATGATTGCAAATAGAAAATACAAAAATATGAAGGCCACATCAACCAAGACCACTCTGAAGCGTAATGAAGCGGAAACACTGATAGCAAGTTTGCATACCCTGCCTCTCAACAGCAGTGTTACCTTCACAAAAGAGCAATACATCTCAGTCAACTCGTCTCCCAACATGCTGAATGACCTACATCGATTCTGCGCTCTTGGAAACAGTATTCTGAGAATCGATACCACTTTTGAGTGGGTCGATGGCCTATGGCTAACAGATACTACATACGTGAACCAGTCCTTAATCAACCAGAGCAACCAGCATCCTGAGTTCCCAGGTCCAAGCTTCTGGCATTTCAAAAAGAGTCGAGAAAGTTATAGAAGATTCGCTGGTGAACTCACCATTGCTAAACCAGAATTGCTAGGAATAAAGAAGATCGGCCATGATCTTGACAAAGCTATTCAGGGATGCTGGTGAACAGTGCAATTAGTAAAATTATGAGAAAAAAAATGTAGAATTGTGTTTAATTACTGATGTCTGCGGAAAAAAACTGTTGTTTACGTAATACCGTGATGAGATCAGTATGTTTTCACCTGCATATAGGATTGATTTCATTTGTCACTTAAGCCTCCCAAGGAAAGAGTGTCTGCTTTACTGGATAATGGTCAGCTTAAATCTGTAATCATGAATTGTTCGTTTTCAACGGAGGAATATTCGTGTTCTGAGAGTGGAGTTGGATCCGCTATTTTTCCACTGTTGGCGTGCAAACGAGATATGACCTCGCACCTTGTAAGTCTTGGAATTAGTGAGCCCCTCCCAGGGGTTTTAGGGAACAAGGGAACTAGAACATTTATTTTTAGGGCACTGGGATATTTTCAAATTATTTTCAGGGAACAAGGGAACTCTTGAGTAGATTGTTGGAAACAACAGAACACCGATCTACTTTCAATAATATGTTTTTTTAACTTTCCGAGTCCCTAAAATATAATTTTTTTTTCTTTCTTGAGTGTCAGACGAGATTATTTTCGAGATGATTATTGTTACGAGTTGTACAAGGAATCTTTGGAATGTTTGTTTCAACCATGTGGCATAATTCAAGATGGCGGAAACTGACATAGTTCGAGAAACTATCACAGTTGTACCAGTTACTGGAGCAATATATCACAATGGGCAGGAAAAGCCCACGGGGAGATGGAGCTTTGCACTTGGGCTAAATCGAGAAAGGTTACGGAATCAAGGACAAATGCACCGCTTGAACATTACAAAGTTCAAGCATCAGGCTTCAGCGAAAGACTTTGCACCAATATTGCCCGAGTGGCCTAAAGGCAGGATCTTTTCTATCGGCAGCCAATAACAATGGGATAATAGCTTTCCAAAGATACTTGGACTTCAAAGAGAACTTGTTGGTAAGCAACTTTCTCATCAGTGTTCCATGTTTGCATGCATGACCAATCCGTGCATGTGTTAACATGAACAGCCTGTCCCACTCAATGGTGACAATATTTAAAAAAAGTTAAATTAGTCGATTGCAAACAATTTTCACAACAAAAAATTAACTGACATAACTCAGTCTATTTATTTATTTATTTTTGGGGTCAACCTGGCCTCACTTACTTGTTATAACATTTATCCTTCAATAGGAACTCACTAGGGTAAAAAGCTTGAATAAGCTCTTCTTATGGTCCAGTTGATCCTTGTTCATTTCAGTGAAGGTGTTTGAAGTAAAAACAGCTGATGTCCATGAGGTGCTAATGCCAGTTACATATGCAACTGGAGAGGCTTGCATGAGTAACAGTTCAACTCGGAATGCAGTGCCAACGGTACAAGTGAATGGAACGCCCCAACCCCGCAAGCCTGGTCGGCCAGTGACAACACACAGGAAAGATGATGAGGAATTGTTTAAACATTTGCGTAACAATTTAGAGGCAGGGTTTTCCCTCACGCGCAAATGCGCGTCCGAGACGCTCTGTTTGGCTGAAAATGGAAAAGGGACGCAAAACGGCAAGGAGAACGGGTCCTCTCGGATGCACATGGTTTAGGATGGTAGTTTACTACTGACTTAATTTAAACCTGAATAGATCTGCGAAAAATTCTTTTGAGAATAAAATTAGAATTTGGAATCTTTGTTCCGTTTTCTTAGTCCATCTTTCAACTCCCAAACCTGCCACACTCACTCCTTTGAATCGGCTATTGCAGCGCCACCTTTTGTTTTTATCGCTCTCAAGCTTGCTCTTGTTGTGAACTCCTCGCAGAGGCTTAGGAACTAATGCACGATTGTGAAGCCCTGTGGGACACAATGCAAGATGGCGGATTCAGAATTGCAGACTATCTACTCGATACAGGAATGGCTGGAACGAACAAATAGAGCAGCTTATTTCGAAGGCGGGAAAACGCGTAGGAATGCTCGGCAGGCTTCGTAGAAGCCTCACTAGAGAGAGTGCAAATATACTTTATTGTAGTCTAATTAGGCCAATTTTAGAGTACTGTGTAAATATGTGGGGCTGCTGTGGGGAAGGTCACAAACATGGCCTTGAAGTCATCCAAAACCGGGCTGCCAATATAGTTGCAAGAACTGTGCGCAGTAACCCGGCAATGGACGTTCTAAACAGGCCCACGCTGGAGGAGCGCCGTCGTAAAACTGTTTTTAAACTCGTTAAGAATACCTGCAAGGTCAATGTCCCCAACATTTTAAATAATATTTTAAACGTAATAATACAATTTACGCCTGCGCCACTAGACAGAGCAACCTTTTACATCCGCCTGCTGTGAGAACAGAGATCGCAAAACGATCTTTCTATTACTATGGGTGCACTCTTTTTAACGAACTATCTTGATGGTATTTCATATTTACTTACTTCTAATTTTTTTATTTGTGCATAGTTTTCTATCTATATTACCATCAGTATCAGTGTAATGCATATGTAAACTATAACAGACGGATAAAGCTGCTGCTTCTTCTTCTTCTTCTTCTTCTTCTTCTTCTTCCTCTTCTGCTTCTGCTTCTGCTTCTCCTCCTCCTCCTTTCAAGTCACAGTTGCAAATGCAAAGAAGAACATTGAGAATGAAACACAGGAAATCACGAGAAGACACATTGTCCAGCTTAGAACGGTATATGTTATGACGAAGAACAACATTGCTGCTGATAACTTTATTCCAATAATGGAACTTCAGGCTGCTCATGGATGTAGTGATGCTTTTGTTTTTTACAAGAATCCTGAAATTGTTTCGGAGATGGAATCTGTTTTGGCCAAATGTGTTGAAGATAACTTGATAGAAGAACTAAATGATTCTCGCACACCTTTTATTAGACTGATGCTTGATAAAACATGTGACATTTCCATTGAAAAGAAATTAGCTATTTATGCCAGATAAGTCAACTCAGAAACTGGCTCTGTTAACACTACATTTGTGAGAAACAAGGGAATAACTAACTGCACTGCTTCTTGCACTAAAGATGTCCTCTGTGAGTTTCTGAAAGACAAACGCCTAGTGCAGGGGGATGACTACAGTAGGATTGTAGGACTTGGAATAGATGGGGAGCTGTCATGACCGGACGTCATAATGGACTTGGGGTAAAGTTGAAGCAGTTAAACAGCATCCTTATTCAAGTTCACTGTGTTGCACACAGGCTTAATCTTACTGCCTCTCAGGCAAGTAAGGACATTGATTATCTTGAACGGTATAAAGGGCAGATAAACAGCATCTATAAATTCTATTCCAATTCAGATGTGCGATATGATAAACTGAGGGAAATTCAGCAGCTCATGCATGAAAAAGTTAAACGGGTGGTGGAACCTTCATCAGTTAGATGGCTGTCTGTAAAGGTATGTGTTAAGATGATATTTGAGTGCTTTGACTCACTAGTTATGTCGTTGGAGAATGAAAAGAGTTCTAATGTTACAGCTGTTGGAATTTGGCAGTTCGCAGCTTCGGCACAGTTCCTTCTAATCACAGCTGTGTTAATTGCTGTTCTATCCATTATTGGAACACTTAGTCTTCTGTTTCAGATGGATATTGCCAACTTGTCTGTCATAAAACACAGTGTCATCTAAACTGTTGAGACAATTCAAGGGATGATTGATGGATCTCCCACTGTAAACAGAGTGTTGGCAGACCTAGGTGATGTTCCAGGCACAGGGAAGAATTGGTACAAGGGAGTGGAAATTGCTGACAATAACAACCTCAGAACCAGGTTCAACTCAGTACGAAGGGGATACCTGAACCAGCTTATCAACAACTTACACGACAGGTTTCCAGAAGATGACTTAGAGCTTCTGGAGTGTTTTGACGTCATCTTCAACCCTAGAAGACTGCCTGATGATGTAAGGGAGTTAGGAAAACATGGCATCCAACAACTCAACAAACTCTGTCATCACTTCGAAACTGTTCTTGACTCTGATAGGTGTAAAAACCAATTTCTTCAGTTCAAGCATCTACTACGCAGTTACAGAGCTTTGAACTTTGAACAGTTCACAAGCACTCTCATTCACGAGTATAAACATGTTCACCCTGATTTTGTTCAACTGGCTTTGATCAGTCTTGTAATCCCAGTAGCAAGTGCTCCTTGAGAACGAGGTTTTTCTGTCCAAACTTCAATTAAAACCAAGCTGAGAAACAGACTTAATCCTGAACGGCTGAATAGAATGATGATGGTAAGACTAGTTGGACCTCACTTTGAAGATGTTGATTTTCTAACTGCAGCAAGAGCATTTAGCGTCATGAAAACTAGGCAAAAGTGAAAAATTTGAAGTTACTGAATTGTTTCCTGAACCTTGCACCCTGTTTTGGCAAGAGATGCTGCTGGTAAGGCTAAAGAGGCTACTACACCAAATTTCAACTTATTTTTAATAGCATACAAGTTTTTTGAGTTAGTAGAATTTTCTATTGTGGCTTATATCTTTCTGACCGAGTTTATGAATCAGTGAGAAATACCTTAGTACTTTGTTCCTTTTTTAAGGGGGACTGGGGAGAGCGTCACAGAATGTAGACGTGTGTTGCGAGGCTCCGTAAACCGGACAATTTTACTACCGTTTGAACGTCCATGGAAAAATTATTCATCACTCCAAAACGGAAAAGTAGCTATCGCAGTGATTCGGAGCCGTCACCAGAAGATAAAAGACTGAAAGAGTCAAATTCTCCGGCTAAGATATCGTGTGACGAAGACGAGGCCATGGAAGCACTCGGATCCAAAATAGATTTAGTGTTATCGAAGCTTTCTAACCTGGAAACAAAAATGGAAGAACTGAACGCAGCAGTCAAAGGTCTACAAAGCAAGGTAACGTCTTTGGAGAGAGAAGTAGATTCAGTGAAAACGAAGCAGAAAACCTTAGACGAATACTTCACTTCAATGGAACAAAGTTCTGTATTCGTTGACGAGCAAGTACAAGACCTGATAGCTAAGACTAAAAAAAACAATGACGACGTCAGCGATACACGTAGAAAACTGTTATACTTGGAGGCCTACAGTCGACGCGAAAACTTGAAATTTGAAGGCATCCCCGAAACTTTCGCTTAGAGCGGAGAAGATGGAGCTATTCAGCGGGGCGACGTGTCTACTGAAAATACAAAAGCGGTGCTGACTGATTTCTTTGAAAGAGTCCTGGGAATAGAAGATGCAAAGAACATCGAATTTCAACGAGTACACCGAATGGGAAAGCCAAGAAAGGAAACTGGAAGAGAAAGGATCATTATTGCGCGTTTCTTAAGATTTTCAGACCGAGAACGGGTGCTCAAATGCGGACGTAAACTCAAGGAAACAGGATACAAGATGTATGAAGACCTCCTGAAAGAAATCCACGAGATGCGAAAGCTCCAAATGGAGAAGTTAAAGAATGCCAGGAAGGACGGTAAACGTGCTTATTTCAGTAGATCGGAGCCCGACAAACTATGTGGGATTGGTTAACTTATTTTCGCCCTCAGTCTTCGTTTTCGTTCTCGTTTTCGTTTTATGTTCATGTAGTTTTATCGCAGTCTGTTAGATACCAATTTATTTCATTCAAACCGCATTCGATTTTTAAACCCGGCTCATTTTCATATTTTAAGAATGTAATATCTATCAACTTACTCTTATGAATAACGTTTGCTTTAATGTTCTATCCTTGAATGTTAGAGGAATTCGTGATCTCAACAAACGCAAATCGATCTTTACATGGGCTAGGAACCAGAAAGCGGATATTATTTTTTTGCAAGAGACATATAGTACGCCAGATGTTTTTGATAGTTGGAAATTTCAGTGGCTGGGAGATATGTATTATTCGCACGGATCCAATCATAGCAAAGGCGTTCTGGTGTTAATACGTGAGACCCTTCAATTTGAGTTGAAGTCGGTCAAGAAAGATAGCCAGGGCAGATTCGTCATCGTTGAAGCGTTAGTTCAAGATTCTCCCGTTTTGTTGATCAATATTTATGCTCCTAACAATACCCATGACGCTGTTGACTTCTATGAAAACCTTAGGACTACTTTACTTGAGAGCGACTATGACCAGGACTACAGGTTTATTATGGGAGGTGATTTTAATGTGCCATTAAGTCTTCAACTTGATAGCTATGGAAGTAAAACAGAAAAAAAAAGACGTGGTAACCAAAATCCGCGAGCTAATGTTAGACTTTAACCTAGTAGATATATGGAGACTTAGGAACCCGGATAAAAAGCGTTACACGTGGAAACAAAATAAGCCTTTAGTCCAACGTCGGTTAGACTACTAGCTAATAAGCGATGATTTTCAAGATGACGTGGACAGCACAGGTATAATTTCTGCCATTAAAACAGACCACGCTGCTATTGTGCTCCAGGTTAACAGTGTTGAAATGCAACCAACTGGGCCGTCATATTGGAAATTTAACTCTAGCCTGTTAGAAGATCCAGAATATATCAATCTTATAAAAGACAACGTTCCCTCGTGGCTAGTAGAATTTAATGAAGTGTCAGACAAAGGTCTTCTGTGGGATTTAATTAAATACAAAATAAGACAAGTAACAATGAAATATAGCAAAACAAAGGCGAAGTCGTCTTTGCGAAATCGAGAATAAATTGAAAGAATGCCAAGAGATTTTTGACTCTAATCCGACAGAAAATAACGCTGTACAGCTGGAAACGATCAAATCTGAGTACAACTCACTGTATGATTATATTATTCAAGGTAATGTTATTCGTTCTAGAGCCAATTGGTATGAACATGGTGAGAAAAATAACAAATATTTCTTAAATTTAGAAAGTAGAAAGATGAGCAACTCTTGCGTCCGTAAACTTTTTGATAAAGGCGGTAAATTAATAACTAATCCTAAATCAATTTTATCAGAATTGTATGACTTCTATACTGAATTGTACTCTAACAGCGACCCACCCAATCATAACAATGTTAGCGATGCGTTTCTTGACCAATGTCGTTTTCCAACTTTAAACGAAGATGCCAAACAAATTTGTGAAGGGGTTCTTACAAAGGCGGAGTGTTTTAAAGCTCTACAAACGTTTAAAAACGGAAAATCCCCAGGTAACGATGGCCTGACAGCAGAATTTTATCAAGTATTTTGGCCCACCTTAGGACATTTGTTAGTTGACTCTTTAAACAGTTCCTATGGAAAAGGAGAATTGGCAAACTCCCAAAAACAAGGAATTATAAAACTTATTGAGAAGAAAAACAAGGATAAAAGATATGTTGCGAATTGGAGACCCATTTCTCTGTTAAACGTGGATGTTAAGATTGCGTCCAAAGCTATAACATTAAGACTCGAGAAAGTTCTCTCCGACTTAATTAGTGCTGAACAGTGCGCATATGTGAAAGGAAGGAACATCTTTGATGCAGTACGAACTATAGGTGATATTATGGACTATACAAAGTTATACAATCTCCCCGGTCTCATGGTGACCATTGACTTCGAGAAAGCGTTTGACTCCTTAAGTTGGAACTTCCTTTTAAGACCTTAGAAAAGTTCAATTTTGGAGAATCCTTTATTAGGTGGATACGTCTTTTCTACACTAATATATCCAGCTGCATTATGAATAATGGTGCAGCAACTCCTCTTTTTTCAATCGGAAGAGGGGTTAGACAGGGAGACCCTCTCTCGCCCTATTTATTTATTTTAGCCTTGGAAACCCTCCTTACCGCTATCAAACAGACTCGAGATATAAAAGGTATAGTAGTTGAAAACAAAGAGATCAAATGTATCACTTTCGCCGATGACTTAACAAACTTTTTACGCGATAAGGAATCTTATGACTCTCTTAGTTCCTTATTGAACACATATGGTGAATGTTCAGGGCTTAAACTAAATAAGGACAAAAAAGAAGCCTACTGGTTAGGAAGTTCCTATCGAAATCACGAAGCTCTCGATATTAATAAGGTGAATGAGCCAATTAAAATACTAGGTATATTTTTCACTTATGATCAGCGTAAAAGCAGAGAGCTTAACTTTGACCTTACTTTAAAGTCAATAAGAAAGTCCTTAAGTTGCTGGCAATGGAGAAACTTAACATTAATTGGTAAAATTAAATTAGTCAAAACATTTGCTATGCCTAAGTTTATGTATCGGGCCTCCTTTATCTCTTTTGATAAGGATATAATTAAAAGCATAAATTCTGTGATATTCAATTTCGTGTGGAGAGGCAAAGACAAAGTCAAAAGACTAGCCTTAATTAGTGAATACGAAGACGGTGGCCTCAAAATGCCTCACCCTGAATCTTTAATTAAAACTCAAAGAATTGTGTGTCTTGCAAGGTATTTAGATGATAATAGTAGTCCGTGGAAAGTTTTCTTGTCTCATTATCTTAAGAATGTAGGAACCAGTTTTCTGCTTCAGTGCAATTTCAATCCATCGCGCCTACCCTGTAAACTACCTTCTTTTTATAAAGAATGTCTTGAAATTTTGTCTGACTTTAATGGCAATCACGATATAATAGCTACAAAACAGGACGTTTTAAATGTGACTATCTGGAACAACCAGAACCTCTTGATTAACAAGAAGTCAATATACAACAAGAGAATAAAAGAAGCAGGTTTTGTGAAACTTGGAGATATTCTCTCAAATGACTCAAAATTAAAAAGGTGGGACGCTTTTAGAGAGAAAAATCTCTCCTTGTCAGATTACTTACTCCTACAAGGCATTTTTTCCGCCATTCCGCCTAACTGGAAACAGCTCCTTAACGTTGGAGAGAATAATAACAACCGAATTGACAAAACTGTTTCAGACGATGTTCAAGATATAACTAGAATGACTTCAAAATCAATCTATTCCATCCTGGTCAAACGAATCCAGTGCCCAATCTAAGTTTAATTCCGTATATAATATTTCAGGTAATATAGACTGGAAAAATATTTATCTATTGCCGGGTCGAGTCACTCTTGACACCAGAAAGAGAGCCTTTCAATACAAAATCTTAAATCGTATTCTCTACACCAATAAAATCCTATATAAAATGAATTTGGTTCCTTCTCCGATGTGTACCTTTTGTGGAGATCACGAAGAAACTCTTGAGCATCTTCTAATCAGCTGTACCTACACTAAAAACTTTTGGCTTTCGGTTATTTCTTGGTTAAATACTTAGAATATGAAAATTGATAAGCTTGATGAGGTAACAATCCTCTTTGGTATTTCCGATAACAACCCTAGGAATTGTTTGTTAAATCACATAATCATTCTTGGAAAATATACCATTTATTCATGTCGTTGTAAAAATATCAAGCCGTCTGTATCCTTACTGAAGGCTAAAACATCTGAAACTCGGAAATTTGAATTTTTGATTGCAAAAAAGAATAAAAAAGAATCTATTCATTATAAAAAATGGGAAAACATGTTATTGTAACTCAATAGATGAGTATCGGGTATTAACAGTTATAGACGCAGTTGTATATACAGTCGTTCTACCAAAAAAGGAATTTGATGTAGAAGTATTTGTACAAATTAGGCTTATATTATTATATAACCACAACATAACTTAAATCTAGCCGACTGTGAATGTAATGTAATGTAGTATTTCGTAATTAGTGTTGGTGAGCAGCGTAAGCGTTAGTGTAATTAACCTTGTATTTGTTTGTATTACTCTAGTATTTGTGCTTTAAGTGAAAATAAAAAAAAAATGTTAAAAAATAAATAAATAAATAAATATTAAAAAAAAAAAAAAAGGAAAAAGAAAAACATAACAGAAACTGATTGAATAAAAGATGTGTTTATTTATTCTTGGTTGACTCTATATTACCGTACAGTATCTGCCAAAAGATTAGATTGTTCTCCTGGAATGTAAAACTATCCTAACCATGGGACCCCCACTTTTTTCTTCTGGACCCTAAACCTTAGGTTGAAGGAGCCCAAGGGACTCCCCACAGGAAAAATTGTAGGGAAAACCCTGCAGAGGGTATTGGATTTGAAAGGAAAGAATGGCAAATACAAAGTGGAATAAGTTCAAATCAGGTTAGTTCATGTATGACAATGTAAAATTACCAAAATGCTAATTGAAAACAAAAAAGATTGGAAGGAAGATTTAAAGGATAATTGTAGAAACATCTAGTGGTATTATGCATTGGGATTCCATAAAGTATCTGTACCATCACCAGCATCACCCTCATGCCTGGCATTTGAGAATTTAGATTTTTGAGCCATTGCATTTGAACAATGTCAACAATAGATTAATTTCTCAAGTGTGCTTGTTAATTTTTTGGCCTAACCCAAAGAGAGTCTCAAAAGTAAACATTGTCATGAAAAGAATTATAGTAAAAGACTCGCGCATCACAATATAGACGATATTAATGAGAAATCAAGGCCTTTTACATCATTTTCAGTTAGCACCAATTGATTTGATAAAAACTAGTCATGGTATTGTGTGAACACAAGCTATATCTACCATCGTGAGAGACGTTGCATAATATAATTGGTGCATGGCTTGAACTGTATTTTGTTATAATATCTATCTTTACTTTTCTTGTAGTAATGCATGATAAGTTTGGGGTCCTGGCATTAAGTGAACGATGGATTCAGTGTATATGCAAGAAAGGAATCATGTTGTACAAACCACGTGCCGTCAACTTCTTTGAAGGAAGTAAGTCAGTTAAAGCAGGAAAAATATTTCTTTTAAACCCTGTCCCTCCCAAGATCTGAATAGTTATTTTCCCTTGCAAAATAAAAACATTCTCTTATATGTCATATGGGAGAATTTGGTGTTAGTTCAACTCGTCATAGTTTGATTATTTTCTCATTTCTCAGTAACAAGAAATGTTCTGATTCTCACTCTCTTCATGCCTTCAATATGGCTGGTCCATTCCTTAGATTTTTTCATAGTTTCCTGTGCTTTTTACAGTCCTCCCAGGTGACACCTTTAAAATGCTCTCTCCATTAATTCATAGCACACTGGAAAGTCTGTTCTGAAAATTATGAAAATAGAAGGAAACAATCAAAGAGTGATGCCATGCAGATTTCCATTATTGCCAGCTTCAAAAAACAGGCCAAAGATAAACAGGAACAGTCTACTCATTCTGAATGTGATCCATTGGACAACAACGAAGGCTTCGACTTGGATAACTCAGCATCAGCTACAAATCTTGATAATGTGTAAGAAATAGAGCTTAACTATTACAGCTCAAAGTTTTATCATTGGTTGAATAAAATGTATTAAGAAGTTGTTTGAATTATTAAAAAGTATTTACAATAAGGGTCATGTTTTTTCTTTTAAATTACAGAGAATATTATGATAACCTTTGTGATGAGCCCGAGTTGAGTCCTTGTAACAGGGACCAAGAAACAGTCTACTCATTCTGACAACAGGGACCAAGAAATGTCTGAAATTGATGTTGATATTACACCTGAGACTGTTGATGATGATAGTTAGTCATCGTCATTTCATGAGACTGATAGTGATGACAAAGATGAGTTTGGAATTAACAAACATTATTTAGCAAATGAAATTAAAAGTGGATTCAAGCGAGTACACGTTGCGTATGTTGACCCAGTTGCTTAGAAACTAGTCATTCCTTAATTCTAGTATACTTCCTAAGGAAAGTATGTTTTGTATTCTACTGAAAAACGCTGTCAGTTATGTTGATTGGCTTGTTAGAAGGGAAGAAAACCACAGTCTTCAATTTCAGTGGGACAATGAAGTCCTCCAGTTTCTTGAAAGCCTCGAGTATCATGGCGGAAGAAAGGTTGTTAACTTATTGAGGGAGCCTGGCCATGATGGAGAAGGTCGGTCTAGTGCAGTTTCAAGTTTTGACTGGACAAAATGGAACTGGCTTCTACCTGGGAAAACAACACGTGATAAAATGTACAGCGGATATTCGACAGAGAATGGAATATATACTCCACTTCTACAATCTTTCTTGCAGTTGTCAAGTGGACCTGATGGTGATATGCTAACACTCTGTGAAGATAGTACAGTTAAGATAATCCCTGTTGCACTCGCAAAAGATGGTATGCAACTGAAACCGGGTTTGATCTATGACACTAGGCAGGGAAAACTAATTGGAAGTACCCTTAACTTGGATTACAACTATATAAAGCAAGGTGAACCAGATAACGTTGGATATGATAAAGAATAAAATACAAGAAATCAATGTCTGCCTTGACCATTTGGAACACAGCAGAACTGATAGCATTAGCTACCAAGAAACTGTTCCCGTTATTGTACAAACTGCATTGAATTAGGAACTGTCTGTGATTCTTGCAGGGGAAAAGGCCATATTGTTATTGAGCCTGCCTTGCGACCATGTGATTTTTGTCTGGAAAAAAAGATTAAGTGCATTAAAGCAGTTGTCTGCGTCACTGAGAAAACCACTTAGGCGCAACGACTTCCCGATGATTACGAGAAGAAGATCGTACAGTTTCATTACTTCATCATCAATTGCCGCAAAGAACACAGTTACCCTCTGCACCTGATTGCTAACATGGATGAAACTCTGATGAAACTACAATTTGACCGAGGACAATATAAATAATAGCGAACTTGATTACGAACAACTTTTTTAGTCAGACCCGGAGTCCGATTTCGAAGGTTTTTTCGCGTAGAAGCTCTTTTTTTGCAAGGCTGTTTGTTATCGTTTTTAACCTTTTTGTAATTAGTTAGTTACCGGTACATAGTAATTTCGAAGTTTTTGTAACTTAAGTATTGTTATCTCAATAAATATTGTAGGAAGAATTAACGTGATTTTTGCTGTGAAAACTCTTTCTTTTGAAAAATTTGATAAAAAATCAGGGTGCTTATTATATATGGGCGCGTATTGTATAGGGGTAAATACGGTAACTACGCTCCTTTGTAACATGCTGTATGTAAATTTAGTTACATAGTTCGTTGT